CTTCTGGTTCAGCAAGCAGTTGTCTAACTGGAGCAGGAGATCTGTTCACAATGTTTCTACCATGTTTTTCTTTAATTCATTTGAAGATAGGAATAATTGATTGAAAGATAGGTACAATTGATTTGAAGATAGGTTCAATTAAGACATATCCATAAAGGATTTGAAGATAGGTAAAATTCAATTATACCTAGGTTCAACTCTTTTTATGTTGTGTTAAATAATGAACTTGAGCTCCCTTGGAGACAATATTTAGTATCGAGGGAAACGCGCAGAACCTACAGAACGACGATAAAAAGGATGAAAGGAGAAATAAAGGTTAATTCAAAATGTGCAATAAGCATCATATACTTAAAAAATACACATGTATATCATGTAGGTATATCTTGTAAGGAGCCAGATGAAGATTTCGATAAACTTTCGCACCAGCTATGACGTATCGGAAATGACGTATGATAAACACATGATAAAGGGAGTAGTTGTTATTGCCAATATCTTAGTAATTAAAGATAGGTTCAATTCAATTGTGCCTATCTTAAGGTCAAGATCTAGTAAATGAAAGGCCTACAGATTTATCAAACTTGAGAAATAAATTCCTTTATTGAGGCTTTACAACTTTAGCTTGGTCAAATAAGGTGTCGAAATTGTGTACCAAAATTGATGACAAAAGCAAACCCGCGACCTACCTTAAACTGTCATATTTAATGAAAAATTAAGAAAAACAGTCATGAATATGGGAGTTCGTTGTTTTCATATTCGACAAAGGAAATGTATCCAGATTGCCTACACTCTCTCAAAAAACTGTAATTAGAATATTTGTCGCCTCTTCTTTAAATCAGTATCAAATTTAATATAGGTATCCGGTTTACTTTTCATATGATTTCAAATTGAATGTCATGAAAATACCCTATTTTCTACAAAAAATTAGTCTAAAGTTGTTTACTAGATCTTGACCTTAAAAGCAATAAAATCTATCATCAATTCATTGCATTTTACCTATCTTCAAATCCATTGCACAGGTTATCTCTCGTACAATTGAATTGTATTTATCTTTAATTCATTTGAAGATAGGTACAATTGATTTAAAGATAGGTACAATGCAATTGAAGATACATGTAGGTACAATTCATTTGAAGATAGGTACAAATATTTGAATATATGTTAATTAGGTGTTCCATAGTGTTGGACTTGTGTAAAGTTCGTGAAAATGTAAATTTGCGGTTGAGGGTTACCCACAAAATCTGCAGTTTGAATTTAACTCATTCTAAGAGTAAAAAAAACTTTTATAGCAATTATAACAAGGTTTTAAGAGAAGTGTACAAGCTAGAAAAAATATCGTAATTGTAATTATAAAATATCCAATTTAAGAGTCAGTGATCTTGGTAAGATTTTTAAAAAAAATTATCTGAATGCCACGCTAAAATTAAGATGGGTTTTACTATTTTAGGTGTGCACTGTTGGACATGAATACAAGTATAGACAGTCCCAGAGGGATGTTGCTGTCACATCAGAACATATATTTCCATATGTGGAAGTTCGACATAGCGGTCCTTGCTATCTATAGGAGAATCAAAAACTTTGCTTTAGATGCCAATCGAATTTTTGCGGCGCCACCTTACACTACATGGCCAGGGAGAATGGAAGTGATATACATGTATAGCTATTTAAGTATTAATAAGTTTTATTATAGGATCGTCAATTGATTTAACATCATTTTTAAGCATTTAATTTTAAACTAGAAGTATTGTGAGCAGTGAGCTCAATATAAATGATTCCCCCTGCCTCCCATATGTATAAAATGGCAGTGTTCATGTTTTGGTATGTGAAACCCGCAATATGTGTCGGATCAAAAAGTAAAATAGGAGCCATTAGGAGGTCACAATGGCAAATGAAACTAGAAAGTCTGCTATTGCAGGCAATATCGTAACTACATGTATATGTCATCCCGAACTGGATAAGACTTTCATTTTTTCACCACTAAAACAAAACCCATTGCCTAAGCTTGGACAACCATCAACTCGTATCAGTCCTTTCAGTACTAGTACTTTAATCAAAGGCCTGAAGGGCCTGGGAGTTGACTCGCTCTAAGCTTTTTTTATACATCTGGACACCATACCTAAAATTCAGGTTATTTTGCATCTTAAGAGATTGATTATTATATGTCTCCATGTTCGGTTCAAAAATAAAATGTATATTGCTTTTCCTTTATATGTTGGCACTAATGGGCTTCCGTACATGTTATTGTGAAAGCACACTAGCTGCAGTGGTCAGTGTTATGGAGTAATTAGGTTAAAGATTCCCACAGCAAATCTGGATTCTAAAAATAGATTTTTCAAGCACACTAGCTGCAGATAATGAGAGCAACAGGTGTTTGTGAGGGAGTATTCTAGGTCAATAAATTATAAATAAACTTCAGATGGGAAGATTAGATCCGCCTAACATGCTTGAACATATATTCATACGCAGTAATTACATGTACATCTTACAGATATTTAAACAAAAATTTCTTTAAAAGCATGAAGACATAAATAATATATTAACAATTTAAATTTTATTCAGTTTTTACCTCCTAAGTTTATACAATCACTCAAACAAAAGCATTTTTTTTTTGTTGCTAGAATCATATTTGGCGTATGAATAACCTAGATAAATGCGTGAAAAATTTTACAGCTCTGAAACGGCGGTGTCAACAGGGAGTAGCTCGCTACGCGAGCCAACTCAAAAACCAACGTAAAGAATTTTCACTTTCCCCTGGTGATCATGGCAACAATCGATTATTTGAAAATTTTAAATGCGAATCGCACAACTACAATTACTAATCATTAATATAAGAAATTTTTATGATGAATGTTCAAAGGACAAGAGAGAAATTCGTTATTTTTCGTACATTGGCAACGGTAGCCATTTTGAAACTGAATGACCACACAACAAAACTACATGTACAACCAGTGATCGTCCTTTGAGGAAAGTTTCAGGAAGATTGTCCACAGGAATAACTTGTGGTATCTAATAAGTTATTCATAGGTAGAAATATAATGGCAATGTCCATGTTTTACTATGGGAAATCTAAAATGTATGCGTCGAATCAAAAAAAAAAAGGAGGTGCAATGCAAGCAATAGCAGACTTGTAGCCCCTAACTGGGCAATACTTTCATTTTTTCATCACTAAAACAATACCCATTAGCTAACAACTCGTATAAGTCCTTTCGGTACTTTGATTTAAAAATCAAAGTTCAAGAATTTTTACTTTTCCCCCATTTCCATAGCAACTATTGCAATTTTTAAATGCAACACGCACAATAACAGATACTAATCATTAAATCAATAAAGTTTCTTGACAAATGTCCAAGGGACAAGAGAGAACACTCGGACAAAATTCCTCCTTTATGCAGGTTTCCATGGAACCGGTAGCCATTTTAAAACTGACCACACAACACAACCAGTGATCGTCCTTTGAGGAAAGTTTCAGGAAGACTGTCCTAGCCATCTTCGAGAAACAGCCCGTAAACAAAAACATGCATACAATCACAATATGTCGCCCACGACTTCGTTCAGGGCAATATAATCGATTCTAGATATTGCCTTTGTGCACCTCCTATTTTACTCTTTGATCTGACACGTTTTAGGTTTCCTACAAAACATGGACACTCATTATGTTCATATGGGAGACAGGGGTATCATTTGGTGAGCTCATTGCTCACAGTACCTCGAGTTATGTCCAAGACACGATGTAGTTACGATATCGACACATTACTTTTTTATAGTTAACTATAATATTTCCCTATGCTTGTGTGTTTATTACAATACTTTCTGTTTTAAGAAGTCTTCCTTACTGTCAATATCCACGATATCGTGCCGATATCGAATCATGATTGTTCAAAGAATTATGGTTTCCATCTATAATACTAGTACATATGTATTATGTTTTTAACATGTGTTACTTGAAAACTATATTTTCTAAAACTTTCCCTGTAGTGTCGATATCGTCGATATCGACGATGTCGTTTCGATATCGAATCATGTTTGCTCAGCCCTTGGTTAATACCCTGTTACTTTGTGTATTTATGTTTAATTCATTTATTTTTACGAAGATTGTACCTGCCATCGATATCGTCGATATCGACGATATCGTATCGATATCGAATCATGATTGTTAAAACATATTATTATACCAACCTTGACCCTAATACAAAATCTTTATATTTACATATCCCATGACAATAAGTTCTGCGTTTCCTCATGCAACGCTTGTGCATATTTACTTTCTAATTAATAAGTTTACCCTACTGTCGATATCGTCGATATCGTATCAATATCGAATCATGATTGTTAAGACATATTTAACAACTTTTACCCTTGCCTAATATCTTACTCTAAACCTAATCCAAAACAATAACAACCACTAACCCTTTCCTTATCATAATTTAATTTCATATTCATGCTTAAAATGAATAAATCTGACATCACTTGTGACCTTATAAATCTATGTTATACCTCACTGTGAAAAAAAATTCTACAAATAGGATCGATATCGATACGATGTCGTCATGGTATTGTCGATATCGACGATATCGACATAACACAAAGTCTCACATATGGTACCAAGTATTTCAAATCAATAGTGCTCATCACGATCGATATCGATACGATATCGACATAATATTGTCGATATCGTCGATATCGACATCAAATTCGTTCTTGGACATGTATGAGTACCTCTAGTTTCAGATGCAAAGGCAGATCACTAACTGCTTAAAGATATGAAGGCATTTAACTTAGATTTTATGAACACATGAATACTGGTATGTAACATTTACCTATTTCCACACAGTTGAATTTTCTAAACATTTCAAAATGGGTTTTGAATCTCACAAGTTTATAAATGTATTTCACTGGCAGCACACAGGAAGTACATACTGTTGTCTTTACAAATTCACCTAAGAATAACCCCTACCTGGTGTATCCTGATCTCTGGCTACAGAGAAATAAGATCAAAACAAGAATTATAGCAGCTCTACTTTATTCATTTTTATACAGTGTATAACAACATTCATCATAAAACAAGATGTAAGAATTAACAATGTGGACAGTTTTATCAACATGATCGTGAAGACAATGAATGAAGAGGGGTAGTATAATAAATGCATCAAGATTTCTGTACAACCTACTCATGTTTTTAAATATTAGCCGAGAACTGATACGATGGGAGAACCACAAGAAAACACAACAAGCAGAGATATCAACTATAGGTAATGAAAATCCTATATAAATCATTCAATGAAATTATTTTATGGTTGTAGACAATAACATGGTAGTAAAAATTCTTCAATAAAAACAAAGACTTCGCAAGACATAAATATTATAATAATGAAAATGTTTTAAAAAATCGGCCTCCATATTTCTTTACTTAGATTCCCAACTTCTCTGCCTTCTTTGTGGAAATTTTTCAAAATGATTGCACAGATAGACATGGCCAGATGGACATGAAAACAATGTCAGAGAGTCAAAGCCTCAATCGTCCATGCTGAAGGTCTTCTTTTTTCCTGAGAATTCTTGAATTGCTCCTTTTGCAGCTTAAAATAAAAATTAAATGTGAATTTCAAATAATATTCCAGTTACCAAAAGATGGAGATTGTATGTTGATATACATGAATATGGAACATTTTTTCTTACTTAACATAATAATGTGTATTTATTTGCACACACTAATATAAAAGAGTCAATTGCAAGTTAACCAAGTACTAGGGCTGGGACGATACAACTTTTTCTATATCGATACGTATCACGATATTTGAGCCACGATACGATATGTATCAAGATATGTTTAATTGCTTATAAAATCTTTTATTGCATTGGAATAAACAAATTATTTCTTTGCAAATAAGAATAATTTATTCAAAATAGTTGTGTGTTGTAAAACAAAAATATTTTACTCAAATGGTGTTAATTATTATTTATTTCATATCTATATTTATATTTAGCTTAGGCCAGCATTTTTTTATTTTTAGGTTTACGAACATCAGAATGAAAAAGTCCCGTAGGAGGAGGAAATTAAAAAAAAAAAAAATTATATTTTGGATACATTATCGACTTTTCTACATTAATTTTTGCTTCTTTTTTTATGCTCTCCTGACAGGCCTCTTGCCACTGGACACATGAGGGTTACAAAGGGGAAAATACAACCTTTAATTATTTATTTCATCATCTACCAGTTGGGGGCAGTGATATAAATCTTTTGATGTTGGACAAAAAACAGATTTTTTTTTTTAAAAATCAATTTTTTAAATCTCTTTTAATATATCTTCATTTTTGTTTTTAATGTGTGTTAGGTAGGAATTTGTCTAAAATATTAATATACTCAAGACCTATAAAAGTAATAATTCCTTTCATAAAACAGACAGGGAGTATTCCCAAGGAGTATTGAGGAGTAGGGTGGAATTTTTTTCAATTAAGTGTAAAATAATTTTTCTGGCTGCCATAAACGATACTACATGCCTGTATATATTTGTATATTCTTGTTTTTAAATAGCTGAAATATTTTTAATATCTTTAGGCTATTGTATATTTCTTCCTCAAATGGACTTAACTTCTCCCATAGTTTTTTTTTTTATTACATCTGATGCATAAGCGACCCTTTTCTGAAGAATGATGCTAAGACTGTAAGTTATGACAGAAACCTAAACAATGTCTCTGACAATAGCTACCATGGGCAGTTTTAAACCTGTGGGAGGAAAATAACTTACAATTAAATACAGTTACTTTTGAATACGGACACATAATTATCTCACCAACATGTCACTTTGCAACAAAGTCGTCAGCATTTTATTGTTCTCTGAATGGGTGAAACGTTTTGAATGGAACTCCTATCGATAAATATTTACATTAAACCAAGCTTTAGTGCTGCTATGGACTTGACACAAATCTCCCTTCATTACCCGCCATGTTCATTTAAAACCGGAAGTACGAGTTCGTAAATTTGAAATCTCGATCCCGACTCAAATTTGACATCGGAAAGAAAAAATTCTGTCTTTCTCAATTTTATTTTTTTTCTGAAAATTCAAAAACCTGAGTGGCGGGTTTGTAAACCTAAAAATAAACTAGAACTGTCCAATAGGGACAAATACCCCCGCTGTGTTTTTTCAGAGTAGGTGCCAATTCACAAATATTTTATGGATCTATTAAGAGGTGTTCACTATTGTCTTAAAACAAATCGGGTGAAAATACAATTGCATGCTCATTAATTTTTTTCAATTTATGAATCTAAGGTGCAACCAAATAAAACATCAATACTAATATACTGTAACAGTTTTTTTTTTTTTTAATTTCATTAAAAAAAGAAATTGCAATTATTTGTCATGCTCCTCTGAAAAATAATTGTTGAAAAAAGAAATATTATACAGAATCAAATTAATCTTTATAACTTTATATCAAATTCATTTTAAAAATAATAAAGTGCCACCACAGCATGATACTCCAGTCAAATATTGTTCATTCAATTAAACAGTTTAGAGTGTGAGGTAATCATGGCAACTTATAAAAGGATTTCCATAATTTTTTTTTAATTCCTTTTGATATTTGTTCAAACATCTCCTGAGGTGTAAGCATTAATTATAACAAATAATCATCAAATGGTTGCATTATAGCTTGACAAATGCTCCTCCACCACAAACAAACACATATGCATATATCTTTCATGTGGGACATGATGCTCTGAAATTTGTTACTTGATATTTTATTTTTTTTTTTAAATATCTCAATTTAACTAATTAGTATTAAAAACTTAATCTATAACAAATTGATTTTAGAAATAGAAGGCTGGCCATCAAATGACATATGCTATTTAAACTGAGCAGCAGTTCCTCTGTCTAATTCCCAAAGGACCTTAATCAGAGATAACAGCTAACTGAAATGATTGAGACAGCTAGCTTTCCTACATTAAACTCATTAATTAATCTTTGACTGGATGCATGTCCACTGATAAATGCCAAGGGATGCAATTTTCTGTTATCAGAATTCTCCTTGACCAGTGCTTGATAATTATACCCTTGGGAGAGGTAGATTATCTTTTATAAAATTACATTTGATATGGATTGCTGTAAAGTATATAATGAAAAAATATTTTTTCTTAATTTAACATCTTTTAAACAGGGATACAGAAATACTATTACATTTTTGGGATTGTGTAATTCAATAGTACAAGACAGGTTTCTTTTTAAAATTTCACTTAAATTAAAGGTCACGGTGACCTTAAAATAGGTTGTGGCACACCTTCTACCCAAGATGCATAAACTGTCCAAGTTTGATGATTGTCAGTCTAATAGTTTTCTAGTTATGAGCCAAACAAAACCATAAAATAAAAAAGAAAAAACACCTGTAAAATGCAGAAAAATTATCCAATCATGATGAAAATACCAGGTGCACAACTTCATATGGTGAATAATAAGTGTACAAATTTTCAGACAAATCCATCCAATAGTTTCTGAGAAACGGTCCGGACAAAATCTTGTCTACAGACAGACGGACAGACGGACGGACGGACAGACAGACGGACATGCTGATTCCAATATACCCCCCTAAACTTCGTTTGCGGGGGTATAAAAAATGCTGGCCTTATTTACTTTATATATTAAACCCCAAATGTTAAATAAACAAAGAAAAATAGAAGTCATATTTTTGGGGCGATATTTCGATATTTCTTCATATGTATCGATATGCGCATCGTCCTAAAGATATCACGATATATCAATATCTCGTCCCAGCCCTACCAAGTACATCTGTATCTTTTTTTTTTGATGAATGATAAAAGAAAAAACACAAAAGTATTTCCATCTACTTCTTTGAAATAAATGAGAAGTTGGCAATGCGAAACCAAAAATATTTTTATTCTGTGTATCAAAGCTTTATCTTGGTTCACTTAATTTCAACCTAACAAGTATGTCTGTATATTTTTTTCATGGATGAGATCTGAAGGAAATTCAAATGTTACTCCCATTACATCTATTCATTATGAACAAACGAGAGAAGCTCTGCTTACATGGACTTTTGCTGAATCCTCCTCCTCCTCTTCCTCCCCCGCGTCCTCCTCCTCTACCGCCTCGTCCTCCTCTGAAGCCACCACCGCGACCTCCTCCACCTCTACCACCACCGCCGCGACCGCCACCACCCCGGAAGCCACGACCACCACCTCCTCCTCCTCCTGAAAGTCAAGGATGACATCAAATTACCACATTGCTATCATTTAACTCAAATTACCACATTGCTATCATTTACCACTACAGTTCCTCAAACTTTTTTTTAAGGTTCATCGATACTCTGATAAGAGAGATAACTGTCTATCAGGGTTCGACATTCGCGCTCGTCACCTCGCCATTTCCATCCAGAAATGATTTTGGACGACTTGATTTTCGGTCTGGCTCGCCCAAATGACGACCTAGGACAAGTTAGGAATATTTAATACCGATATTTAATGTTATAAAATAAACTTCGTAAGGCCTTGAAAACATATTTTCCTGTAACAATACAAAACCCATTCAACATGTTTAAATAGCAGCCGCATAGATTTTTCCTCCTGACAAATCTGCGTTCGATCAATCAGCTGATGCAATTTTCACCAAATCTTTAATAAAGTTTTATTTGAGATAAAAATCATAGGCGCTTGGGATATGGACCCCCCCCCTTTTTCCATTTTTTTTTTCTATTTAAATCTGGGGTTGAGTCACCTTTTTCCTATTTTTCTACTCTAATATGCACTATATGTTATCAATAATGTTACTCTTTTGTCTCTACAAGCTGTTTTTAAATATGTCGTTTTCGATTGATACATATAAAGAGAGAGATATGTATCAGTCAAAAACGACATATTTAAAAACAGCTTGTAGAGACAAAAGAGTAACATTATTGATAACATATAGTGCATATTAGAATAGAAAAATAGGGAAAAGGTGACTCAACCCCAGATTTAAAAAGAAAAAAAAATGGAAAAAGGTGTGGGGGGGGGGGGGTCCATACCCCAAGCGCCTATGATAAAAATATGTCAACTTAGTCAACGATCACCTTAAATATAAAGAGTAATAATCATCATTGTAACATCTTGCATTTCTCGTACAACTTTCTGATCATCTGAGATGGATGATCGTTTTCTGCTGCTCGACAGCCATGTTGGGTGTCCACTGTAATATAACACCTGGTTAATTCAGTCCAGGGCTATTTGACCCTCTTTATTTAGGCTTTCATGGTAAATGAAAATTTATGTTTTAAACTACAAACTAAGGCATTATGCATGTCTGATTCTACTTATATTTTTGTTTGATAAAATACTAGAAAACATCTTTACATTACGAAAATGTCTGGTTTACATTTTTTGATACAAAAACACAACTTCTGTGAATTTTCTTTGTATAATTTGATATTTTATTTGGATGACCTAATATTCATTCGGGCAACCTGTGATCATACCAAGGTTGCCCAAATGGCGAGACCAAATTTTGACGAGTGTCGGACCCTGGTCTATTATTCCTAATCCTTTATAAATTTGTCAAGTTGAAGTGTCTTTTTAATCCAATTTTGCCATGCAAGCTATGCTGTAATTGTTTGTATTTTACTTATAAAAGACTCTCTTTGGAAAAATCATTAAAATTCAAGCAAAATATTATATGAGTGAGCAGAGGATTTATGACCTTTAATTTAATACACTGTAATTTGTTGCACACATAGTTAACACTTTATGACAAATGTTTTTAGTAGTCTTTATGGTTTTTTTAATGAAGAGTCTTAATTTTTGGCTAAAGAAATACTTCTTTTATTAGAAATTGATTCTAGAAACAAATTCCTCATCTACATGTATCTTTGATGTTCTACCTGATCTCTCCTCTGCAAAGTCTAAGAAGACTGTTCGACCGTCCACTTCCTGTCCTTTCATGGCATTAAATGCTTCCTTAGCTGACTCGACGGAGTCATATTCCACAAAGCCAAACCTACAACATTAAACATATGTATCAAACCACAAGATCTCTTGAAGGTTTTTCCTTTAATATGACAGATGATTTTAGATAGGCTGTGACTTACCCTCTAGATCTGCCAGGGTTATCCCTCTCCATGGCGACTCTGGCTGCAGAACATCCCTCAAAAGCCTCGGTCAAACTGTCATTAGTGGTGGAGTAGCTCAAGTTCTTCACAAACAGGATCTTGGTGGGGTCTACAACAAATTCATCAAAATACCCATATTTTAGGAATCAAATTATTTATTTTCTTATTCATAAGAAAGTTGTTTTCATCAATATTTTGTTGTTGTTATTAACTCTACTTACTCAACAGCTTTACTGTTTAATAAAGTTCTACACAGCTTACTGTAAATCATTTTTTATTCGTGAGAACTTTATTTTATCATAATAAAGCAAGACAATGTGCTCACCAAAATTAAATTCTCCCGTATAATAGTTTTCTTTAATCATAATATTATATAGAGCAATAACCATGATTTCCTGAAAATTTCATCTCGCTTATCAAGAGTCAATGACCATCTCTCGAAAATAAAGTGTCACAAAACTTAAGTGTTGTACAGTTTTTTTGTCAGTACAATAATATTTTTGACAGAAACTGTCCCTACCGCTTTTTTTGCCTCCACGACCACCACCGCCACCACCGCGACCTCTACCCCCTCCAAAGTCTCCTCTCCCCCCTCGACCGCCCCTCTGGTTTCTGTTGTTGGGCGGTTTCTTATTGGCTAAGTCAAGGAACAGTTCTTGTCCCTCTAATTCGGCTCCTTGTTTAGTCTCAATGTATTTCTTCACTTTTTTGGCATCATCAAACTCAAGGTATGCAAATCTGTATAAAAAACAAAAATACAGAATTATAAAATGTCTTGAAATTAAAATCTGAAAATTTAACATTGAACAGGAGATGTTTTTAAAACACTAAAAAAATAACTAAGTGTCTGATATTCTATTAAACTTCAAATAAAATTTTATATGCTAAAAAGTCCTTGATATTACCGTTCTTTTTCTTAATTTCTTACCCTTTTGGTGATCCATCGTGTTTGGTAGGCATTCGGATCTCTTTGGCCCCTGGGAACATCTCTGAGAGCTGATCCTTGTCCACACTGCTAGCAATGTTCTTCACAAAAAGCGTAGAATCCTCTTGCTCTTGTTCTCCAATTCCATTCTGTTTTTTGTCTGTGATAAGAAAGCAGCTTGATTATTTTTTCCCCCTAAATCAATTTTGAATATCTTTTTTTCCCCCTCAATGTAATAATTGATATATTAACAGAATATCTTTTTTTCTGCAATAAAACATAAGGTTAGATAACAGACATACTGCCTGTATGAGCTCCCAAGTCCAATGACCCCTAATCATTAAAAAACATGCAATTTCAGAGCTGCATTTCATTTCCGGAATTTTGAGTAATTATCAACTTTTCATTTCCGACATTTTTTAGTTTTCATTTCCAACATTTTTTTTGTTTTCATTTCCGACATTTTTCAAATTCATATGTAGTACCTATATTTACAGATTTGATAACTTTACTTGTGAAAGATTTAAAGGATTAAATAATAAATAAATCATTGAAATACATTTTTGTAAATCTATCAGTGACTAGGACATAAGTATGGTGCTGTCACTGACATTTAATTTAGTGCACATTAAATGTGGTGAAAAAGTTTTATGCTCGTTGAACACTTTTACCAAGACTTAGTGCTATATGTATGCATATATGCATAGATGTTTTTGTAAAATTATTTTTTATTAATATTTTGGTATAAATACTTTCAAAATTCCATTTTCTTTTACTTAGGAAACATTGAATTGCCGCACAGGTAAATTCCGGAAATGAAAAGAAAATTATGTCGGAAATGAAAACAAAAAATGTCGGAAATGAAAACAAAAAATGTCAGAAATGCTATGCATATTTCCGGAAATGAAATGCAGCAAATTTCAGAAAGACCTTAAATCATATACACAAATTTGATTGTTGATCTTGCTTACACAATTGTACAAACATTATTCTGATAATTGGAATTCATATTTTAACCAATTCAAGAATTTGTTGTCTGAAAATTTGTTGATGTGCTCGATTTTTTATATAAGGTTAATATCATTCAATATCATGTCTCTTTTTAGACTTGGCAGAAGAAAAGGTGAGCTTTTTCACTATCCAGGGCTACTTAGCTCAGACAATCTTACCTTTCTTTGCCTTTTGTTTTTTGGCAGGTTTTTCTTCCTCCTCCTCTTCCTCTGTGGAGACAAAAAAAATAATTTTTTAAATATCTCAATCTACAGAACTTCAACACGAAATCATTTTATTGACTGACAACACTAAGTCATAAATTTTAATCATGACTATCACTTGTATTACATTACAAACAACAGTGTCTGCTTGGTAATTACTCTAGACCATATACAGTTAAGCCTCTCTACTCTGAAAGCTTCACCTTCTGAGAGAAATTTGAGGGGAATAGAATTTTCATATACATGTATAACTAGGTAAGGAAGGGACTTGTTAGCAATTCAGAAGCTTCACTAATCAGAAAATGCTCAGGATCAAATGTTCTCTCATTAACAAGATTTAATGGTATCTGATAATTACTCAATAAAAATTAAATTACCTTCTTCCTCACCGCTTTCCTCTTCATCATCGTCACTATCATCTTCCTCATCATCGCTTTCTTCTTCCTCAGCTTGTTTAGCTTTCTTCACTGTCTTTGTTTTCTGAGCTGGGGCTTCCTCCTCATCTTCATCTAAAAATATGTCAACTTTTTGAAATCAAGCTCATCTCATCTCCAAAACATTGAAACTTATGATAGACCAAGTGATTTTTTTTTCACAACATATCACTTACCATCATCATCGTCGTCATCATCTTCATCGCTGTCATCGTCACTTTCTTCAGCAGCTTTAGCTGGTTTTGTAGCAGTTTTTGTCTTTGAAGGGGTAGGTTTTGTTTCTTCTTCTAAAATTTAAAAAAAAAAAATATTTGTTGTACTCTGAGCATTTCAAAATTTTCAATTTATAAACATTTTAAACTCGTAATATAAATATTTTCTTAAATCCTAAGAAATATTACCTTCTTCTTCATCATCATCATCATCGTCGTCATCATCATCATCACTACTCTCTTCTTCAGCTTGTTTTTTGGGAGCAGGTGTAGTTTTAGCTTTTTTAGGGGCAGCTGGTTTGGCTGCTTCTTCTACAATTAACAAATGATTACAATATTAAGTCAATCACAATTTGCTATGGTTGGAAAAATCCCAAAACGAACTAAGTGAAAGGACATGAAATTCACCTTCTTCGCTGTCATCACTATCGTCATCATCACTATCTTCCTCCAATTCTTCTGCCTTCCTTTTCTGTGGTGAAGCTTTGCCATTTACCTCAGCCATCTGAATTAAAAAATCATTAGCATTAAACTAAAGAACATTTCTATCAAATAGATATTGATCTTTTATAATTATTCATAAATGGATTTGGGGCTGCTGTTGCAGTTCTTATAAATCTTACCTCTACATCATCGTCGTCATCATCAGAATCTTCTTCAGATGACTCATCTGACTCCTCAACAGGTGCTGGTTTGGGAGGGGCTTTCTTTGATTTCTGGGCCTGCATTTTCCCCTGAAAGCAAATGGCTTGCATTTCAGTTATGCTTTTTGTTTACTTTATTAGTTGTGATTTTTTTTTTCGTAGTCATGTTTTCATCTAAAAATAATATCTTACTTATTTTGCCAACAATAATCTTTTTACTTTTCAGGGATTAATCTAGATTGTATTTTGACCACTTTTAGGTTTCATTCTCGAGAACTCATTCCTTTGGAACTCAGTTTATCCTTTTACCAAGTGAAAAATTTCCGAGTTCATTAGAATGAACACAGTACTCCTGTTGTTCTTCCATTATCCAATGAATTATGCATATCAATTTCACATCTGATGTTATGTCCTTTACTAAGCAAATTTCTACTTGAAATATTTTCATGATTCTTCATATGATTATCATTATTAATTTTAAAAAGAACCTTGCAAAATCCTTTTCATGCAAAAGGAATAGATCCTACACAAACCTAGATTAATCCCCGATTTACAACATAATTAATCTAACATCATGTGACTTACTGGTTGACAACATGGCAGAAATCACAGGCTTGGTGACACCAGCATATGAGACTGAACCAACTGGTTGCCATATGAGATGCTAAGCCAATCCCCTACCAACAGGGATTTTTGCCAAGTCTGCCCCAAATCCCATGCCAACTGGGATATTGTATCCCTTACTGACAGGGATATGTTCCCATGCTAACAGGGATTCTCCTGCTTCAAAGAGTATTCCCATAGCCTTACCACTCAGGGATTTACTTATCCCAAAAATCCATTATTGGGAATACTTGCTTCATGTGGGATAATCCCATGCCAACTAGGATTTCCCTCTAAATCCCATACCAACTGGGATAACCACATTTACAGGTAACTCTCCCTTTCTGGAAGGGATAATAAGATTCAAAATTGGGGACAGATTTATATGTACTGTAACTAAATGCAATAACCAGTGGCAAGCAGGAGATTTCATCCTTGGGATTCACCACTGAGCTTGCTGAAATAAGCACATGAGAAAATAAGGTCAATAAAAACAATCACCCTTCTATCAATAGACTTATATACTATCAGCCTTGCTATTTTTTATAATATGGAAATATATCTATTTACCCAGTAAAAACAATCACCCTTCTTCTAACTAGGCTTATATACATGATATAATCACTCACTAATGTATCATTTACTCATCAAATAAACTTTTGTTTAAAATAACCATTTAATTTTCAAATTCAAATTAAACTTTCTCACTATGTCACATATTATCTTGGCCCTATACATGTGTTGTCTCATCATTCGTATTAATGCCAATAATGGAGAAAAATTTCAAAACTAGGTCACACCACGTGGTTATCCAAGTTGAGAATTCATTGTTTTACTGGCTTCGAAATACTTCAAAAAATCGCTGTTTTACGGAAAATGAATCCATTTATTAAAAACATTTGGGTCCTAAGCAATGGTATTTTTCTTTGGAAAAGTTAATAATTCAACATTATTCTGTGTTCATGGAGAAACGCATTTTGTAAACACAAGAATATTAACATATAACGTTAGGCCTGCGCCTATAACACGATTTTCCCTACTTAACAAGCTATGTAAACAGTATGTCACTGTACTATAGTTAAATTTAATCAATTTATAACCTTTTTCCACATACCTTTTTGTTTTTGACTTGTTTCTGTGGCATTTTCTTTGAGATTTTGTTACGAGCTGCCTTTCTTCCTCTCTTCCCTGTCCAACCGCGTGGTTAAAAAGACAGAGCTAGGCTACGTCACTACTCCGCTTAGTTTCGAACAATAGCACACTGGTTCTCTGCCCTTGATTCCTATCACAGCCATAAAGAGACCAAGGCGCGGATCCAGGATTTTTTTTTTTCAAAAAGGGGGGAAGGGGGTTCCACTCAATCAAAATTAAAAAAAAAATGCAACCCAGAATTTTTTTTTATAAAATAGCAAAGAAAAAAAATTCATTTTCCAAACATGAAAAACCTGTTTTCTTCTGATTGCTCAACACTGTGAAATCCCTAGCACAAACTGTTAAAAATTATTGCCAAGGTTTGTGTCTTTTAAAAGTTATTCAAACTCTAAGATCAAGAATATAAGAAGTATGAAAGCCCTAGTACCAACTGTTTAAAGGGGCATTGTGGCAACCACTATGAAAAAATTACGAACTTTGAAAAAAAATTTCAAAGTGCGTTATTTTTGGGACACACTCAACGCACTTTGAAAAAAATTTTTAGAGTGCGTTAAGAGTGTACATAAACATTTTTTTTACCACGGGGACTTATTACGCACTTGGAAAAAAAAATATGTGTAAAACAAGAAATTCTAATGTTTGAATTTAGTTATTGAGAGAATCAATTTGTAATAATTATATCTTTCGAAAACCTTTTTAATTTACATGTACACTGTACTCATTTAACCTCATTGAGAAAAGGAGAAGGCGAGTAGAAGGTATCTTAGCCTAACTCTTTTTTTTAATTATTATTATACTTTGTACATACTAGTAGCTGTTTGGTGCCAAATTGAAAGTAATCCCCCCTCCCCAAGGTAAGTCCAATTTTCAATGCCTATAATATTTCATCTTTACAAAATATTTGTGTGCCTAAGCCCTTTCCCCCCTTCCCGGTATAAATGCCTATGTTTCACACAAATATATGTATTTGCATAACTGGTATGACGTTGAAAACTTTCAATAAATTTAGTTTACATAAAATGCATGCAAACTGAAAAAAAATAATTACAGTAAATCATTTGAGAAAGAAAGAATTTTCAAAGCATAGAAAAATCAAAATCGCTCACTTTAAAATCCGGAAGTAACCTCATCACCGAAGAGTTGTCAAAAAGATTCAATTATTTATCATGCCTACGATTTGCAAGAATATTGACCAAGCCATACACATCTTTCAAAGTGCGTTAATATGGTCCATATCAACGCACTTTGAAAAGAAATTTTATTTTTTTCAAAGTGCGTTGATTTGGTCCCAAATTTAAAGCACTTTGAAAATTTTTTTCAAAGTGCGTAATTTTTCAAAGTGCGTTGTAACACAGTTTCAACTAAAATTTCAAAAATCTATTTTTCCATTTTTACAAATATTTAACAAGAGTCTTTCTTATGATTATCAAAAATGAACGTCAGTTGTCGAGATACAAGACAGATTTAGAGCTCCAAACCTTTGTTCTGTAAACAATTAGGCCCGTGTCATGTTTTTGTTATACATGTGTTAATATGCTAATGTATGTTCGTTCAGAGTAGATAATTTCAATAAAGAAGTTAATTTTAAATACGATTCGACACTTTCTATTGCTTTGCTGAATTTCATTTTGTTATAAATGATATTTTCTATATGTAAACAATAACAAGGCACGAGCCTTGATTACCTTATGAAGAACTTTAAGTTCTGTATCTTGTATCAAATGATGTTCAAATTTTTGCTAATCATTAGATGATGCCTAAGGTAGGAATTGTAAAAATTAAAATTGTTTTTAAAAATCAATTGAAACTGTGTCCATGCCCCTTTAAAAGTTATGGCCAAGGTTAAAGTTTATATATTAATGGTAAAAATTGGTCAAACTCCAAGTCTTTGGTGGTACCCAAAGGAAGGTCCTTGTCACAAGGAATATACTTTCGAAATACTAGTATTAAAGTCATATATCCCCATCCACTCAAAAGTTATGGGCAAGGCCATGCTTAAACAAGAGGCCCCTGGGCCTTATAGGTCACCTGAGCATCATGCAACCACTTTCCAATGAATGAATTAATTGGTTCATGTTTTACACTAGACACCATGGCATTCACAATTTTGAAAGAGGCACCATTGCTAATCATAACTAATCACTTAGCAATATATTGCTTAGTTTGGTTACTTAATACCCATAGGCATTTCAACTAATCAGTAATATTCAGCAATAATCACCAGTAATGACACTACCACACATGAACCCTTGACCTTTGGTCCACACATTTCACAATTTTGGAAAAGGCAACCTTGCTTATCAAAAATGTTTAATTGATACCAAGGAGCAGATTTCAAACAATTTCATCATATAAGTAGAGTCCCCCCTCTATGGTACCCCTGACCTATAGGGGCCTTAAAATCCACAATTCTGGCAGAGCCCTTGCTCATGTATTTTCACTATATAATCAATTGAGCCCCGCCCTAACACCAGAACCCCAGACCCTGGGGCCATAACAGGCGTGGATCCAGAAATTTTTTCCAGGGGGGGGGGGTCCACCCCAGTCAAAAAAAAAATCCAATCCCAGAAATTTCTTGACAAGCAAAAAAAATAAAAAAAAAAAAAAGAAAAGAAAAGAAAAACCTAAACTCGCACAAACGTCAAAAACCTATTTCATGGTGTGTGTGTGTGTGTGTGTGGGGGGGGGGGGGGTAGTGGTGACTTTTATTGCCTCAAATCTTTCACTTTTCATACCCATTTCACATATATTCGTGTTCACCGGGAGGGGGAGGGGGGTCAGCGCTTTCCAGGGGGGTCCATGGTAACTTTTTTCTTTTTTTTTTTAGCATATACATTTTTTAACCGGGTAAATTCCAGGGGGGGGGGGGGTCCTGACCCCCCCCCCCCCCCCCGACCACCCCCCCCTTCTAGATCCGCGCATGCATAAAATTAACAATTTTCGAAGAGGCTTTCTTCTTCATCATAACTATTTACTTAGTTAGTTTGTTTAAATACCCAGGAGCAGAGAAGAAGATTTTGAAAGAAGTTCTGCACTTTCTCTACATAATCAATAGAGCCTCGCCCTTAACCTGGGGCCCAAAAATTCACAATTTTGGAAGATGCATTCCTCATCATCATAACTATGTACTTAGTTTATTTAATACCCAGGAGCAGAGAAGAAGATTTTTAAAGAAATAATGCATTTTCACTATACAATCAATAGAGCCCCGCCCTAACACCATTACCCCTGACCCTGGGGCCATGAATTTCACAATTTTGGTAGATGACTCAATGCTCATTACATTCATGCTAACAGTTTGACTGCTTGATGTCCAGTAGTAAAGAAGATTTTTAAAGATTGCATTAATTTTAGTGGTTTTAGTCCAACCCCTCAGGCCCCACGGGAAAGGGGGGGGGGGCAGGGACCATGAAATTCACAGTTTTTGTTTACCTTCACCCATAGATGCTTGATGCTAAATGGTGAAAATTGGTTGAGTGGTTGCAGAGAAAAGGCTGCAAATGGTCAAATATTAAAACACAAGATGCACACCGCACGACTACGAACGAAAATGGATAGTTTACTCCGGTGGCCTAAAAATTGGTTGCCTTTTCAGAACTGACTAAAAAAAGCCTTGCTCAAAACTTTTATTTTTACATTCCAGGACACAATTTTTTTTCTCCCCTTTTTTCATCTTAAATTCCTTCACAAATATGTTGAAATTTTCTGGAAAAAAAGATTTTCCTACCTACCTACCGACCCAATAATTGTATCCCGAGTCAGGAGAGGGCACGCAAACATCATTTTAAAGACGGCCCTAGGTTAATGTTTTTATGGACAGACAGGACAAAAACTATACACTGTATCCCCGAAATCTTCGATAACGGGGGCATAAAAAGATGAATTTATGTCTTTGTTTCACTTTACAGATGAGCTAGTACAATTACCAAAAGAAAGAGCGAAAATTTGTTTACATTCAAAATCTTTATCAGAACAAGAGATGTTTGTAAAACACATGCCCCTCCCACAAATTGGAATTTTTCCAAGTCCAAGGGGCATAACTCTGTCAAAAATGGCACGATCGTCCCCAAAACAGAAGTTGACCTAGATTTTTATCTGACAATTCTGTCTACTAAATTTCATTTCAGTATATGCAACCTCTGCGAAAAAAATGAACGGAAACTGCAAATAATCCAAGTCCAAGGGGCATAGCTCTGTCAAAAATACTGCGATCGTACCCAAAACAGAAGTTGACCTAGATAGTCATCTGATAAATCTGTATACTAAATTTCATTTCAGTATGTGCAACCTCTGCGAAGAAAATGAATGGATTCTGCAAATAATTGGAATTTTTTAACTTTGAACTTCTGGACTTTGAAACATTCTTATTTGGGAGAAGGGGGGCATGTGTTTTACAAACATCTTTTGTTTATATATAGGATTCATTTTCTCTAGTGAGAATTAAATTTGTAAAAGAACGACACCAAAACCTTGATCTTTTTCAGCAACAAGTTTTCACACCCCATCCCCTTACTTTTGGAGAGGTAACTTAATTTTTTTTCCTAAATTTTCCTGATTTTATTGCTGCCACTAGCCAGTGTCTATCTAGTACTTGATTTTTTTGTTTACATGCACTCATATAGATGCATCGGGTCTCTGACAAATGTAAACAAAAAAGGATTTTAAAAAAATTTATAAATACTTTTTACTCTATACAAAAGTATATTGGTTTTATAAAGCAAATTACTACATAAATGAATAAATATTGTTCAAAATTGAGTTGCACAAAAATTGTCTTTTACATTCAGACACAAATCAAAATTTCTTGAGCTTCATGTCCTTCTCATATCACAACTGTGTTTTTTAGTCCAACACAATAGCTTCCCTGGAATTCTCTCCTGTGGTTTGAACATCAGAAGTTGCCTCACTGTTATTAGCCTTTTCATCAGAACCTGCAGGTATTGCTGACTGATTAGCTGGTACCAGTTTCGTCTTGCTGGAGCTGGGGCTAGAAACAGTATCAACTTTTCCTGTGTCCTGGTTAGTGGTTCCCGCCTTTTTCCCTGCCGAGGGCTGACTGGACATCAAGACTAACCGCTTGCTGTCCTTAGGTGAAGACCCGGTGGACACCATCTTCCACTGCTGAGGCCTGGAGGGGGAGAAGAAATTCAGCTTGGGTTGGTCTGATTTGGACTCCTCTTTGGACTGTGCAGCTGTTTTCTGTTGAGGTACCTCGGTGACCTTGACGGCCTGCTCTGCAGTTTTGGCAGCCTGTTCGTCTGCTTGTTTCTGTTTATTGGCGAGAGCTGCAGCATTAGCCGCTGCGAACTGAGCTTGTAGGGCAGAAGGAGACATGGGTCTAGCAAACTGGGTGATGGAGACAGTTGGAGTTTTACGGCCAGCATTTATCTGCTCCTCGACCTTAGGTTTAATGGGGGTCTTCTTGGGTTGACTGATGAACTCCCAAGCACTAGGTACAGGCAAATCCTTAAGGTTGTATTGTTCTAGCACTGAATCATTCACGTACCAGCAGATTTTTTTGTAGGAGTCTCTTTTCTCCCTGGTAGCTATTGAGGTAATCTTCATTTCCAGCTGCCTTTTTGAGATACTGAATTCATCCTCAGATTCCGAGTTTGGCTTCGTTTCGGGGCCCTCTTTCGCATCCGATTCATCCAGATTGACAGTTTTGGATTCATCGGGTTTTTTAACACTCTCCTCTACCTCCATCTTTTCCTCTGATTTTTCATTGACTTCCATTTGTTTTTCGTTTGTTTTGTGTTTCCAGTATAATCGGAATTCCTTGACTAGTTTTTTAATCCCTGCTAGGTTTCCATGAACAAGTCTAATAAGATCTGGCATGGCTGAAAATGACAAAAAAGAAACGTTATTTCCCAGTAATGACTACCTTAATACAGACATTTCTAATGACAGTCTATGTTTACATCAAAATTTATGATGTTCTGAATCTCAAATCCTGTTGGAATGAATCATATCCTACATTTTAAAAACGAATCAATGTTCCTTTTTTTTTTCTTCACTAGTTTAATTAAGATTTTTGGTGCAAATAACCACTTTCTTTTTCAAGTAATTAAGAATTTAAAAAAATGTATACTGTTTTTCGCAATCAGCTGTTTTCATACTTTTTCCACATGGGATTTATTTGTACTGATTTTAAATATTAATAATTTGGTACTATAAAATACATCATATTTATCTGTAGCTGGCACAATAAAAAGTGCATTCAAGACATATAATGACAATCCGAGAAATTCGCACAATTTTCCACCTGTGTACTAAACAGAAAGTCTCATGTCTACAGAATTATGCCCCCTTCAGTTCTGACCTTCCTCAGGGACGGGTTTACACTGCCCCTTCTTACTCTCCTCCTTCTTCTCTGATGGAGTGTTCTCAGCTTTCTTGGACCTGGCCTTTGTAAAACTGGTGTCAATTGGTTGATCAACGAGAGGAACAGCCTGAAATAAAATCAACTCAGCTTTAGTGGTATCATAAATTACTGAACGTAAGCTGTATAAATTTGTATGTGTACATACACTTTAATTAAGCAAATGCGCTGGATATGGCAAGGATGGCATTAAGATGGATTTAATGTTATACAAGTCCACTTTTTTCCTTTTATCAAATTGGCTTCACCAAAAACATTCTTAAATGTTGATATTTATAACAAGAAATCACTACATGAGCATATATGTCTATTTATCTCAATTTCAATTTCATCATCATAAATCTTGCTAATTCACCTATGAACATCATATATACACTGTAACTCCCTCTTGCATCACATTCCTTTAATATAAGAAATACATGTCTATGTTTATATAGTACCTTGTAAATAGCCAGTTTTTCCTGCAGGTCTTTCTGTAGTTCGTGTACAGCATGTTCCCAGAAGCAGCCCATGATGATGGGTAGGGCAGGGGTTGTCTGTCTCTTCAGCTCCATCTCCCACTGCTCTAGCTTCTTTCTACACCTCATCTTCAAATCAGTCGCCTCCTACATAAAACAAATCCCCCAATAAAGAATGATCCTTTCAAAAAATTCATAAATAACTTTTTTAACTATATCATCAATCATTAACAATGCTTGTACAAAAAAAAAAAAGATTGAAAATTTTCAAGTTTCATGAAGAAAGAAACAATTCTTAAGGATACACCAAGGGTTTCAAAAGGGCAAAGTTTAAATTCCTTGTAATTCTTTCATAAACAAAGATAACATATTAAAAGTATATATCATTTGAAAGCTTATTAAATTTACTTTTTAATGATCTTTATTTAAATTTTCATTTTTATCTTATTAAAAAACTATTATATTTCAATGTAAATATTAGTGCATTTATATTTTATAAATCAACTTTTTCATATTCCACCTCTCAAAGTAAAAATTTTGCCTCAATGTAGATTAAAGATTGAACTTTAAAACCGTATCTCAGATTTTTGATAAATCTTCTTATTCAAAAGTTACATCCATTTGTCTTTCAATGTTACCAATTTATAGGCCAAATTCTGCATTTCCCCCAATAATTCTAGAACTGAGCAAGATATCAAAAATCTGAGATACGGTTTTGTGAATACACATTTGAGACGCATTCAGGCCAGTTTTCAGAGAAATTGGTCAATAAATAAGGGAGCTGAATCCTTTGAAATAATACCACTAACTGTCTGATCTTACTTTACAGTAGAGGGCAAAAACCCATTACACAACAAAGTCTGCCAAAGCTAGAAATATATGACACCTTGGAGATTCAGCTTTGGATACCTGTCACTTATCCATATTTCCTATGCATATTCACAAGAATGGGAGGTTCTATTCTGTATTTAGGTGCTTTTAATGAAGTAAAATAGGTTAATTCTGAATCAGAAAGATTTCCCAGCAAAATGGCAAGAGCTAAGCTCCACCTCCTATTTCATGGTCATTAGTGACCTGTTACATCTCCTTCCCTAAATCTAGAGTCCCTGTAGTTTAATTACTGATACTCTCTGTGTGGCTCGTGAAGAATTCCCCATGTGGTCACAGTGATTTATTGCTCCTATCAGAAGCAGACAGTTACAGACCAAATCAGAATCTTCAATAACGGCACATTCACATGTGTTAGTGTTTATGTTTGATTATTGTTAAATAATTAGAAAAACCTTTTATTAATCAGCAAGAATTTTTCATGCGTTATAAAGCAGTAATTAGCATTGTTTTCTTAGCCAAAAATCTCAAATTTGACAAAAATCTTGAAAAAAGCCTTTGGTGTATCCTTAATGTCAGCTTCAATGTCCACAGAATTGTGAAATTCACCTCTTCCTCATCTTCACAGCCTTCCCCCTCTGAGAGGTAACCATGAGGAACCATCCAGTCTGCCTCTTCATCCTCCTCATCCTCATTGTTCTCCTCCTCTTCTCCCTGAAACAACCAATCGAATGAAGCCAAACTGTAGCTATAGCCAATCAAATCAAACTGTAGCTACAGCCAATCAAATCAAGCCAAACTGTAGCTGTAGGCAATTGAATCAAACTGTAGCTACAGCCAATCAAATCAAACTGTAGCTGTAGGCAATTGAATCAAACTGTAGCTACAGTCAATCAAATCAAACTGTAGCTACAGCCAATCAAATCAAACTGTAGCTCCAGTCAATCAAATCAAATTGGACAGTAGCTAGTCAATTGAATCAATATAAACTGTAGTTACACTGTACTACCTATCAAATCAAACTGATGTGTAGCTACAGCTAATCAAATCAAACTGGTGTAGCTACAGTAAATCAAATCAAACTGAACTGAACTGTAGCTACAGCTAATCAAATCAAACTTGGACTGTGGCCATAGCCATTCAAATGAAATTAATTTCTAGAAGCCATGAATAACCAGTAATCTAATGGAATCATTCAAATCAATTTGATGTCTGAGACTGGGATTGTTTTTACCTCTGAAGCTGACAGACTTTCCCCTGGCTCCTCTTCTTCCCATTCATCATCACTGTCTACCTCATAATCAAACAAGTCCTAAAACAGAACATATCATAAAGTATCAATTATGTCATCACCATATACCTCATAGTCAAACAAGTCCTAAAACAAAATACATCTCATTAAGTATCAATTACATGTAGGTCATAATTGTATACTTCATAGTCAAACAAGTCCTGAAACAAAATACAACATTGAAGAGCATCATATCTTGAGAAGGAGAAGGGTAATACAATCAACACTTTTAAAAAGCAGATCCTATAAAATTTCCTCTGCCTGAATACACTGTTAGTCTTTCCTTACATTGTCCATTTTGAATGGGTTCCTTGGACTTAGTTTGCTGCTCCTCTTTCTCCATGTACCGTAGTAGGGGGGTCGGTAGTTCATGTGGAACTGTAGCAGTTTACAGTGGTAGGTGATGCTCTTTACCGTCTCTGAGTCGTGGACCAAAACAACCTCATCCTCCTTAGTCCTACTAATATACAAAGATCAAAATTGCTGAAGCAGTTGTCTTGGATCCTATTAGTTTTCTTCTTTTTGCAGTATTTTCTATGATAATCAGGGCTTTTTTTACAATTATAACTTCTTTCAGGAGACATTCAATATCAAATTGTCCCATTTTTCATATCAGGGTCTAGAGATACAATATTTCATGTATTTGATTTTTATCAATGATTACTTATAAATTTTCATTGGTCATTCTGGCTGATCACATACTTGTCAGGAGTTCCCTTGTGCTTCCTGGGTTTAAATTTACCACCCCTCAGCTCTGAAATGTACAGATCCTTCACATCCTACAATGTAAACAGGAAAAAAATTCTTTATTCAATTATTGACAGCCATGACTCGAGAAAAAGTATGGTACAAGTAAACTTGAAATTTCCTCACTTTGCATGTACCGTATAAGTGGAAATTTTAGCGAGACGCAAATTTAGCGATTTGTCCTTAGAAATTGGTATTTTATTTTTAGAAAGATGTAATTTTAGCAATTTTTATGAGCTCACTATATAAATAAATACAAATAAAGCGCAATTAATTTTAAGCGATATTAAATGTTAGCGATCTTGGCACCCTCGTTAATAATGCCAAAATTAAATCCTCGCTAACATTTCTGCTTATACGGTATTTTAGTGTGCAACGTGACAATGGTAATGTTATTCTTAAAAATCTTGTAAAACTATAAAACAAGCCAAAGACGGGTTTAGGTATGAAAAAAATTCCAAAATGTGCTAACATTTACTTGCATAGGTCTATATGTCCATAGTATGATATGATAAATTTTGTCATACATTACATGTAGGTACATGTACCTGCTTCTGAAGACACTGGTCCAGCTTCTCCTTGGACTCTGAGTCCAACCCCTTCCTTATTTTGGGAGCTAGCAGCATGTCCTTCTTCACCTCAAATGGCATGAACATCCCCACTGGCTCTCTGCTGGTCTACAAAAGTATTCAAAAATATCGTGACAGAATGGCATAACAACTTTTAGCTACAGCTCTTACAAATTACAAAATGTAATTCATGAACATAAATTGATCATCTGTCACTGTCATTTCTCATTAGCTCAGTGGTTAGAGCATTAGCTCAGTAAAACAGGTGCCCTGGATTAGAGTCCTGGCTGAGACTTGATTTTTATTCTAACCACTGAGACACTGAGAACCAGTGTATTCACACACCTGTAAAACAGTTGATACATCTATTTTTCAAGTCTTCAGAAAAATAAAGAACACTAGAAAGTGAACTTTATTTGCTGATTATTTTTTTTTTGTACATTTACCTCTTTTCTGTTCACATGACTTTACCTTTGCTGTTGGGGAAGTTTTAGGTTTGACAAAGAAATTTGTAAAGGATTCCTTCAGCTTCTGCTCTTTTTGTCTCTGGAAAAAAAAAGAATTCACTTTCAAGCATTATTTCTTTCTTAACAATTGCAATTCACAATTAAAAGAATATATGGAAATTCTCTTTATTCTGGCTTTGTTCACAGGACAAAAATTCAATGAAGCTTCCTCTCTGTTTGTGTCATTTGGGGGAGGGGGGAGAGGGAGAGAGAGAGATGGAGAACAAAAGAGTGCGGGGCTAAAGCTCCTGTGGATCTCCGTAATGGTGCAAGCGCAGAGTGAATCACATGGTAGATATTTTCTGACAAAATTCCCATTGGTTACAAGTGCTTTAAAACATTCAACAAAACCAGAAAATCTTTTTCATTGTCTTTTTAAATGAAAATGCCAATTTCCTGTAAAAACAATTCATTTGTTTTTTTGTTCTTACTTTGAATAAATTTTTTAATCATACAGAACTTATCTCTTTCGAACTTCCTTGTTTCGGCCCTGTGTTTAAAAATGCTCATAATATGTTCAAAATATATAGCAAAGCAGTGCAAACAAATATGGTTAAATCAAATTAAAGGGAAATTAGGGGGAAAAAAATATTCATCTCACGTACATTTAAAAGTTATATAATTAACAAGTTTTCCAGCAAACAATTAAATTTAAAATACACGCATTTCATTGGAACTATAATGAAATGTACATCTGCTTCAAACAGAGCCACCGTTGGAAATTTAATTTGATGGAAAAACTTCTTGTTTCTTTTTCTTCTCTTCATTCTGTGATTTTATCTTTTTCCTTCTTTTGCTATAAGAATAACATAACCTAATTATATATACATGTATTTATAAAAAAGTAGACAATCTTCATATAATGTGTCAAACAAATCAATTAAATTTTTAATTATACACTTTGGAATATCATTGTTTGTGGATTCCATGGGTCACCCTTATCAAAGAATTTACATTCCCATTAAGAAGTACCGTATTTGGGGGAATACAATACGCACTTTTTTCCTAAAATAAATTTCTGTTATACATCACAATGGGATTTTGATAAGTTTTTCTTTAGGGAAACACGGCTATCATACGTGCATTGTCCAAGAGACATATACAACTTCTTTTGTTTATTGTCATTTTTAAAGAAAGTTATTGTTGGAAGGTATGCTTGTTAAAAATACAACTTTCATAATATTTTGATACTAAAATGACATGAAAAAGCAAGTAAAAATTAATTTGAGCTCCATGTTTATCGTCTCCGTGTAGGCCGCCATTACCGATGCTATTTTAAATTAACACATTCCTTTGTCACGTGCTTGTTCAAGGTTACATATGCACCCTATCTGGTTGACAAAGTAATAAGTCATTTTTTAATGAAATACAATAAAATAAAAATTTTATTTTAGTTTTTTAACTCAGTGAAAATTCACTGCACAAAACTTATACGAGTGTGACTAAAATGGGGACAAGCGGGCTGGGCCGGGAATCTCTGGAAACCGGGTTTTTGACAATAACGAAATAAATACTTGCAAAGAAACTTACACATAGTTAATAACCATACGATTTGAGCGAGTTATAACTCAAAATGTTGTTTTCAATGCTTATCGCCGATTGACCTTGACCAGGTGACTAAAATTAGCGACCGGTTTACCTAGATTTTTAATTTCAATATATTCACAATTATTACTTTTGGTTCTTTGAAATTCAATTTAAACTACTTAAATCATCTGACTGTTTTAATAATATATCCCGATAATTGAAAATAACATTTTTTAATCGCAAACATTCACCCGGGACAAACCTTTAATTTCCGAAATACTTATCAGAGGATGTTAGCTATTACTTACGTTTATTCACTTTCATCCTGATGGAAATTGGACAATATGAACACGAACTCAGAATATTTGAATTCATTGAAACTCCCAGCTAATACCTGGGCGTATACCAAGCTAGCTGTGCAGACATTATCAAATTTAATGATAATAACTTCATCAGGAATATTAATTTGTCTTTTAATGAATCTTCCAAGCCAGGTGTGCTGACATTACCCCGTTTATTAATTTCAAATTAATACGTGAACACCAAGCTAATTGTGCAGAAAAAAACTTGTCAATGATATAATTAAAATAAAATTTGACTGTGGTTTGATTTGCATATTTTTATTATTTTTTCCAATTTATTTTTTAAATGTATCAGTCAATGACTATGAAAAAAAATCTACATTCTTTCTCTGTCAATAATCCGGAATCATTAAGTTTGTCCCGGGCAAACGCGTCCGGTTTTGACCTGTCCCGGGTCTACAAAAAATCACAAAAACCCTAATAATCGACATTTAATTTCATAATGATTGAAAAATTTAACTATTTTAAGTTAATGATCAACCAACAAATGCAAATACCCCACACGTTTTCAATGCATTAAGCTTTAAATCGCGAAAATGAGTAAACTGGGCTCGCTACCCATTTTAGTCACCTGGAAAAGGACAATCGGCGATAAGCATTGAAAAACACAACATTTTGAGTTAAAACTTTCAGCAAAGGCAAATCGTATGGTTAATTACTATGTCCGTAAATTTCATGAAGAACGAGTATTTATTTCGTAATTGTCAAAAACCCGGTTTGGTTACAAGTGCTTTAAAACATTTTAGTCAAAACCAGAAAATCTTTTTCATTGTCTTTTTACACACGTGCGCTGGTCATGGGATAATTACCTTCAACACTCGTTACACCCCTCCATGCAATTTTTCTTCTTTCAAAGCAATTTTTACAGTTATAGCGATGATTATTTTCACTGTCCTTTTAATTGCTTTGGTTATTTTTTTTAAAAAATGCTCATAGTACCTTTCATGTGTGAGCGTGTGTTATTACGACACATTAAACAATTAAACACTTGTCAAATGTAATTTTACCTTATCTTATACTTATCCAACCCTTGTTTAGATAATTGAGATTTAACAAATTAAATATGAAGTAAGCTAAAACTTAAGTGTTATCATTTATTCGTACATTAGAGTAAAACTTATATAATCTAACAAGTTTTCCAGTTAAACAATTTCCTTGGATTTAAAATATGTTCCTTACTCATTGGAACCAAAATTAAATATGACAACTGTTTAAACTTGCAACAATATCTCATGCCTTGTTGATATAAAATTATTTCACCAAAGAATTATATGGCCATTTATTATTTCAAAATCACCGTGTGCTTCAAAAATAAATTCTGTTAACACCTTTACGCAACATTATCTTGTGCTTTGTTGAAATCTCTGAATAAATAATTTTCTTCTTTTGCTATATGGAAATTAACATAACCAAATTATATATAAATGTATTTGAAAAAAATGTGTGACTGTAAATTTATGACATATAATGTGTCAAACAAATCAATTAAATTTTTAATGATATACTTTGGAATATCATTGTTTGTGGATTCCATGGGTCACCCTTATCAAAGAATTTACATTCCCATTAAGAAGTATTTATCAATATAATTATTCACTGAATCTTCTAAATATGTGAGTCACCCACAAAATACTTTCCCTTTGAACCAACAAAAATGTTCTTACCCAAGAACATTGAACCCATAGATTCCATAGTAATTAAATATTAATTTTACCTTCTCCTCTTGTTTCTGTCTCTCTTTTTCTGCCTTGGCCTCTTCTCTCTCTTTCTTCAATCTCTCTTTCTCGCGCTCTTTCTCCATTTTCTCTTGTTCTTTTTTCTGTCGTTTTTCTTCCATTTGCTTCTCTTTTTCTTCCTTTATTTTTTGCCTTCTCGCATCTCTTTCCTGCTTTTTAGCATCAGACAACTGTAATTTGAAAATAAAGTTAAACATATAATTATTCCTTTAATAATTTACTTGAATCAATTTCAAATCAAAATGTTGACCAATATTTAGCATTTTTATAATCAGTATATAATACAGATTATAGACTATACTTCCTCCATTTTGAAATAATGCCTCTTGTACACGTGCATATTTGAAATTGATTTGCATATTGATTTCAGTGCTGAGCCTGATCATGAATTAATGACCTAGAATTTAACTTTTAAACAATTATTTCAGTTCTTTCTTCCTCTTTATAACTGTTGTCTTACCCTCCTTGGAGTATAACAACTGCCTTACCCTCCTTGGAGCTCGTTTTGCAGTACCAGGCGTACTGTCACTACAGCTGAGATCTGACGCCGACTTAGGGGTCTTGAGCAAAGAATCGGAGAGTTTAGAGGTTGGGGTCTTCAAGATAGAATCTGATGCTTTGTCCTTGGCTGGTGTTGCACAATCTGGGCTGGTGGAAGAATTCTCCGACTCATTTTGTGACTTCTCGTTCTCCTCTGCAGTTTCGTCCGCAGATTGAGAGTCGACTTCCATGTCATCTTGTTCTACTGGCTTTTTCTCTTCTGATTTTACTGGCGATTTTTGTTTTGTGGATTTCTGGGTTGTTTTAGGAATATTCTCTTTCTCCTTTTCTGTATCTGATTCATCACTCTCGATACAGATAGGGGAACCTTTCGATTCTGTAAAATCCACACCATCGTTTGTGGACGAGATCTCTTCCTGCGAGGTCCTACAGACAAATCTTTCTAAGGTGTTACGAATTTTATTTTTTCTGGATTGATGATCAGCCTCGGAACTAGAACTGACTTCAGACTCATTTATTTCTATAACTGCTTTTTCCTGTGATTTTGGAGTCTTTGAAGGTTTAGCACTAGGAGATTCACCATCAGACAGTTTGCGCTTCTTAGAACTGGGAGGTGTGTTACCTAACCCTGTCTTTGGCTTGACATCAACAGGTTTAAATGGTAGACGGCCTACAAAAACAAAATAAATATTAATGATGTCAAACAGATATTTATTGGTTTAAATTCAATACAGGTGACTCTCGATGGCTCGAACTCCCATCTATCGAAGTTCTCCATCTCTCGAAGTGAACCTCCAGTCCCGTTTTTTTTCCTCTATATAACTAAGCAAATTTACTCTTGATCTCTTGAACTTCTATTTCTCGAAGTTCTCTATCTCTCGAACCAAAATCTTGGTCCTGTTACACATCTTTCATTGAATTTTTCTCTCTATCTCTCGAAGTTTTGGTTGCGCGTGTATAATCGCGGCAATTAACCGTAAAATTGATGCAGCATCAGGACTTACCTGGAAAACAGTGAACGCCTGGGGCTGGCATGGAGGTGTTAATTGGGTGTTTACATAGATCACACTACACCTGGGCTGTGGGTCGTCCATGTGTTGATATAATTAATTAGTTATTATTGGTAAATTATAAACCAATTCACAACTTATTTTGACTTGAAACCAAGACGATAATTTTTAGAGAATAATTTTAAAGACATTCGTTTCAATAAGTTCCCATAGACTATGAACTTAAATTATTAGAGTCTACATAATCCCAGTATGGCAAATATTGCACAAGAAATTCCTTTCTCAAGGACTGAGTACCGATTAAGAAAAATAACAGGGCTCTCACACCACTTTTTGGGACTGGGGCCGGGGCCGTTCAAATTGGGAAAATTATCGTCATTTTGGGAAAAGTTGGATAACCAAAATTCATTTTAAAAAATCCTCAAATTTTGCTTTTCTAGCATTTTGTCATCAATTTAACTCATTTTAAATAAACAGTTAAACAGAACAAACATGGGTATGTAGGCTATTTATGAAAGTACATTAGCTTTGTCATTACTATCTTTGAGTGTTGATATTGCGGTTAAATGTCTTTCTGAGTGACAGTCGCTAGTCACATAATCCCGAATTTCCTTGATCACATGGACAACTTTGCTTACCAATACAGCGCGAGATTGAACATGCTGACACGTGGGTATGTTTCTAGGTGCAGCTTACTAATGTTTAAATGAAATGTCTATTTTTGAAACCAAAATGATGTTTTTTGTCGAAACTACTTGACAAGATACTCTGCACTCATAGTTAGTACACATTTTTGTAAAAACAATTATCTGGTTCCCCGAACCAGTTTATGAATGCATTTGTTGCGAACTAATAAAATAGTAGTACAGTTTCACTTTCATTTGCAGGTGTGTTTTGTTTGGGGTTTTTTTTTGCGATTAAGTTTCATGGACTTTTATTTTTTAATTAATATTTTGCTATGGAAATTGGGAAATTTACACCTTTCTTTTGGGAAAAAAGGTACCTTTTTTGCATTGGGAATGGGGCCGAATATCGGCCCCAGATTTAGAGAATCGAGAGCCCTGAAAAATCTTGTGAACACTGGTGAAGGACCCGATCAAGCCGCAGAATAGCCAAACCCACATATTGCTATTGGGGTTTCATGTAATCATGAAGGAAGAACAAATAAATATTGAAACTGTAGGAATATGTTTTATTTATTCGAAATACGACCATTGTTGTTGATGTCAAGTAAATTACCTGTAAAATACGATTGAAAATGTGCAATTTCTTTATTTACATATACTCCGGTATCTATAAAAGTAAAACATCGATGGTCAGAACTGAAAATTCTGGATTTTATTGGCTTTGTATCTCTGAGAGCAGGGATTTTCCACTCACTTTTGGGAATGGGGCCCAGGCCCTTGGAATTGTGAATTTAACGACATTTTATCACTAATTGGGAAATTTTATTGTTTGATGTTTTTCAAGAAATAAACACTAAGATGAATAATATTAATGTTTTACATAGTTATTATAGAGCTCTGAATCAAAGAATTGATCATTATAATAAAGATTTACACAATTTTCAAACCTGACCATGTTTATATATATTTTGTGAATTATGATCAAGTTAACTTCTTAAGATCTGCTGCATTCAAGAATTGAACATATGCAGTTCGTTTTTGGGAAAAAGGGAGGGGTTTTGCAATTGGGAATGGGGCCCATATTCGGCCCTACACGGGGCAGTGGAAAATCCCTGGAGAGTCTCGAACCCTTCGATCTCTCGAACCTTTCTCGCGGTCCCTTGAACTTCGAGAGATCGAGAGTCACCTGTATATAACCAATTTTTTTTTAATATCAAACACCGATGCCTGGTGGGACTTATGAAATAAATTTTCTAATTATTCAAGGTTAAGATATATTCATGAAAAAACAGTGTTTTGGGACTTTTAACAATCTGTAACATAAGTATGGTACCTTATATAGAAATTTAACTTCATACAACTACACTTTGGTAAATATTGAGCATAAATTATTTTACCTTGTTTCATCTGCATGAGATCTAGTTGTTTCAGCTTCTTCAGTGGTGGGCTTTCATCCCCCTCATGCAAATTGCCTTAAATTAAGATTTTCATTTATTGAAAGAGGTTTTCTTTTACTGTAAACGTAACGTACGTTTTTTAACACAAAAACTACCCCTCCCACCCAACACACCAGTAAAAAAAACCTTAGACAATCAAAGTTGTTCTGAGCTTACGGAAAATCACTCACTGCAATCAATATTTAGGCAAATAATAAATCACAGAATAGAATAAATTATTCTTCAATAAATCTAAAATTGTAAACATGGCATAATTAAGAAATAAAAAACTTAAACAAAAGATAATGAATAAATACTTCACAAAATTTTGATTTTATACAAACCATTTTTCTTGACTGCTGTGGTTTCTGCTTGAGCCATTCCCAATGAATGTTGTGCTTTGATCAGAATATATAAACAGTTTACTTGGCCGTCAGCAGAGTAAAGAAAAGAGGTTCGTAGTTGGCGGGAGATGAAACGCGCCGGTGAAAATATTTTTTTGATAACCACTGAAAATTTATGAAATTATATTTGATTCTATCTTGTCGAATACCAGCATCATTAAAAAATTTTTTATACAATTTATATATTTTTCAATAAGTTTTTTTTTCTTGACGCGATAAATTAAACCCATTATTTCGGATAAAAACGGAAATTTTTTAACGCGCGACTACTCAGACAAGTCTCTTTGAAGATCCACAACTGTTTCAAATATGAAGAACAAGCAAGAAACATCAAATAAATAAATGAATAAATAAATGAATGAATGAATGAATAAATGAATAAATAAATAAATGAATAAATAAATAAATGGCAAGACACATGCGCGGATCTAGAGGGGGGGTCGGGGGGTCAGGTGTAATTTACAAGGTTAAAAATGTATATACTAAAGTAGGAAAAAGTTACCATGGTCTCCCCTTGGAAAACGCTGAACCCCCCTGGTAAACGCGAATATGTGTGAAATTGGTATGAAAAGTGACAAATTTGAGGCAATACAAGTCACCACAACCCCCCCCCCCCCTCAAGAAATAGGTTTTTGACGTTTGGGCGTGTTTTTTTTTTTGTTTTTTTTTTTGCTGCTTGTCAAGGAATTTCTGGGATTGGATTTTTTTTTGACTGGGGTGGACCCCCCCCCCCCTGGAAAAAATTTCTGGATCCGCGCCTGAGACATATCGAAAAATGGGAAATGATGAATATAACAAAAGTTTAGCGGGAAAGAATACAATTACTTGAAAATTGCCTCGGTTGAGTACTGAGTCAAGGGATGTGAATTTAATTGACTGTCAAGAAACTGGGGCCCCTTTACGTTAATGCTTATTATATTCAGGAATAGGTAAGATGCTTGATAATTTCTTTCTACACCCCCCCCCCCCTCCCCGATCGAAACAAGTGTACACATAACATCGTTATACACCAAGAAGAAGTGGTCCTTTTAAATTTCAAATAGGAACTGCCAATAAAATTAATAGTAAGTACATGTACTTAAAAATATACATGTGGGTACATGTATATTCTTATAAAAATGGTAAGATTTTGAGAATTAGACTTTATGACATTTGGTTTAATTGTAGAAATTATATTATGCAGTTTATACAGTTTAAACAACGGTACATTTTGAAAATTAAACAATGAAATTGTCACAACTGCAGGCCAGCGTATACACCTATTTCATTCCGATGTTAGCGAGGTTTTATCCAGGAAACACACAAATTAACGACAACAGGAAATGCTACAGGAAAATCCTACATCTACCAGGGAAGCTGGGTCCATGTTTTCTTTTTAGATCTAAAATATAATTAACATATTAATTACCAAACAGACATTGTTGGATAAGGTTATGGATTAAAGAAGAGTTCAGATTTGGGATTTCACATGGTAAACACAAATTAATGATTTTTTAATGAACACTTTTTCATCTTGTAGTGAAAGAACTTATAATTTACAATAATTTAATTTCATTCAGGACCTCAAAAACTTTAGGAATCCAAAATCTAAAAAGGAAACGATAATCCATGATTTTTTTTTTTACTACTGTGTGTTCTCCATATTTTCAGCCTTTCGAAACATTTTGACTGTTTTTATTTATCACCTGTTTATGGAACTTTCGAAAAATTAAACTCTAAAGAGTCACATTAGTATTTCTTGTTCAACAAATCAAAAGTAACGAAATGTAATCCTTATCAGATTCTTTTTCCTATAGGAAAGTTTCCCCTCTTCGGAACCATGAGTTTTTACGTCCTTTGTCCATTCTGTGTAAAAGAAAAGATCTTCCGAAGAGCGACACCTGATTTACGAGACCACGTTCTACAAGAACACAAAAGAAACTTAGATAGACTAGGGTCACTCAAAGATGAACTGTTTACGGAACCAAATGGATTCTGGTTTTCGCTTGTTCCACGTGAGTATCGACAACGCATTGAACCTACAGATCCCAAAAGTGGTTGCGCAAGCGCAGCCCGGGATCTAGTGAGAAACTGGCTCGGAAGAGTGAGGGAGACAAGTCGATCCATCACTGATTGGGAACGAGGCTGGAAGTTAGCGGATGAGGCGAAGTCAAAGGTCAAGGCAAAAAGAAATTTGGAAAGTTCCCTAATGATGGACATAGATGATTCTTCAGAACACTCAGAGATTGCAGAGCCTTGTGCGAAAAGTAACAAATCGGACACGTATTCCCCTCGCAGACCCGGCATTACCCGCGAGGAGTTGGTTATCCACTCTATCTGCGACACCGTGGATGGTATCGTTGTCATTCTGTATACCGAAGGACAATGTCAGATTTGGTACCGTTGCATTCTGGCTAAAGAGATCACATCTGACCCGAGGTCATATGTCAGCATTGTTCAAAAGAAGGCTGCCTTGAAGTCGAATTTCGAAGAACCACCCATAAGCATGAAAGAAGTCGGTACAAATCATTTGAGGATGAAGGAATCCATTGCAAACACGCTAGGAATACCCTCTCGATTGGTGACAAAGCTTACCTACGGCATTAAATTGTACCAACAGACCAAGAGCAAAACTTGTAAATCCTACTCCCCTCCAATTGTCACTCCCCCTCACCGTCATCAGGAAGAGGATGACCATCCAATGCCTGATTCTCAATTCCGATCACGATCCCCGACCATATTGGGCTCTAATTCTCACACGCTGCAACCTGATACTCCCGAGATCTCACCTTTGAAAGTGAGTCACGGGGGCGAAATTCTCCTCTCTGACTTAGATGGGGAACAGCCAGACATCAGCGTGAAGAAATACAAGGGAGACAATCTTTTGAAGCCTTCTTCCACTATTGAGCTCTCGGCAGACACCGGGTCTTCTGAAGACTCCGGGTACTTTAATCTCGGAACAGAAAAGAATGTGTCAGAAATCGTCGTGCACTCAACAAACAGACAACCCCGCCATTCATCTGGGAAATATGAATGCAATGATTGTGAGGTTATCGTTCTTGACACGAGTCATCCAACAACCGAATCCCGTAAAACAGCGTTTGACCTTTTAAGCACCGGGGTCATGCCCATCATTCCACCAGCAAAGCGGGAGTGGACCAATGTTTGTCCGCTGGTATTGCTTACTGACCCACAACCTTTGTACTGGCCCCCAAAAGACTGGGAGAGCCTGAGTCCGGATGCGCGCCTGTTTGCATGGGAAATGGCGGCGTTTAGACTGCATACTTCCGGTCGACAACCTAAGCCGCTGGATTGGGATCGAGTCTCGGTTCTGACCATCTACAATATGTTGGCGCTTCCGGGGACAGCGCCTTTGTCGGTAGAGGATTCAAGAAAGGAAGAAATGAATATGAGACAATGCAACTTTAACATGATGAAGAAAATCGTTTTTCACGGAACCAATAGCGAGACGGACCGGATGTTTCTGCGGATGATGGAACACGCTTCCGTGCATCGAGAGAAATCTACAAACTGGCTCACAACTCTCCTAGACAATCAGAACATAAGACTTCGCCTTACAAAATGATTTTTTACTTAATTTAACTTTATTTCTAAACGAAAGGGGATGAATTAACTTAATACATTTTGGATGCTTAGTTTCCTATATATATTTTTTTTGCTTGTAAAAATTTCTATTTCAGTTGTTCTCTAGAATCACTTTGTCAGTTTTAATTAAACCTCCCTAAAATATAACTTTTTAAGAATGATTTTTTAAATTAAAAAATGTATAAGAATCTTGCTACTTTGGAAAGGAGGGGGGGGGGTGATAAGATATTTCCATTCTTCCAACTATGTAATTAGAAAATACGAAACTAGTACTTGTGCGAGTGCTGATTAGAGTTTAGAAAATTACTCAATTACAACCTCTGCATGTGCGAACCAGACTACTGTAATACACTTTTAAATTGATCGCAAAGTAGTAAATACATATAAATGTAATTATTTATTATTCGAACATCTTTTTTTAAATTACATTTTCTGCTATATGCTGAGCTCAAAATTTACATTTAGGTCAACATTTTGCAAATTTTATAAATAGGACAACGCGTTCATTTTATTTATCTTTACTTTTCAACAACAAACATGATATCAATATGAATCATGTTTGGATTTTATTTTTTGTAGCTAAAAAAAATAATATATTGAACTGGGGTAAAAGTTTTACCCGGAGACATTAAATATTGGGGAAAATAAAATATGTGAAAAGGACAATCAAAGATGTATTTAATGCACAAGGGTTATAAATTCGGTTCATGATACGGTTTGACCTCACCCCCTCCACGACCTCCCTCTAGTTAAAATGAATCCATAATCAGGGTAAAGGCAATTTATATAACTTTTAAAAACATTCCATTTGTTAACTTTAAAATTATTGAATCATCCATACAACCGAATATTGATATAAATTAATTTTTATATCCGCAGTACTCGATTTTTATAGTAAATGTGCGATAGCGTTTAAACAGGTATTCGTCATACCATATGTCATACATTCAAATGATTCAAGTGAGTGTTTTGGCCAATGTAAATTTTAAAACACGCTTTTAAATATGTAATTTTCTGTAAAATCACATTTTGTTTATGCTGATTTTATCATTTAATTTCAAGTTGTTCTTCCATTTGGATTTTTTGTTTCTTTGATCTTAAAAATTATTCTTGTTAATTCATTTATTTCAAATTAATCTCATACAGTATGTGTTTATTTCTTTTTTTTTTTATTACTATTAAAAAATGAATTTAAACAAATTCTGTTGAAATTAAATCTTTCGCATGACAATTACATATAATTCCAAATTTATCCGATTCATAATGTTTTCCACGTTCCTGACTATTAGCTGCGGAACTAGTGAACTAATTCGTCAACAGATTTAGTGGGAGTAAGTCTAAATAATAAATTTTGACAGCTTTGGATTGAAGTGATAAATATCTATCAACATGTCGTGGGAAGGATTCAAGAAGCAGTTTAACAAAGCAAACCAGGTACTTTCTGTTTAGTGCGCAATTATCAATGAGTTAGTTAATAAGGCACGATCCCTGTGTTGTGACTGGACCGGTTTGTGTTATTGCAAAATAAAAACGGATTTTATTTCCCTTTAAGTTCATAAATGAGAAAATGATGAAAAAATACAATCAATTGAATAATAATGAAGACATCGTACCATATATATAACAAAATAAATTCTGATAAGGATAGAGCATTATTGTTGTATCTGGGATATGTTTAAAAATTCCAGGCCTATCATTCATAACTGTATTTCTTAATGAAAAAAAATCATCCTAGTTATGCCACACTTATTTTTTTTTTTACCAATAATTCTGTATTTTTTATGCAAAAATTTATCTTCTTTAAAATCTTGAGTTATTCACGAATCACTTATCAATGTTTAAAACTTTAAATGAACAAGCATGAAAATATTTAAGTTTTTTTCTTAGAACAATATAATTATATACGTATTTTTGAATTTAGTATATGAGTGAAAAGATTGGTGGTGCTAAAGGAACAGAGCTAGATGATGAATTTGTAGAAATGGAAAGGGTAAGTAATCCTCTAAACTACATCTGAGATATTCACAGATAATTGTTATTTTTGAAAAACCGCAACTAAAAAGTCCAAAATATTTATTAATCTGTAAAACATTCAAAAATTACATGTGCTATACACAGGTGAATAAGTAATAGTCTACTTATGTTTTACAGAAAATTGACGTGATGTCAAAGTTGGTGGATGACTTAATTTCAAAAACACAGGAATATCTCCAACCAAATCCAGGTAACTAACTTCAGTTAACTACTCTTAAATCTACTGTGAAATCACTAATTTTGTGGGGGTTTAATTTTTTTTGGGGGGGGGGATGGAGAAACCTAAGAATTTATGTCAACCATGAAACTTCATTTGAACTACTACTTAGCATTCTCCAAACACAGAATAAAATCCCCACAGACAGATATCTTTTCAATTAAACCTCGAAAATTTGACCCCACAAAAGTATGTGATTTTACAGTATTCTAAAGAAAAACAAAGTTTTTAGCTCTTCTGATATAAAATGTATTTGACTCAATCACAAACTCAGTAAAACATGGCTTTTTGTAAATTTTCAGCTTCCAGAACAAAAATGATGGTTGTAAATAACTTCTCCAAGGTTAGAGGAAACACAAAGAATATTTCCTACCCACAACCAGAGGGGACATTGGGGGAACACATGATCCGGCACGGCAAAGACCTGGGTGAAGATATGGTGTTCGGTGAGTTTTTTTATGGGACAGACTCCACATTTATGCTGCCAGAAATTCGATTTTTTAGATGAATTTGAACTGCTGTGTGTGTGGTTAACCTGGTTTACTATCACAAAGTTGCATAAAATATAAGCTTCTCGTCTCACGTGGACTCCATATCATCTCGACTTTCAGGTTGTAAGATCAGTTGGTTGAAGTTCAAAGTTCCATGAACACACTTGTATGTAATGCTTGTACAAAACTTGAAAGTATCTCAAGATACAGATTTCCTTTCAAGATATTTATGTCTCTAGGGAAAAAAAGGAACAAGAGGCCAAAATCATTGAAGAAGGAAGACAATGTTTGTTTTTGTCAGTGTTGTCATGGTTGTAGTTCAGAATTAGTTAAGACATAGGGAAAGTAAATGACATTAAGTCCACAGAATATTGACATCACTTCTACAAATGAATATTGAGCAGAAAGCAAGTAATAATGCACTCCAAAAATGTTTCAGGACTCATTTTGTTTCCCTAAGAACTACCGCCTACCAGCAAAATTAACTGCTTCATTTGACAAAAATGTGGCTTTGAAATTTAAAAAAAATCTAAATTCAATTGTTGTAAGGTCCAAAGAGATTTTGTCCATAAACCTCAGCCCCTAGCCTGTTACAACTGATCTCCAACTGTTTACTTTGAAATAAAGGGAAAACATCGTAGGACTATTTGATACGTAAATTTTGTGACATGTCTAAATATTTGTCTGATTTAATTGATCTGACATGAGTTTGGAAAGTTACACTTTGAGTTTTAGGAGAAAAAAAATGTAAAAATGATTTGTTACACAAAAACTATTTACAGCCTTAATTTTATGAAATGGAGGGCTTTTTTAAGGGTACACTTGACCGATATATTTATGCCATATATGGTTTGACATAGAATCAGGTTAAAGTTATCACTTTTCTGAGAAAGAATTACACCTAATCCTTGAATGTATTTAGACACTAGCTGCCTCATGTCTGAGCTATATAAAGTATACACTTCAAAGGAGATAAAATATCACAGTACTAAAAAAGTTGAATAGTTAAATTAAAAGTTTACATATATATGCGAAACATAGGGTTATAAAAATAGCTGGATTACTCGTGTAACATGTTACACTGTCCTACGTATAACAGTGCCTGGTGTCAATTAAGTATACAATAATACAAATGTAACCGAGATGTGATCTATGTCATTGTTTACATATAGTCCAGGTAAAATACTTTGTACATGATGGGTTGTAACACCTGTTAGAACATTATGTAAAATCTAGATTATCACCTGAGATAATGCTTTTGTCAATTTCCTTATGTAACCTCATGACAATTCACTTAGCAACTAAACTAATTTGCTTTTATAGTCTTAAAAGTCTGCACAGATTATAGGCTATAAAGAATGAATGTAACTAAAGAATTTAAAAAAAAAATGGCCTAAGGCTTATCTTGTTCATGTCATTACAAGTGTCACCCGAGATCAGTAAATGGAATGTTTAAATCTCTTTTGAGAATATATCTAAATTAGCCAGTGATTTAGGGAAGACATGCCTGACAGAATATCATTTTCACAGTGGATATTTATCAGAATGGAGAGAAACTTTTTTTACTGTATGGTTTTACCACAAATAGAAAAAAGAATAATGCTATTTCATTTATCATTATCCATCACATTTACAGTGATTTATTAGTTACCGAACTCCAATCTTGTTGTAATTTAGATATCTCAATGTAGACTCCCTAGTAACCCCCCCCCCCCCCAAAAAAAACCCAGATTTTAGGTAAAGTGCATTATTGTCGTCTTAGTATTCATTAATTCATTTAAAAATTTGTAGCAACAGTTAAGTATTAGGATTAAAATTTTTAAATTAATATACCGGTACTCTTAGTCTAAGTAAAGTCTTACAATTTAAGGATGCCTATACAGAAAGTCCCAAGTTTTGAGATATTTAAGGAGAACAGTAGTTGTGTCTAAACAAATGATTAATGACTCTGATTCCATTATCTTCTCACCAAACTTGTGCAACCAGAAACCTGTTTTAAGTTGTGCCAGCAAATGATAACACACAATTAGTAACAAGGTCGCCTCGCTCTTTTGTTTTGCTGCCATTATAATGTAAACAGACTGCTCATCTTATAGGATTGTTGTTTGATAGAGGTAGTGCACAATTTAATATGAAGTTTGTAAACTATTTTCTCCCCAGATAAGTTTGATATTGTTCACTGGGAAGTTAATTTTTAACAAGTACATTATTAACAGTATAGAACAGGTGTGACAGGGATACATTGATTGGGTAGATTGAATTGATTTAAAGTGGTACATGTGCTATCATCTTATAATAATGTATCTTTCAAAGTTCAAAAATAATTTCCTTCAAATTTCGATCAACAAGTCTCATATTTTGTGGTACACCACATACAGTTTGTATATTTACATTCATTCGTTATACACACACAAGTTGAGGATTGATGGATGAATTGATGTATATGTACCGGTATATATCCTTCAGAGCTATTCATTTCCCTTCAGCCTTGTGTTTGAGGGATGATAATTTGTTTTATGTTTAGGATGTAGGATATGACAACAGTTAATTCATTGAATTATTCCTGCCATCCCCCTGTGCAGGCCCTGTGACAGTTGTTCTGGGTTTCATTGATCTTTTTTTCCCTGCGCAGCCCACTGTCTCTGTGTGTATAGAGATGTAAATACATCTGTGATCTTAATTAATGTGAATCCAAGCTCTCTATAAGTGTTCTAGAGTATATTCTCTTCACCTTACTAGTTATAATTTCCTGTTCAGTCTTTTCACACTAACATAGGGGAAGTAGGAGCAGGAAAAGTTAGTTAATATTTAATTACCCCCATTTCTTTAAATTTGGTCTCACTTTTCAAATACTTCAGTTTAAAGTGTGGTAACCCGATAAAGTAAAAGTGAAGCTGTCATGAAAATTAGTCATGAACTTTGAAGTTTATGATTAGGATGCTTGACATTTGCATTGTGTACATACTTCATATTAAAGATGCTGATAAGAATATTCTTTTTTGGTCTTTGATTTATATGTTTGTCTGTCTTTGTGTATCTTTCTTTATAGTGCTTTTTTCATTTATAATGGATGATGACCTTGACTTTGAAATAACATTAGCTAGTAACTACATATCTGGGCAAAATAATTGACAAACGTGAAGGTCAATGTTGAAGGTCTATATTAGAAGGTTATTTATAGAGGTCAAATTCAGAGTTAAAATTTTGATTGATTACTTGATAAACTTAGGCCTTATTAATCACACAAGACAGAGAACATTTATATAAATGCTGAATCTATAAATAAATTAACAAATTTACAAGGCATGCAGCTACGTGCATGTGCACTGAAACAAGAAATAAAAGTTTAAAGAAAATCTATTCATTTACATTGAATGGACTAAAATTTACCTCAAATCTATATTATATTGATATAAGATATTGTTTTTTCATGTATTTTTTAATGTGTTAACTGATGTCTTTTCAACATATGATTTCAGGGGATTATATCTAACTTGAATATCATTGATATTATATTTAAGGCGATGGAGACTGGTGTTCTAAACAGATCGGAGGCTGGGGACCACAGAGTACGCCCTGGAGGACGAGGTCAAACAGAACTTCCTAGGACCGCTAGCAGATCTCCAGGCCAAGGACCTCAAGGAGGTCAATGTAGGTCAAGGACAAGGTCAATTTCTTATAGGGAGAAAAAATTTATAAATCTGAGGAATAAGTAAGGGGGGTAACTCTCAGCAAAGAAAGATAACTGCTGTAAAATTAGTGTCAAATTGATGAAGCTCTGTGTTTTCTTTTGAACATTTTGTATAACCCTCTTACTGGAAGGACTTGTTTTGAATTGTGCCCACAAAAGTGTATTTCTTTCTTTCTTTGGTTGTGGTAGAAAGAAAAGGGTGGGGGGGGGGGGGTTGTGTCAATTACTGTATTTCTGTTCATTGTATTTTGATGAAGACAAGGTGTTTTATTGGTTAAGTTTTAAGTTGAAAGATAAATGTGATGTACATCTATCTACAGCACCACAGGAAGAAGCTGTCTGGTAGAAGGCTTGATTTTGATTGTAAGAAAAGAAAGAAAGAAAAAGGTAAGGTCATTAGGTCATTGATAAAAAAAAAATTTTAAAAAGAAGGTGAATTCATCAGAATATTTTTTCTTGAATTTCGGAAGGTTAGGGATATATACATGTATCCGGATTGAAATAATTTTTTTTTTCCATATATGCTTAATGATTTCATCCTCTTTTATATCATTTCATGGACATTTAGAAGTATTTTAGCTAAGTCGAATGGCATATATGAATGATTTTGCTGTGTGGTTTGTCTGTTTGTGGCTTGGTAACCATGGCCTGTGTTTGATTTTCCGTGTTCTTTTCTTTGCAGGAGGTAGGACTTCAAATGTTTAAGTATAATTTGTGCTTCAGTGCATGTTGGGGGTTTGTAGCATTTTCATAGATTAGACCCCATTGTTTTTTTTTCGAGTAAATATACATTGTTGTACTGTATTGCATGGATCAAGCATAACAGTACTTTTGGTACTTTCATTTTAAAGTGTTCATTGTCCTTAAAGCTTAAGCTATTGCCCTCCCCAAATATGATATTTCAGCAGAAATGCTTACCACTTGGCTTTTAGGAATTCAGTACATATATTTGCAATATACATGTAAATGATAATAATGTGCTTTGATTGTGAATAATTAATCAGAACAGGTATTGCTACTAAGTAGTGTTGACTTCAAATTGCTTTCATTCAAATGCATATTTAAGGGGGTTTCTTCAGTCTAAAAGATTCTCCAGAATTTTCCATGGAGGAAAAAAATGTAGGACTTTAGTATGGGATCTCAAAAGTTTTAATGAGAAAATTTATAATGCTACTGGGCCACAATTAAAATATTGTTGATTTGGCGTTGCTGACTCAGTCTTAATACGTTTGGGTTGGTAGGTAGGGAAAATATTTTTTTTTCAATTTTAGAAATGTTGTTAGTATCTGTGCGTCATGGGTTTCTGGTTGTTTAGCAACAACTGCAGCCCGATTTGATTCCCAGTTGTTATTTATTTTCAAACCCTATTAGTTTTAAACTTTTATTATATACAGTGTATATGTATAAAAAAATCGCCGACATTGAATTGGCAAAAAAAGTCGTTTTCGTATGCACGAATTTAAGCATGGCCGCTATAGATTCATCTAGCAAATCAGACAGGACATTGTACCTTGAGATTTTTATTTCAAACCGGTATAACTGATTCGTCAGTATATTTTTGCCATTTAAAACACATTACCACGGAGAGTCATGCCTTCAGCTTCTGTTATACCGAGTTTTACTTTACCGCTTTCGACAGCCATGCATATTCAACATCACATAGACGCTTTTTAATGTTAACTTTTCAGTTAATCAAGCGTTTACATGATTCTTTCCTATTTTGTATATTACTCAAACCTACAGACACCTAAATCTGGATAAATATAACGAAAAAAATTATATATGTTACATATTCGGACAGCAATGCCAAACAAAGTTAATTTTATTTTTGGCCCTGTATATGGAAATATTTACATGCCAGTTAGCTATGTATTAGAGCTATATCTTATATATATGAGGGAAAAAAAAACAAATGTGTAAACTTTAACTATATTACATTTTACCTGCATGTATTATTATTGTAGTGGGTATTTGAATCAGGAAGAAAAAGAAGCAATTTGTTTAATAATACAGTAATATTTATCAAGTATTATTAACAGGATTAAATTGAGGATATACATGTATAAAAAATATATATCTGTAATTTGTATTTTTAGTTACAAATATGTTAACAAATACATGATCCATAGATAACAAATTAAAATTATTAATGAACTAAATTTAGCTTTTTACAACCCTTGAGCACTTTGCGTAGCAATATAAGATTTCCTTTTCAGCAAATTTATTGTTTTGAGTTGGATTTATACTTAAAAACAGCAACAACATTTTACTTCCATTGTAAGGCTCTTGAATGAGTCCATTTGAAAGGCTTCAAAGCTGGTTTGGATATTTCTTTTAAATTTTTTTGTCTCCATGTGCACTTGCTTTATTTGATCCAGCAGTATTGTTTTTCTTTCAAATACTTTATTCAATTTTTTTTTATATGTATATTTTTATGGTTAAAAAAATATTCTTTCAATTTTGCACAGTCACAAGAGTATTTGGGAATAATTATGTCACTGAACAGGATTAAAACAGTAGTATATTTCAACAAAGATAAAATGATATAACACTAAGATCTAGGGACGATCTTAAGTACTTATTTCTGTCTTGTGTTGCTGTAATAACTAACCGTCCAATTAGCAGTTTTGGTTACAGAGTATGATACTTGAAAATCTTGGTTGTACCAAAGTGTTGTTTTCTTTGAGTGTTTTAAACAAATAAATGAGGAACATTTGAATTTGATGAATGAATTTATAAAATAAAAAAAATCCTTATTCTTTGTAGCTTGTTATTTGCGACTGAAAATCATAAACCCAGAATAGGATTCATGTTATCACACAATAAGTATTTAACAGATAATATGTCATTGTTAGGAAATATTGCATAACGATTTTCAGTGCAAGTGTACATGTATAAGCACTGAGGTATTTATTTAAGGAAACAAAGCATATGGCGTGATTTATTTATTTATAGGGAAGGAAATATGAGACAACATGAAGCTCTTTGACTAAAACACAAGGAAATGTGAAAGAATTCTTGTTTTTATCATGCAGTATGATCCATGCTAGGACATTGTACATGTATTTTAATCGAGATTCATGACACATCACTTGAGCGTTTGTGACATCATTAAATGATACATCAGGATGTTCAAACCACGACATTTTAAAATTACACGCCAACACACTCTGTAATAGTCAGGCACACATAGTCTTAGATATTGACATGAATAATGTGAGGTAGACCATACTTATAGTGTGACCTAATTACACAATACCTGAACTGATTATGTCACCTTTGACCTGATTATGCTATATTTGGCACTGCAGAAGCTGGTGGAAAAACAGCAGGTATACTATGATATTTCTGTATACACTGGGCTAGCTCTGGCTTTAGTTCTGTCCTGCATGGGGATACATTGTCCTGGGGTGTTACCTGTTTCACCTCAGCTAAAAAATAAAAAAGCTCAGGTGAGCTTCTCTGGTCAAATTTGTCTGCTGTCATCCTGCATGTTGAATGAAAGTCAATATATAAGTGTTGCTTAATTTATCTAATTTTTATTCAGACTTTGCATATATAGCATCCTTGCATAAAGCAAATTTATTTTTTTTTCAACTGGAATAGAAAATAACAGAACTTGTTGTAAATTGAGCTCTTTGAAGCTAAGGTGGGAACATATTTGGGGGTCTGCAAGAATAATTACTTAGTACATGTATATGAAGAGGAAAAATAGTTATTATTCAATTTCAATCTGCAATAAGCTAGATCAATGCAAAAAATCCCCATTCATTTAGTGTAAAGAAAACTCTTAAATGATTATCTTTTTTATGCTGAAAGGTATGAAAATCCTTACTTTTGAGTTCTAGACAGCTAGGGAGAGCGATGTGGCCAAAGGGCCTCTTATTGTGTCATGTACATCTTATTTTCCTCCTCTGCATGTGGTATTGAAATCGTGTGTTCTCTGATTCAGTCAGAACCAACACACCACCCCCAATTCAGTTCATTGTGGGACTTGATTTTCATTATTGTGCTTGCGTTAATTTTTTCTTAAAAAGGAAAAAGAAAAAAATGGATGCATTAAAACAAAACATTTCAATTGACCCTTATTTCAGACATCCCTGCATGTTGCCCCCTTGTATTTAGTTGGCCAGAGAAATATCAATGTTAGGTGATTATACTTGGTGATATTAAACAGTGCATTTTGATAAGAAATTTGATATCAAATTTAGAATGCTTGCATGCTACATATTGTATACCATATTTTCATTTTTTGATATTTTAAGTGGTGGTGCATGATTTAAAAAATATTGGCATGAATTTGGTGGCTTGGTGAAACTGAGATTTTTTTTTTTTTGCTGCATTCTAACAGAGTCGTAAGACCTAACTAATTTTCCATGCTGAGTAAAGCTTTTTATGAGATCAGTTTTGTAAACTGTTTTAAAAAACCTGACAGGACTTAATATTAAAAGTCGAATCAAATATATGCTTTCTAGCTGCTTATTGATGTATTTCACCCAATTTATGTATCACCCTATATGTAACTTCAAAAACAAAGAGAGAATACATATTTGAACATTTTATTTTGCATATTTAAGATGAAAAAGGAATTTTATTTGTTGATAATGATCGAGAATTAAATTTCGCATTTGTTTGCCTGTAAATAAATCATAGTCTGGAGTTTTGCTTGAGATATTACCATTGAAGAGTTATTTGTATTACAGGCTAGACATTGTGTGAGCTATTTTGCTTTTAACAGTGTGAAATATCTGCTTGAAGCTCTTCTATCACATTCGGCAGTATCAGAATTGGTTAAGTTGTTCTTCAAATGTTTCAATATTGAGTTGTTGTCGGATTTTCTGTAGGGTCCAATGTGTCGGATGAAGAAATCCGAGTGGCGGAGGAAAAGTTTGAGGAATCCAAGGAGCTTGCAGAAAAAGCTATGCAAAACTTACTGGAAAATGAAGTTAGTATTTGTTTATTGATGATAAGAAAAAAAAATGTACTGAATGTATTCAATTTAAGAAGGTTTGTAGATAAGAGAGCTGACTATAAGGATTTTAAAAAGGGTTTGTAAGAAAGGATAAAAACGGACTGAATTGGGAGGGGGAATGGGATAGACAAAAGTAGGATATGAGTTGGATTGAACAGAGGAGAAATGGGGAGAATCTTTAGAGAGAGAGAGGGTGAGTGTAAATATGGCAATAAAAGCCTTTGAGTGAGTGAAAAGGTTGCTTGAATTGAATTCCTGTTCATCAGGTATTAGATATTCATGTTGACCTATTACTAGTGCATGTACCCCGTACTACAATCTCTTATTCGCACATTATAAACAGTTACATGTCCTAGTGAATTCAGTGAATATATTTATTTGAGGATAATAATACTAGTAAATGATAATATTTCTTGAACACCATTGGATCAAAATATATCTAAAAATATTTTCTCTGAGTCCTGTCTTTAAAGGTTGTTCTCTGTTTAAGGTGGAGCAGATTGCACAGCTTCAGTCGTTCATTGAGGCTCAAAAGGAGTACCACAAAAACGCGGCAACACTCCTTGATGATTTGCTGGATACCATAGAGCAAAAGTAAGTGTTCTGCAAGCAGAATTACATCTCAGGTAAAGCACGTATGTGTGTATATGTATAAAACAAACCAGGTTTATTGTAAAGCAGATGAAATTTAAGGAAAATTGCAAGGGTTATTCTAGATAAATTTTATTTTTATTTCTATAAAGTGAAAATTGATGTGTACAAAAAATAGTATTTTAAATTTTTCATTTCAGACGCAGTGAAGCTTTATCTAGACCAAAGAAAGAGTACGTACCAAAGTCATCGAGCCGAATATCAACTGCTTCAAACCACATGTATGATACTGCTGACAGCTACAATTTTAACAACACCCCCGCTCCTAGTGCACGTAAGTTTGAAATCTATGGTATAAATCTAGTTACCTCTTAAAAGTAACTAGTATAGCAACTAGTTACCGCAGAAATCTAATAACATCATTAGTTACTAGTACAACATTGTTTGTAATAACCTTTACTCCAGTAGGTAAGTTTTTTAGAGGTTTAAAAACTTTGATGCACCCCAAGAGTAAGTATCAAGTAGAGGTTTCTGTCAGTGATAACAGTTATGTCTGGACCTGTACTCAAATGTTAGTCTTCAAGGTGAGGTCATCTTTAAAACTTGTTTACACCGACTTGGCTGGAGAAAGATTCTTTACTTAGTCAGACAGACTCTTTATAAGCAACATCTAAAGCATCATTATTGATATGTATCCCAAGACACTTTTATCTTATGTAAGTTTGGTCCAATTGACCGTCAGTGTAGGATTTATCCTAACCTCAGCATTTTTAAAATGTTCTAGTTAATGTAGTACATGATGAACCTGAGACCGAGTGTCCACCCAGAATGATGTCATATACATCAGTACAACGTAAGTGGTTCTAAGACTTACCCACTGGGGAACTGGCCTGCTCTTACAGCTTTGATCACAAATACTATGAAATGCAGCATGCAAAGCATATCTTATCGCATGAATATCCATGCATTTTTAACAAAAAAATTTCAGTTTGATAGCTGAGAATGGAAGGGCACTCGTCTATTCACAAAGAAGAATGATATCAGAAAACCTAAATGTTGTGAAGATGTGGGACTTCTAGTTATTTTGCATTGAAATGTCATCAAAAATTAAAATTTTATGATCACTCATCCAAAACATAGGTCACATGCAACATCTGAAGCATGACTGATTGAATTTTCTCTATCTTTATAAGTCTCTTTATAAGTCGGATCATCAACCTTGAAAAGAAATATCTTGCTAAGTTAATATCTTAAGAAGTTAATATGAACAAGTCAGCTAGAAAATCTCGCTCACTTTCAGCATATTAAACCTTGCTTGTATGCAACTTAAGCATCACTATTTCAGCACAATTTTAAAAAACTCAAAATGTACAAAAAAGTTCATTTGACACACTTTCATCAATCAAGAAACATCTTTTTGGGTCCTTGAGAAACCATGAATCAGATTAAAATTCATAAGTAACTTGTCATATATAAAAGATGGAGATTGAGCAACAAACCCAATTTTTAGACCCTACTTTTTAGGCCTTTGTGAGTTTTGGATTCAGAATGAGAATTTCAAAACTGCATGAATACCAGTATGTTCAGCTACATGGCATGTTTTGGTGTACCTCTTTAAAATAAACAAAAAATAATTTTTGATTTGTGTAAATCCACATTTCTCAGTAGAATATTTTTATTATTTATCTGTGTGAACAGATGCATTCAAAAGATAAAAGTAAAAATTTTAATATTACATAAAAAGATGCCATTGTATACTGAATAATGAGCAGCAAGGGTATAAAGCAGGAGGCATTGAGAAATGGTTGTATATGAACAAAGAGGGATAACTACTGATATTCCCTGAAACTTGAAATATTACTCTCTAAAATTAATCATGCTATTAAAAGCTTAAGTTTTCACTCAAAGACTATACATGTGTACTAATTTTTTAACCTCAGACTCATGACTAATCTAACTCACTTTCAATTTTGTGCAAGGTAAGAACATAAATAATACATGACCATATGCAAGTTAATCAAACTTAGTTTTTATTATCTGTACATTTATTTTCAGCCAAGAAAGAGCCATGTGCAAAAGCTCTGTACGACTTTGAGCCAGAGAACGAGGGAGAACTCGGATTCTCAGAGGGAGACATGATCAAGCTCATCTCACAGATCGACGAGAATTGGTACGAGGGCTCGCTGCACGGACGAACCGGCTTCTTTCCCGTGAATTACGTGGAGGTTGTTGAAGATCTTCCTCACTGAACTTCTACAAAGAGACTCCACTGACAGACATGTGGGGCGGGGTTATAGAAAATACCTGTCGTGTAGACAGAGGGTTTCATTAGTTGATTCTCAGTAGTTTCGATTCTGTTTAGCTTGCTGCCATTTTCTCTGTGACAAAAATGCCTTTTTTTAAACATTCTGTATAAGACACAGTAGGGTGTAAGATGAATGTTTTGAAAGTTTGAAAAAAGAAACCAAGCAAAACTGTTGATTCGTCTTTTTAATACTGTGTACTCAGGGCATTTTTTAAAAAGAATGGTTTATGTAGAATCTGTCTTGATGTGCTTTCCCTGTCCTGCATGAGATTATTCTCTACTTTTGTTCAGTCTCTCCAACTTTTCCTTGTTTATTATTTTGGTGCTTGTTAGAGATTAATAGATATAGAAATGAATTCATTTTCAATATTCTGTCAGGTTTAATTCTCATTTTCACCTTTTTGTCTTGCCAATTTTAACTGTTGTGAGGGCTTTGCCATCTTGTATATCTTAGAAACCGGCACCATATGCACTTTATTGGTATAAAACTCTTGAGTTTGCACCATAGCAAGTAGGTACACTGTACATTATAAATAAATCAAGTAGTCCATATTGTAAATCACTCAAATTTCACCTAACTTGATTTTCCTTAGAAATTATAGTATTGCTAGACATCCAATTTATAACAGAAAATACAGAGTTAACATTACCATTGACAAGGATATTATGTTAACATTCAGATATTCTAGTGAAATTATGCATAAATAATGTTGTCAAGAAGAAAATGTTATTATATTCATTGTAAGAATGTGTCGAAATATTTATCAAGGCTTAATTTTGTTTTGCATGGACATGACATTACATGGTTATTTCTTGTTTAGCTTTGACTTTGATACATGGTATCAATCAACAGACATTATGTATAGTTATTTATGTGGGCAGCTCTTATAGAAGGCTCAATTCTAGTTAATGATTAATATATTGTGGTATTTTACTTTCACCATGAACCAAAGAGAAGTAAAATTTCCTTGCTTCTGAATTGGAAGAAAAACCTTTGAAATACCTAGCCATGAAACCAAAAAACCATTTATTTATTGTAGGATATCACACAACAGAAGGCCAACAAAGTGTCACCCTTTGAATTCATCCTTACTAGTAGTAATAAAATATCTTAATTGTCCACAAAACCTAGATCAAAACCATTCCCTATTTTATGAAATTCATGTGGATACCATCTTTATTTTACGATATCTTTATACACCCTGCTATACTTACACACAACTACAGTATGTACGTAAAGTTGACTTTATTGTCTTGAATGTCAATATCTCGAATCCTAAGAATATGTCCCAACCACTATCATGCTTTTTTTTTACCATGGTTATCTCGAATCGTTGGGGTATCTTGTGAAGTTTATTCCCTTCAAGTTCAAGATAATAGGGTTTAACTGTATATTCTGTACACATTGATCTGCTTACTAGGATAAAATCTTTCCCTCTTTTCTATAGTTCTGCTGGTCAGAATTCAGTTATTTTATTTTCTCTATTGTTTGAACTTGTATAGAAAGAAATTTATCAGTATCATATGTCAAAAAAAAAAAATGATGAATTTTTGTTTGCTTATTATACATTTTCTGGTTAAAATTATTTTAGGAAAGGAAAATTATTGGATTATTTTTTTTATGTCTTGTTTAATTATTGTCAGCTTTCAGTTCTTTAAAGTGCTTGCTGCTTGTTCCAAAATTATTTGTCATTTCTTCAGAATAAGGTTGAAAATAAATTGAGAGTTTTGGTAGCTGTGATATGCATGTATTTTAATTGTTTATAATGATTTCCTTAAATGAGTTCACTATACATCAGATTTTTACACATTTTACCCAAAAATTTGATTAGACATATTGCACCTCCCCCCTTTTTTCAACTATCCAATGCTTTTGAGTTTCCGTACAAGGGAAACATTCAGTCATTGTGTTTGTTACATTAAATTTTCAAACAAAGCTACGAAAAGGGAATTGAAATTAAATAATATTTGCTTTATATCTTATGTACATGGATCATTATATGAAAATGGAAAAGCTGAAAATTTTAATGGATATCTTTGAAGGACGAAATTACAAAATGCTAATTGGAAATGTGTTATAAAATTATGTATATATAAATATATAATAATTACCTGTTATATTGGGTAAATATGAGATCTAATATATGCAGTATCTTTTTAAATGTAAATAAGAAAACATTATTTAGCAAATTTGGATTCATGTTTATGTGTATCGTTTTTAATTTGCCTATTATTTTACACAGTGTTATGAAGTTAATTAGAGTTTTTCTGTTGTGACACAGATGTTTTGATTGGAATCGGTGTGAATGAATTGGTATGTGAATAATGTTGATAAATAAAAGTATCGTTATAGATATACATGTATAATAATCTGTTTTAATTTATTGTATTTGTGTATGAAAGACTGAGGTTTTTCATTTGCTATCAATCTTCTTACAAATGCAAGACACAACCTATGCATTGAAAAAAATAATTTGACTCAGGTATTGAACAGATTTGCAGGTACATACGTATAAATTCAGTTCAGGGGCATACCCCATATATCCATTTGAAATCACAAACATTTCCATAGAAATATCAAATTCTTTCATGGAAACAACAAAAATTATAGGAAAGAGGGCAGAATGCCTACATCCCTTTTAAGAAACTTCTATAAAAATGTATGTTTGAATATTGTTTATTAGTCTTGATTCTAGTGAGTTCGCTAGTCCTTTTGTAAATAAAAAGATCTAACAGTGAAGATAGAATGTGAATAAATATGAAATATCAAGATTGCTTAAAATGAAAGAAGTATTTATTGTCGCTTTGTTGGTGCTCATCTTTGTTCATTTATTTTGCCTTGATTTTTGATCCGTTCGATCTACATCGATCTAAACTTAATTGGAGTGGATCAAGGATCTAATTTTATTTTGATTATTATTTTGAAAATAATAAATTATTATTATTCACGAATAAATTTCCAATTTCATCAATAAATTTGAACATGGTACAGAAATTTACAGGTAAATATGCTCTCTTTAGCGGAAAAAAACTTCATAGGCGCTCTCCATGTAATTCTGTAAATTACGAAATATAGGTCTACCCCTTCTATACAATAAAATCAAAAGTTGATTTTATAGTATAGAAGGGGTAGACATATATATACATTTACTTATCTTTATTCATTTACAGAATTACATGGGGCGCCTATGAAAAACTTCGGATGAAACTTAACGTCGGGCTCGATATTCCGATTAAGCAAAGTGAAAGTAGCAGAAGATAATGTTTACCTTAGATAAAAGGATCAAAGTTCTCTAATAATATAAACACATCAGAGGATTTAAAATGGGAAACAAAGTTGGAGTGTTTACCGATGAACAAATAGAAGCATATCAGGTAAGTGCGTCAAAGATTTCAGGGCTAAAAAATTATCTGAATCGTTGAGACACTTTGGTTTCAAAACAAAGGCCTTGCAATGTGTATGAAACAAATCAGCCAAAATGCGGCCCAGTGATGGATCATATTTGCGTTAAAATTCCAATATGAATACTAACATACCCAAAGCCTGGGACTTTAGTGAAATGAAAAGTTTTTAGGCTCGAAAAATGAAGTCGTTCTACAAAAACATTTATATTTGAGAAGTTTCAATCAGTATATTACATGTAATACAAAATCCCAAAAAGTTGTCGAATATAGCCTCTCTCATACCTCGATAAAATTGTAAACAAAGTGGTAGAGTGTGAATGTACTGACGATTTACTGCCAAAAATGTTTAACTGATCTGTTTCCCATGATAAATTAAAAAAACAACAACACTTTTTAGACAGCATATTAAATTATAAAGCTGCTTTATAATTTTTTTCTCATAGAAATCAAACTTGTAAATGATAAACATAGGCCTACATGTACCTTTTCAATGGTCATTTGCAAACATATTTTGCTTCAAAACTTTCTGATTCTTCACAAAAGAAGTACTAAAAGGTTGACATAAAAAGATGATAGTATTTCTCATTGACATATACGTGGACCAGGTTTACAAAAATCTGTTGGAATTCCCATGGGTTCTATTTGTGCCCTGTTATTCGCAAATGTTTTTAAATTAATTGTCAGCAGAATTCATTCAATACTAAACAGGAAAGGGAGTCCATTGCATGCTGGGACGTACACTTATTCGATATATTCCGTACGTTGTTGAAACCCGAAATGGAATACGTTTTATGCGTAGGATCATTTTTAAAAATGAGGCTATTGAAAAAAGTTAATAATATAAGGATATCAGTAATCTTGATTTAAAGTCAGCATTTTGCAAGTCTTTGATTGTTGTTACAGTTGCCATGTTTGCTAATACAATTTGATGACATCTCGAAAGTTGACTGCATGATCATGATGGCGTCGTTTATAAAAATGCTTGACCATTTCTTACATACTGAAATATCTATATTTTTCTAACTTTCCGATTCATGACAAAACACACGGCAGGTATGACAGTTCTAAAAGGGGAACATTTTCTTTAGTCACCTTTAAATTTATGAATGGTTTGCACAATTTTCTTTCTTTTTAAAGCCACATATTTCTTATTAAACATTGATATTCTTTTTTTTCTTTTTATCTAGGACTGTACCTTTTTTACGAAAAAAGAAATTTTAAGGTTTGTACATGTATGGCATAATAAGAAACTTTTTAAACAAAATAAGTAATGAAATATTCATTGTTCTAAACCTAACGTTTTATGCCCAGTAAAATCTCTTTTAAAAAACAAATGAAATTCTTTTCCGTTTTCTGTAGGATATTTAGTCGCTTTAGGGATCTTGCTCCGAATGCCGTGCCTAAAGTGATGAATAATGTCGACACAAGCAGGATTCGATTACCATATCAACAGATTCAAATGATGACAGAACTAAAGGTAAAAACTAATTTTAAAAAAGTCTACACATTGATAAAAAAAAGTTTAACTCGTCAGCAAACTTATGCACAAATATAATTTTGTATGAGCTAATATCTTTGCATTTTAACAGAAAAAAAGTTCATCTAAGTTTAGCTTCTATACACCCTTTTTCTATAAATTACTGATTGTATGAAGGAAAACCCTTTCTGTCGGCGGATCTGTCAAGTCTTCTCGGAGGACGGGAGCGGAGATTTATCATTTGAGGATTTCCTGGATCTGTTCTCTGTGCTTAGCGAGGTAGCGCCACGAGAACTCAAGGCAGTGTATGCCTTTAAAATCTACGGTGAGTACAAAAATGATTACTGAAAAATACGAGTATGTTACCAAGCTCGACCTGTCAATTGAATACTTTAAATTCATATGCTTGTATACAGCGAAAACTCTCAGTCTGTATGGTAAATTGAGGCTAAGGTAAATGTTTCATGTTCAAACAAAGTTTTTATATTCAAACCAATTTTATTTTCTGTATTATTTTGTAGTCATATGCACATAGTTTGTATATTCATTATCATTAGTTAGATTTTCGACGAGGCACTGTTATATTTACAGATTTCGACGGCGACAACTACCTTGGAAAGGAAGATTTACAATGCACCTTAAAGTGTTTGACCAGGAACGAATTATCCGAAGAAGAATTGAACTTTGTTGTTGAAAAGGTATCATTTAATGCGTGTCAACATATGGCAGAATATTCTATGTTTATTCTTAAGTACTACATGAAAGCTTGATTCTTTTTCGCAGGTGTTAGAAGAAACAGATCTAGACGATGACGGAAAATTGTCCTACATCGAGTTCGAACACGTCATCTCAAGATCACCTGACTTTATGACGTAAGTATAGTTCATAAATAATTATGACCTCCAAGTAAACTTTTATTTTAAAGTAGAATACACTGTATCTTTGAAACTGTATGAAACTGTTGAAGCTATGAATTGAATTTTTTGGACTCAAGATGGCTTCTGAAACGCTTGAGACAAGGCATATATTTTATATTGTGTAAAATTTTGTAAAATGTCTTGTTTCAGTACATTTCATATACGAATATGAAGAGCATTGAAACAAATTCTCATGCTTGCTGTTCACGTCATGAGAATATTCTTTCGCAACTAAGTTGGAGGGAACAAGGCTGCCAGAATGGACTAATTATGTATACTGAGTTCACCCGATTAAAAAATCAGTAAATTTGCATGATCAAACATGTGCAAAGAAAGTTGGTGCCGTTTTTCTTGTAAAGAAATCTTATTTGTAATTTTTGCAAGTATTTTATTTTTAATTGCATGTTTTGTTATTTAATCAACATTTTATGAAAATGTGAAACAAATTTCTGCAGTATAATTATATCAAATTAAATTTCCCTTGTGAAATATATGTAAAATGATTAATATTTATTTTCACAACATATTATACTTCAAAAGTTTGTAGCGTTTGATGTTATTTCATTCATCTACATTTATAACCAAAGTTTGTGAAAAAACCCAAACACTGCTTATTTTGCAGGTCTGTTTCTGTAAACGAAATAACGTTGATTCATTTAGTAAATGCCTCTGTTAATCTTGTCACCGTTATGTACACATGTGAGAATAAAAACTACATGTATTTGTGTTGTTTTAAACGTTTCCCTGCTAGTTCATTTATGTTACCATCATAAGATATAATGAAACTGGCGTTTCTCATATCCTCATCACAACATGCATGAACTCTTTTGAAATAGCTGCTACATGTACCTATCACATTCCATGCCTTGTTACTTGAACAATTATTCAAATTAACTTCAATGATGGAACTCGGTACTCTCGAGAAATTATGATATACTAGTATTTGAAAAGTTGCGCAAATAACATATGAATACTTAAAAATTATTAAAAAAAAAAAAAAAAAAAAAACTTTTTGAAATAACAAAATTTATCAAAATCAATAACATAAAAGAGTACAGCTTTTTATATCACTGACATCTGCTTTTTTGATAAAGATTGAACTCTAAAATTTACTTACTTTGTCATTGGTCATTTGAAAAATTATTTTGTTAGAAACATTTTAATTTTACGCATAAGTTCTCTGAAGTTGATATACATAAAGAATGCTTAAGTTTTTGATTGACAAAATCTATGTAGTTTTTAGAGATCAGGGGGTCGTAACATAAAGGATACTTAAGTCTAAGACCGTGCTTAAGTAGGACTTAAGTACAGGCTAAGACTTAAGACCGTAACTAGAAGCGTGCTAAGATTTGGCAATCGATTAGCAAAACTTAGGCAGTTAGAGGTGACTTAAGTATATCTTAACTTTCTTGTACATATATTTAGAATTATTTAATGTAACTTTCGTTTAAAACATTTCTCTATTCATAATATACATTAAAGAAAATAATTATCTCTATTTGACGCTGCATGATTTAAGAATTTTATTTTTTGTTGACACTGATTCCAATATCACTCCCAACATAGCATACATGTAAATAAATAAAAATAATTTTAGGGATCACTTCCAACACAGCATTCATGTAAATACAAAATTTAATTTGAGGGATACGTCTGAAATATGTGGGGTCTCGGTTATAGAAATAAATTGAATACAGTAAATAAGCCATGATTGTATGTTCACTTTGAAAATATGAGTTGAAATAATTTGTTAAAAACAGAAATTTCAAAGAGGGTGATGACAGTAACCGTAATATTATAAAAAGTATCTTAAAGTTTAAAATAAATGTAGAACGCGAGAAGTGCGGATTTAGACAGTGCTCACTACAGTTCGAGAGAGAGAGAGAGAGAGAGAGAGAGAGAGAGAGAGAAAATTGCTGTTAAGTGGGGACATACAAAAAAAAAATCCCGATTTTTTTTTTGTATCCTTGATTAAATTGCAAATGAGTATATCATAAAACTTCTGCAGTTTTCGCTTCTGACATGCATGGCCTGATAATACATAGCAGAAATTCAACATGTATTGAACTTTTTAGAGTTTCAATTTTAAGTAGATAAACGGTCGATTATCTGTTATTGTCTGCGATAATAACAGGGTAATGAACATTTATCAAAACAAAAGAGTTACAAAAGGTAAACTGAAAATCTCATGTGATAAAACAATTGTCGTACATTTACAATGAATCACAAATCGCCATTTTCTGACAATGCGGTATTTGTTTCCAAACATTCCGAACAATTCATAACATAATTATAATTTTAATACGAAATCTAATCTAAAATAACTTAAACCGATAGGCAAGGACGTCAACTTTAATATGTAATTAATTAAAACCCTAACTGAATACCTTTTAGCAATATATCTATATAAAAACCATTGGTTGACCCATATGAAATATTTTAAACATAAGTTTACTTGCTAATCACCTCGCAGTTTGCTTTATTTTGTTTAAGACATACTTAATTTATAAAGGTCCTAAGATTGTGCCTAAAACGTACTTACGACCCTACTTAAGTCAAAAACTTAGCAAGCTTTATGTTACGAGCCCCAGGGGGTCGTAACATAAAGCTTGCTAAGATTTTGACTTTAGTAGGGTCATAAGTATGTTTTAGGCACAATCCTAAGACCCATCTAAGTACTACTTAAGTATGTCTTAAACCGTAACGTAAAGCGAACTAAGCAATATCTTAGCTAAGTCAAACTCATGTTCACAATTTTTCTCATGAATCATGCTAGTTTTTTTAATTTATATACTTGCATGATAAAAAAAAATATTCAGGAATACTTTTTATTATATACAAAACCAACCTTATATTTTTTTTAAGGTTACATTATATTTCGTACGAAAATTCCATTAAAAATGATTCCTAATATTAATGAATTCCAAATAATTGCACGCTTAGGTCAATGTGGCAAGTGTTCAATGTAAATGTATGACTTTTGTTTTATCACTCGAGGCTGCGATGTTTTCAGTTATCTTTTGTTGGACAAACGGTCACTCGCTTGTCATTCTTGTAGACATGGCACGAAAACTGAACGTCTATTTACATTTAAAACATTAGGATGGCATCATCTTTTGCTTTTTTGATTCTTTCAATTTCTTGCAAGGCTCAAAACAGTCCATTAAGTTACCTGAAACTGTCCAATAAGTTAAGAAACTGTCCATTATCAAAAATAATGGATAGTATTTAATAAATTATTGGATCGCTACAGGTAACTTATCGGATTAAGAAAACACAACACAAATATTTTTAAGGCAATGAATCTAACATTTTTCACAATGTTATAAAACAGTCTATATTCCATGTCTCAGAAACAAAAACTGAAACTTTATAATTATTCCAGTAAATGATGAAATGTATACTTCTACTCACAATGAATATCGAAACTTAAATTTGAGGAAATATCTCCGATTTCTATTCGCACCAACAGAACACGAGGGGATATCACTTTTCCTGGCAAGAATCAATCACGCCTTCTTATTTTTCACTAGCTTTAAATAATTTTGCTCATTTCTCTGCAGAAGCACATCCATCATTTGTTCAACTACATGAACGCAAGGGTGTTTGGTCAACAGTCTTGTCTACTCCTCTCCTGATTCGTTTCTGACTAAAATCTGAGACAAAAAAGCTTAAAATTTTGTTGATGTTTTTTTTTATCACGCAACACCTTGACGTCCTTCAGCATGTAAACATCAACGTTGGGTAGTGTGTTACATTCTCTTTGTCAGTTAAAGAAGACAGTAACTGTCCCTTTACATTTCTGCTCTACTTAGCCTCTTCTAACTCATCTAAATATCATTTAAATACGGACATCCTTTTACGTTCCATTTGTTTTTCTGCATCCTTGAAATGCCTTGACCAAAGGTTGAGAAATATTTGAAGGAAAAAAGCCCACTTTGGGTTCAAAATTCATTTTCTTGACAATCCTAGACTCAAAATTCATAATGTCACTTGAGGATGGCATATAGAGTACTCTTCATACCTGAATTTGTTTGGTATCAAAAATATGCTTTCTTCCTCTGAAGAAGAGATGCTTTAAACATTCACTTTCACAACAAAATGGTGTTGGTATCTCATGCCTAGTGATTAAATACTTAGTATGCTTTAGTCAGTTATTTAGAAATTGCACTAACCTGAAACCTGTCCACTTAGTTAAAAAAATCCAATGAATGTAAGTTTATTTTGATTGTAAACAACTAACCTGAGACACTCCCATAAATAGATAACGTTTTCCTACTCCTCACTAAGATATTAAGAGTAGTGAAGGAGAAACTTCAAGAATACTCTGAAACAATATATTCAAGAAGTGGTGTAAATCAGATGTGGATACTTAAAAATTCCAAGGAACTTTTGAAATCACAAGATTTTACCAAAATCAACAGTTTAAAAACTTACGACTTTTCAACTTTATACACAACCATTCCCCACGATAAATTAAAGTCCAGGCTTTCTGATATCATTGACAGTTGTCTTTTCAATAAAAATGGAACTCGTAAATTTACTTACCTTATCATTGGTCATTTGCAAAATTATTGTTAAAAAACATTCTGATTATACATAAAAGTACTCTGAAGTTGACTTCAAAAAGATGCTTGAGTTTCTGATTGACAATATCTATCTTGCTCTTGGAGACCAGGTCTTCCAACAATCTATTGGAATTCTAATGGGTACCAATTGCGCCCCGTTATTAGGAGACCTATATTTTTATTTATATGAAGCAGGATTTGTTCAAAATCTTAAGCGTGAAAAAAGAAAGCTCTTGCTTCAACTCAACATGTAGATAGATATATCGACGACGTATTGTCAATTAACAATGGTAATTTCCATTCCTTTGTCGATTCGATATATCCTGGTGAACTTGAGATAAAAGATGCCTCAGAGTCTGACATTTGCTTCATATTTGGATATTTTACTTGAAAAAGACGTTAATGGTAATCTAACAACCAAGTTCTATGATAAACTTGACGACTATAACTTTTCTATCGTCAACTTCCGTTAATTATGCAATATACCTTCATCACCTGCATACGGAGTTCATACATCTCATTTAATTCGATACACAAGAGCATGTTCTGTGCATGAACAATTTCTAAAATGAGGTATATTATTGACAAACAAGTTGATAAAACTGTTAATAAGAATATCAGCAGTCTTGTTTAAAGTTGTCATTTCGAAAGTTCTATGATCAATACACTGACCTTGTCAGCAAATACAATTTATCATTGAGTCAAATACTGACTGACGTTTTCATACTTATTGTTAGTCCATTATTTATACACTGAAGAGGTAGTCCGCAGAAAAACCAGGCAGGGTTGTATTAATAGGCGGCACATCGAATGTGACGAATATTTGAAATTTTATTGAAAACAATATCAATGTAGTCCAAATGGAATAATGTAATCGAAGATTTGTTTGAAAATTGCTTATTTAGTAAAATATCCTTTTGTTTCGTGTTCTTGAATTCCCCTATATAAACCATTGAATTTAGGTCAGAAGCAAAGAACTGTAATTTCCAATACTTATTTAACAGGACTATAATTCACGCTGAACTAAATCTAGAAATATTTTGTCTTTCAGTTTCAAAAATAAAATTGGTGGGCAAAACACTTTTGACAGTAGTTTTCTGTCAAAATATAGAGACGTTTTTATGAAATTTTGCGATGTAAGAGTTATCTCCCGTGGCATCGGTAAATCTGCTAAACACCTTACTATCGAAATCCTAGTGAAATATTTAGAATATATACACAAAATAAAATTATTTAACAAAAAATTACTACTTTATTTTCAAAATAGAATTTATTTTCGCCTTTAAACGTAAGATTGGCAGTATATTATTCAGGTTGAATACGCGTTTCCATTGATGTATCAGTGACGTCATACATCTGACTAATATTGCGTCACAATTAAATAGTTACAAGTTTTCCAAAGAAGTTTGTAAATTCTTTGCATAAAAGCGCAAATAAAACGATTAAAAATAAATAATTTCTCTTTTTCTGTCCAATTACTTTTCAGAGTGCATTATCCTACATGTTAAATAATCATATATTTTTATATAAAATGTATTTTTTTCACGGGCGACGTCTCTGCTCAGTCTGATTAAAATCAAAGCTTCACTAGCTCCTTTTTATTTTGTTTGTCGACGCGACAAACAAAATAAAAAGGAGCTAGTGAAGAGATTTTATTTTCTTCTGATTATCAAGGAAAGATGAATATTTAGATTTACGCAACATTTAATTCAAGTCAACGGAGTTGAGATGTTTATTTCATGATATTTGTACATCCGCGGTACGATTTAAAATATTTTATTAAAAAAGTGAAAAATAAGATTTCAAAAATATTTATTGAGGAAAATTACTGTTGAACTCCCCACTTCAATTTGCCACTAAAACGGAAGATTTCGTGGGCGTATTTTTTGTTTTTGTTTGGTCTTTTTTGGGGGTTAAATTTGGTGATTGAAACAATCACATACTCACATTCAATATGAAGTTAAAAAATGTGACCATGTTGGCCAATTCTAAAATTTTTCCGATTAATGAAAGTTTTTTTTTAATATGCCGCCTTGCCCCCCCCCCCCCCCCCCATCCCCACCCATCCCGTCCCGGCTTTTTGCTTGCGATTTATAGGCTCTTAAATAATGATGCTATATATGAAATAACTTTTTTTTTTTTTTAAATATAAAACTAAATTTTATAAGATGAAAATATTGGGGAAACGGCTTTTATAGATGACAGGTTTAAAAAGTTTGGATAAGGCCGAGACTGTGCACATTTAAATATTTTCTGCATTTAGGTACGTGCAAGTATATTTTCGCCAATGATAGAATTTAACTCTTTAATTCACGAGAAAAACTTTAGTTGGAAATAAGATATTTAATAAAGATAAGCTGTTTACTCTCAGTTGTTGCATAATGCAGCATACATGTACAAATACTTGGGGGTTTTTTAATACCGAGTATCAAGAAATCGAACAGATGTTATACATGATTGTAATCTTCATGTACGTAAAAGACATTAGTATTTTAAATACATTGTATAAACATTTGAATCCATGGATAAAATAATTTTAAAACAGTTGACTAACTGAACAGAAATAAAAGACAAGCATATTTTTTTCAGAAAATTTCTAGTTTTACGGTAAAAACCGATCCCGATTGAAATAAAACCGATCCCGATTGAAAATAATGCAAAATGTGTAAAGTTATAAAACTAAAGACAACTGCCACCCATAAGACATGTAAAAAATAAATCAAGTAATTTTTTGGCCATATTACAACAAAAGAGCCAAATTTAACTTTACAATTATAGTATTTCCTTCTTTATATAATTCCGGTCGGGATCGGTTTAATTGTGAAAAATTGTAAAACATAGGTAAATTTGACTCCTTTTATTTCTCTCAATATACGGGTGCCCACTGATTTTATTGAGTGACTCAAAAGTTTGTACTTTGTATTCATAATAACATGAGAAAAAAAATCTGTCATTGAAATGTATTGGGTTTTATAACGTAATGAAAATTGGATAATGAATTCAAAAAGTTACTTGCTAAACTCAATTTTGGACCACATATTTTTTTCTAAAGAAATATAAATTGGAGTCTTATTCATTACTAAAATTAAAGATAAGAGTCTATGGTATAAATAATATTGATAGACACATTCAGGTTTTGCGTATCTGGTACATATAAAACAAAATAAAAACGTAGTTTTTTTTTTTTACCCCCATGTTGACCTTTTTGCACTTAAAATTGAACACTTACCAAAAATAGGACTAGTGGAGCACTAAAATTTTATTTGATGTTGTCATGTGTAAACACTTCCTTTAAAAAGTCTCTATGCAAAAAATAATAAAAATCCATGACATGCGATGTGCCACCCATTGCCTGATTTTCAGTGGACTACCTCTGAATTGACGACGGATTTTTCCGTTATTTCATGACAAGGAACACACGGCATGTGTGACCGGTCGGCAGGGGATGCTCACTCCTCCATGGCACCTGACCCCACCTCTGATGTTTTGGAGGTCCGTGATTGCTCTGTTCCTATTTTGTATTGTTTAACGGACTTTTGATCTTGAATACTGTTCGTTATCTCCATATGTTTCATTTATGCAATGGACGAAAATAAGTTGTAAGAGTGAAGATTATGAACACATTAGATCTTTCTTCTCAGAGAGAGAGTTTTGGCCTATAACCTTTACCTTCTTGATATTGAAACTCTAATAAGTGCAGCGAATGTCGACAGGCAAAGATTGAACACGTTTTACGACATACATGTACCTTAGTTATTAATAATGGTTTTTCGTATTTGTCTAAAAAAAATTATCAACATACTTTACTCTCTCTCTCTCTCTCTCTCTGGTTAAGTCCTATAAAAAATGATCTTAGACTTAAGTACCCTTTATGTTTTGACTTCCAGGTCTTCCGACAATTTTTCGGAATCCCAATGGGTGTCATTTGCACTCCGTTATGAGCAGATTACTAGTATTTTTGTATGTATTTAAAGCCTTCGGTATAGGGTGACATAAACCTTTCCTGTCACCGAGGAGAAAATATTCTGGTATGTCATCCTCGACTCCATGTACGTGGTGGTATATGTATAATAATATGTATAATATCTCAGTGAGCTTGAAATAAAAAAAAATCCTAGTCTGAAACATCTGTTTCATAATTGAAACTAGAAGACGTTAGTAGTAACCAAACAACCAAACTTTTGGATAAATATGATGATTTTAACTTCTTTTGTTCTTCAATGATATTGACAAACAAAATTATAAAACAAAATTATTAACACTTCTATGGTTGACACAATGACATTGTCAGCAAATAAAATCTTTCATAAGGTCGAATGGTGACGGCTGTTTTTCATGCTGATTGTTAGGCCATTGATTACACACAAATTATCTAGGTATTTTTCTGTTTTTCCGATCAGGACAAGAACCACAAGGCGGATTTAATCGGTTGACAGGGGATGCTTATTCCCTCTTGGTACCTGATCCTACCTCTGAAGTTTTAAAGCTCTAGTTTTCTCTGCTCCTGATTTGTATGAAATGGACTTTTGAGCAAGATTACTGTAAGCGCGAATGTTTATTTTCAAATAATGCCGGACGAGCATTATTAATATATTTCAAACTATTTCAATACAAGTTTAAACACATTTGCACCGAGAAGGGCTCTGAAATTTGTGTGCCTCTTGTGCCAAATAACTCCTTTCTTATTTTAGTTTTGCTTATTACATGCATGTTATTTTCTTTCAAAAAGTAAATCTCAGGTTGTCTTCAATCAAATGATAAGACAAACACATGTCTGAAAATGACTGAAAATGCGCAGCTGTATGACACTTGACCCCATAGCATATATACTAACGTTAATCGCGAATCAAACACAGACAGGAATCGACGCAGACATATTCCTTAAATTTAAGAACAGTGAGTACATATGCACTCAGATTCATTTTGTGAGTGTAAAGAATATTTTTTTTCTTCATAAAACACAGACATTTACTAGTATTTGCCACCACAATTTCAGTATATTTAGGAAATCTAAGAAAAACATCTTAGTAATCTATAAAGGTTAAAAGGACTGGTTGTCTTAATTCTAGGACAGTCTGTAAGATAATGCAGTTGCAGAAAACGCAATTACTTATAAGAACTTTTGGTTCCAATCCTTCTGTCTGTCAAAAACTCTTCGTATATTTTAAAAAGGAGCCAATTCATACCTTGAAATTTTATGTTACACTGCATTTTTATTCAGTATCCAATCGTAAAACGATCAATGTTTATTTTTGTAAAAAGCCAGTTTCAACTTCTCTTATATTTTACGAAGTAGCCCATCTTTTGGAATATTACTGTCTTATAACAGTGCAAGAAAATTATTAATAAGTTAAATGCTGATGGACAATTTTTGTACTAATTATTATGCCATTATTAACATACTGAAATGTTTAAGCGTTTTGCCGTTACATGTATTTCGAAAACCCTTGTCCAGTCGGCAGGGAATGCTCACTCCTCCATGGTACCTGATGCCACCTCTGATGTTCTGGTGGTCTGTGTTTGCTCTGCTCCCATTTTTTTTATTGTTTTATGGACTTTTGATCTGGAATACTGTTCGTTATCTCCATATGTTTCATCAAGGAGCCTAGGTTTAGTGTGATCGGCGGGCAGGGGTTGCTTACTCCTCCATGGCACCTAGGGCTGATGTTTCAGAAGTGGCACAATACGTCTGAAGGTTCTTTTTCACAGCAGTTACATTTTTGGGGACGAATATTATAGAAGATTGATGTTAAGATTCTTATGTTGTATTGGAAAACGATACAGAAATAATAAATCATAATTACTTTCATTGACTGGAATTTGACAAGTACTAAAAACTGAAATGCGATCTTGAGGAATTTATCATTATCAAAACTATGAGTATAAGTTGACCAGATAGGGAATTCCAAACCATCTCATCTAAAATGTAGTTGTAATAATGGTGATTAAAAAAACTCTACATGTATAATTTATAAGCTTTGAAAGCTGAATAAACGTACAGAAAGTACATGACGATTACGTAAATTGGAACACCAAGTACGAGAATAAGTGCATGTACTTTTCCTATTTCTATTCAGCAGACTTTCCTTATAAAGTTATCAAATTGTATGGTGACCTATGACTATAAAAACGAAGATATCAGTAGAGCATACATACTGACTAAGACAAAAGTAAGATGGGTTTGACTATTTGTCTTAAAAATCCTCCCTATACACAATGGACTTAATATTAAGAAATGCACGCATTCAAAAAATGTTGTAAATAATTGAGTTTAAATAAATGAGCATACACATATTGTATTTAAAAAAAAATATTTTTAAAACAAGGACTGAAAACAGTAAAATATGGAGATTGCAAATAATAACCAAACTCAAAAGTCCATTTAAACAATACAAATCAAGAGCAGAGCAAACACAGACATTTAAAACATCAGATCAGGTGTCATGAAGGAGAGAGTATCCCCAACTGATCTGTTATATCCGCCGTGTGCTCCTTGTCATGGTCGGGAAATAACGGGAAAATAATCCGTTATCAATTCAGTGTGTGAATACGGTGTAATGACCTATATAGCCAACAATAAATTAGGTAACGTCAATCAAGTTTGAAGATATATTGTTTTTGCCAAGAAGGTCATTATATCGATCATAAAACTTTCTGCAAAGAATGACTTTAAACGAGATTTTTAAATCTTTTCTCATCAACATTTTTCAGTAACTTCGTTTTAGAAATTGTCCGTACGTAGAACATGCATATAAGTATCAAGTGAACAGAGTGATATAAATCCCGTTTGCAGGTGATAAACATAAATAAGGAAAGATGAAATGATCACTTTCATAATAGGGCTTTATTGTTTAGTTACCATTAACGTCTGTTTCCAAATATAAAAAAGATGTTTCAGACTCTGTCGTACCTTTGATTTCAAGTTCACTAAGATATACTTTTTAACACAAACTTTCCAAAAAGTTAAGTTTGTGGAACACTTGAACATATACTAGTAGACGACATATGAATGGAGGTAACTAATAATCGTTAATTGCAAAAATATGCCTTTTTTTCAAACTTTAATCTCTTTCAAAAATTAAATAATAAATTGCTACTTTGAACCTCATATTAAGCATTTATTCAAAAAAGGTTATATTTAAATTTGACCTTCTTTTCATGCTAGAAAGAAATTGTAACCTTATAATAAATAATCATTTTTTTGTTTTTAAAAAGAAATATGTGTAGATAACGAACAGTATTCGAGCTCAAACTTTACAAAATAGAATCAGAGGTGGGGTCAGGTGCCATGGAGGAGTGAACATCACCTGCAAATCGGTCACACCCGCCGTGTGCTTCTTGTCAAGTTCGGGGGGGGGGGGGATTTGTGGACAACTCAAATAATGGACTAACAATCAGTATGAAAAATGTCAGTCGGTATTTGACTTAGTGATAAATCATAAACTAGACTGCTGATATTCTTGCTTCATCAACTTGTTTCTCAATAACTTACCTCATTTTAGAAATTGTTCGTATATAGAACATGCCTTTACATATCGATTCAACTGAGAGATAAAAACTCGGTATGCAGGTGACAGAAGTATATTGCTGCATAAGTAAGGGAAGTTGACGATTAAAAATTAAGTTTAAGTCATCACATTTATCATAATTAAAGCTTGGTTGTGTAGATAATCATTAACGTCTTTTTCTAGTAAAACATCCAAAAAAGTGATCCCTAAGTGTATCTCTGCATTGCAGTCGACATAGAAATAAAGAAAAGACATTGTTTTAAAAATGTTACATAAAACTTCTTACAGACTTCGCTGTGTAGGTCTTATAGGAAAGGAAATCCGCTATAAATGTTACAAAAACTAGATACAGATTTAGGTAGTGAAAAACGTGTAAGTTACAAAGGCTACAGTGGAATAGTTGTGAGACAATCACCATGATCACAGCTATAGAGACTAGTTTGTTTTTTGGAATGAAGCAAGACTGTTATCTCAATAACGAAACAGAAGTGTTCGGTTTTTCTAAAAAAAGAATCATTAATGAAAGTTGTAAATGAAGACAATAACATTTCTTAATGTTAACCAATTATTTTCAACTTAATCAATCAAAAATGAAAGAAAGAAAGGTTACTGCAATTGGCAAAATTAATTTACCCGAATTTTAATTAATGGATACTTTTCTCATTATTAAACTACACTAAATATTTTTTTTTACTAAATCATTAACTGTACTAAATGTTATTCATAATTCATAATATAGATTTAATTGGGACAATCGCATTAGGTACAATATGGGACATAATTAAGTAAGCCTTTTAGTAATTTTTTAATAACATATGTACATGATGTATAAAGGTTTTTTTTTTAAAGTCCATTGCAATGTAACAGATTCCAAAATAATCCTGTAGCATCGTCCCCTGAAACCTTTTGTTGTTGTTTGTGCTTAATGAAACGTAAGTAGATAACGAACAGTATCCAACTTCAAAAGTTCATAAAACAATACAAAATAGGAGCAGAGCAAACACGGCCATCCGAAAACAGGTGGGATCAGGTGCCATGGAGAATTTACATACTAATACCTACAAATCTCTGCAATATGCATACTTTTACATGTTTCATTTTTGTATGCCTCTCAGGGCGCTTGAATAACAAAAAATATCTGAATCATCTTTATCTGCATAGTTTTCTAAATCTGCCTTTATGTTTTATCTGTATATTTTACTTAGAATTTACGATGAGGCTGGCGATCATTTTGCTGGCGGCCATCTTAACTTACTCAGATGCCAGGTTACAGCTGTCAAAACAGTCCTACTTAAGATTCCCCTACCAGTACGTCAACGGAGACCCCACCAATCCAAGATACGGGCTTTTACAAAATGCCGCCCACAAGGCCGCTTATCACACTGTTGATAAAATTTTATATGTTGCTTGTAAGTTTTAATTGATATCTTTTTTTTTTCATTGATAGATCGATGATATCTTATGAAAATTGTTTTTATTATAATTCATTGAAATACTGTAAATGTATTATATTTGGCGTGTACGATATTTAGCGGAAATTGGTTTTTTAACAAGTTAGCGTAGATTTGATTTAGCGCATTTCTTGATGTTCTTATTCATGTATCAATGTTAAAGACATTTAGCAATGTAGTTGAATTAGCGGAAGTATCTTTCCGCCAAAAGCGCTAAAATGAATACACCGCCAAATGCAATACGTTTACAGTACTATAGTGCTTACGTTTTAATAACAAGGACTTTAGGCTGTTTCATTTGTTACCAATACCACACATGATAGGTTTCTTATGCTAGGAATTTTTATGACAAATGTTGAAGAAAAATCATGGTATCTTTACAAAATTTTAATACCATTTTTTAACAGCTGCCAGATCATCCGAGAAGTACCTCCACATCATTGATATGAACAACCCAGCCAGTCCCTCCATCTTGATGACCCACGTGTTCGATAACAGCGTGGATGGTATGATCACAGCAGTCGACGCATGTTCAGACACCATTGCCGTTTCACTGGCTGCTGCCGATCCCGTGGCCGAGGGTCACGTGGAACTTTATACTCCTTATAATAGAGCTGACCGAGTTTTTACAAGAATTGGAAGAATAACGGGTGAGTGAGTGTTGGTAAAGTTCAATTTATATATAAGACTGAACAAGCCACTTTGCAAACTAATTTTACAGCTTTATTTTCTTTTCATTGAAAGAGATTTAAGAATAAACTTTGTAATGTTTAAAATTACGAAATCGGCCTACGATAAAAAAAACTACACCAATAGGCATTATAAAATAAATTTTTGTTTGCTAATTCTGACCAGTTGGAGTAAATCCCAGAGATATTAAGCACACCAGCGATTGTACAAGACTGGTTGTAGCCAATGGTGGTTCCGTTGCTCTTAATCCAGTATCGAACACTCTGAGTGACCCCGAGGGTTCCTTAACCATCATCATCAGAAATGACCAGGGATTCCCCATTGAAGTCAACATGGATTTCACTCAGCTTAATGACAGGTACACGTATAAATTAAAACAAACAACGACTCTGTGTAGTTAGGATTCATATTTTTATTTTCCACACAGGGGTCAAATCTCAAAAGGGATTTTAAAAACAAAGTTTCAAAAAAATATTTGCAAGAAAAGATTGGTGATGGTGTACTACAGATATAGAGTAAGCTTTTGGGATTTTTATTTTCACTCTTTGGGTCAAATTGGATTGAAAAAAGATTCTGTTTTATACAGAAAACTGGATACAAAACCTCCTCATACAATGTGTAATTTTCTTATTCAGTAGCTTAATAAACTTTTGCAATGATGGCGTCCTTTAGGTGTGTTATAAGGTCGCTGAATTGTCATTTGTCACACAGGGAGCCTATTGAGGTTTGAAAACTATTTTTAAATAATAAACACCTATTTCCCGGAACAGTTTTTACAATAACAAAGTAGATTTCATCTATTGCAAGAGGATAGAGGTGTACTTTAGATGTGCTTGGTTGCGAAATTTTCATTTCACTCTTTTGGCCAAATGTGGTGTTCTATAGATGGGCAAAAAGTTCTGAAGTTTTCATTAATGAAAAATAATGTTTTTCAAGTTCTATTGTGATCAGTTTTTTTCCTTTTTTTAAAATGCTTTTTGCTTTATAGACTTTTTTTTCTAAAATTTACCTCATCACAATCTTTCACAACTGACCAGTAATTATCAACCTATCATATACATGTACTTGTCAGTTGAGTCAAATGCTAGTGTCATGGAGAAAAACTTACAGTTTTTCAATATACTTATTAATCTCTGAAATATGTAATAAATTTTAATTATTCAAAACATTTTATTATTTTTTTTGTCATGTAATCATTTTCAACTTCAGATTGAAAATTAATTAAAGACACTAGAATAGAAAAAATATTTTGTTTACCATATTTACTGTTCTCAAACAATTTTCAGCCATATTGAATTTTTTGTGCATTCACTTACATATGCACTGTACAGGGTGTAGATAGTATATACCCAAAGTGTACACTTTTGCACATGATTAGGTAAAAATGTACACCGGGTGTATGGTGAAGACCCTCCATTGCATGCTACTCGTCGTTTTGCGCTATTATGTGCGAATTGCCTTGAGAACGCAGCTCTCGTGTGACAAGGATTAATCTAAACATGTATTCTGAGAAAATTGCATAAGCAATACATGTCCTCTACAAGGATCCCCTTTTCTCCTTAGGATACAAGCTTGTTTGGAACATGAATTTAGTGCATCAGGAACTCGATCATTATCCCAATCATAAAAAAATACCATAATTCCGTCAAAAATCAATGACGCGAATCGAAAAGGTCTGTAACTCATGAAGATACAATCACTATTCAAAAATCAGCTCATTATCTGTAGGCGTTTAGAAGAAAAGCGCGGAAAACCAAGTAAGACAAACTGACAGACAGACGGAGGGACAGACGGACGGACAGACTAAGAGGAAACCTATAGTCCCTTCCGGTTTTACCGGTAGGGGGCTAATTAAAATGAACTTTTTAAGAAATATATCAATTAAACTTATTTACATGAAATACCATATATGTTTGATGTGCTTTTTGATTTTATCACAGAGTCACAGATTACATTAATAATGGTGTTCGATATGTTTTCCGTGGAGATCACTCTGCTGGAATTGTCAACACTTTCTCACAGGATCTCGAGCCCGAATCAGTTACCATCAGCAATGATGATAGATTCGCCTTCATTTCTTGTCAGGTATTATTATATTCTTATTTGTTTCACTCAATTGAACAGAAGTACACATGTATCTACAATTATTACAATTATTATAACTTTAACACACTTATCTAGTGAGTGAAGTTTTGAGCTTTGAAAATTTATTTATAGGAACAAAAACATAAATATTCTTTAAACCTGACTACTTCTTTCTGTAACAAAGAAAATACACAGGAAATTCATGAATTTTGTATAAAAGGAAAAAAATAATTATCTAAAACAGTCCTTTGTCATGCTTCAAGAACACACCCTCTATTTATGCTATATGAACAGTGGGTAGGTGGTGAATGTAACTACGGCAAAAAAGTAAAAATCGTGCTTATATAACTTGAGAACGTGTTCGATAGGTAATAGTTAAAAATAGAAAACAATGACTATTGATTTTTACATAGGATCATTACACAGAACAATTTTGAAAATATTAATTTATTCTCTTTTTTTTATGTAGATTAAATAAGGCTATATATTTCTTCTATAACTGTGAAATATTAAAATTTTAGAGAAATAATGCCGTTTTGAAGATTGACATGTTTAACCAGAGAATTATTGAGCTTTATTCTCTGGGTGCCAAGAATTGGACTAGTTATACGATGGATGCTAGCGATCTGAATGACGGTATGTTATTGTATAATTTTCTTTTTTTCAAGTTTGATCTCTTTTTGGACATTTTCATATCAGTGCCACGGATTATTCCGGGTTTTTTTTTCGGTATAGAAAAGTAGCAAGCTGGATGAGCACGGTCGGCAGGGGATGCTCACTCCCCCATTGCACCTGATCCCACTTCTGTTCATGTTAGCTCTGCTCCCGATTTTTTAATGGTCTTATGAGCTTTAATCCTGTTCGTTATCTCTATATTTCACCATTACTTTAGGGATTAAATACATTATTGAGCTTCTCAAAGGTATATCTTTTTTTTTTAAATTTACAGCTGCTAACATGCGTCATCATACCGTCTACTCCTTCTATCAGCCTGGAAAACTTGCCTTTGGCTTGATAGACGGCAAGGGGTACGTGATTTCCGCTGACACCGGTAGAACTACCTCGTATACTGTTAATAACCACGGCTATGCCTTCAACGATTTCGTGAGAGCACGAGTAGCTTATAATGGTAAGATTTTGTCCAATACCCTCTCTATAAAGATAATACAAAAAGGGTTGATTTGATTTTTACCATGTTTTATTATGAAAAACTGTGTACATTTCGTGAATTTATAATTCGTCTAGTTCATTATCTTTATTTTGCACGTTACCTTAATTACCAACAGAAAACAATGCACTCCGTCTTTATTGTCCTTCAGGTTGTCAATCATGAGTAGAATTGTGATACTGGTACATGACTGTACTTACTCAGAACTAACAATGCTCATTACAGGTGTCCAATCAGATTGCAGGCAGTTTTACCAGAGTTCAGTCAAAAAATTTAATCCTATATATATATATCGATTCAGAAGCGAAAACAAAACGTAGAATGTTTTACCGGTTTTTAATAAGATGTAAAGATAAAAAGTATGACTACACAATTCATATATATTAATAAAATCACCTTCGTTATAGACGGAGATTTGGACACAACTACAATGAACCCTACACTTGTACAACAAATACAGGATAACCAACAACTAGGTATGTCACATGGATAGCAACGACATCTAAATCCTGAAGGTTAAGGGATTAATTATACAATTCAAATACTTGATTGCAGTTAATTTTCCATTTCCATTTCTCTGTAGGAAGGGTATACATGAGCAATCAAGATGGATATAACATTTTTAACAAAATCGGTGACGTTTTCCTGTTTGGTGGGCGTGGTATTTCTTTGTGGGACTCTACCACCATGGCCCACGTATTTGACAGTGGGGATGATTTGGAGAGGAGGGCCTCGCAGTTATACCCCAGTACATTTAATGGAGACTGTTCCAATGGAAACCAATCTCCAACACAGCAGGTTGACGAAAGATCAGACGACATGGTATGATATGTTTGCAAGAAATATTATCATTGGAGAGAAAGGGCCTTGGATAATATAATTCATGAGGCATGGTTTGTACAACTTACTTTACGACCGGTGTTTCTGTAAGAAGCAATTCAACAACCCAACACAAACAAGATCTTCCTAAACCATCAGTCCAACATAGATACCAACCAAACAATATCTTTCGATTTCTTTATTGCGTATGGGCAATGTAGCACACTGAGTCGGTATAGCAGTCGCTGAATTGGAAGGTCGTGTGTTCGAATCACGGCCGTGACTGACCTAATTCGATAAAAAATAGGTGTTAACTATTCTTTGGCTTAGCGCTTGGGAGACCTAAAAAGCGAAGTTCCATGTCACGGTAGGCGTTAGCCAATCTAATTAAAATTAGATCTTTGGTCCGCTCCAGTTTGATCGCTACACTTGTGTTACACATTTTAAAGGAAATCATTGTTATTAATATTTATCCTATATTCTTTTGTATTACACATTTTTCTTTATTAATAACTACTTCAAAAAAATTCAAAACAAGTTATTTTGAAACGCAGGAACTTAAATCAAAATGACTGTTTACATATATCGTTCATGCAGAAACGTATATATGACATCACATGAGGGTGTAATTACCTTAACGAGGCCGAGTCTAATTCGAGTGCGCATGACTTTGCGCAGCTTTTTAATTTCATGCAGTCATTTGTGCGACAGTACACCTTTGCCAAATGTTTTGATTTTTATACAAAATTAACATTATCTGTAACCCCTACTGGTCTGAAAATGTGATTTTACGACAATAATCAGGAAAAAAACGCTAAAATGGCTCTACCGACGTCACCATTTTCGGATTTTGTAAGCAACGCATGACGCTGAAGAATGACGCATTTCGACTCGCTTGTATGTTCAAGACGTCCATGGATATTATACTAAAAACTGATGACAGAACATCTAAAGAAGCATACTAGCAATTCAAACATGGCTAATTTCTCACCCCAAAAAATCGTATGTGCCGATAATTTGTTTGCACTGATATGTAGTTATACCGTAATATGGCAATGCTTGAAAAAACAAACTTCGTAATTATTTCCTAGACCAAAGTAGATGTTGAATTTTTTTTGAAATTTCACAATTTGGTGACTTTTTACAATAACTTTCATGTACTTGAATGAAAAAGAAATCTCTAGGGCAGAAATACAAAAAAATATGGAAAAAAAAATGTGTTAAATTGGCGTTTTTCCAACAAATTCCCGTAGGGTCCAATAGTGAAATTTGACAACTTTTGAGAAATCGAGGTGGTAAACATTCGATTTTTTAATCTTAAAACAATAATTATAACAGTAAACATTATTTATCAAAAAATTATCAAAATCCCTAGGGCAGAAATAATTAGACTCGACCTCGTTAATACGGAATAATATGGATACCGTATAAGTGGAAATTTTAGCGAGACTCAAATTTAGCGATTTGTCCTTAAAACTGGTAATTTTTTTTTAGCGAGATGTTATTTTAGCGATTTTAAAATGCACATTAAAGAAGCTATTACAAATAAAACACAATTAATTTTTAGTGAAATTTAATTTTAGCGATCTCGACACCCTCGCTAATAATGGCAAAATTAAATCCTCGCTAAATATTCTACGGTATTAATATCTATTTATTATATGAAGGGCCCTGAGCCCAGTGCTTTGGCCGTGGGAACGGTTGGAACCACACCTGTTCTCGTTACGGGCTCTAGGAGTGGTGTCTTGTACGTCTTTAACATGAGGGGAGTCAGCGCCAACTTTGAGAGTGCTCACCGCGAGGGAAGTACCAACGACATCTGGAACAACCTGTACGGCACCAACACGGCAGGAGATCAACAGATATCTGAAATAGGGTAAGGGGAATTGTAGAAAACCCTTTGACGGAAATAAGAAAGAAAAAAAGGATGTTAGAACTTAGTAGACTAGTGCAATTAGAGGACATTTTGCCATGTTACTAATATTTCTCAATTTTCCTTGTTTGACTAGGTTATTTGACAAATTACGTAGAATCTTAATTGAAGTGTCAAAAATAGTTGCGTTGTTTCTTTTCATTTGAAAAGGACAGAAAATAACCAAATTTTCAGTTTTTCTTTTAGATTATATTTGAGAATGAGCCTAAAAGTTTAATTAATTTTAAATTTTGACATTAAGTTATAATGATCTTTTTGGCTTTTCAGATTCGTTAATGCTGGTGACAGTTCTACGGGAGTTCCCTATATCTTCGTCATCGGAAAAACCACTGGATCACTTTCTATTTATAATATTGAAGATGTACCAGACACAAAATAAAAAAAGTTTTTTTCTATTAATTTGCAAATTCCATGCGGTATTTTAATGGTTAAAAAAACCTTAGATACAAGACGGTTTCAATACCTGCTCATGGTCATTCTGCTGTTTCTTTTTAAAAAAGATATTTCTTAAATACAAAAAACACGATTTACTTGTGGTAAAAAAGAAAATATTATACATGTTTTATTATTATAATTAGATTTAAAAATTAAATGACAATGATTAAAATGTTTTGAATACACAATGTGCTTTGACATTTGCTACAACAACGTTCTGCTTTACAATAAACACTCACACAGTTCACGCATACTTACTCATATAAAAACGATTTCTTTTCTCGCCACTGTCATAAAATTTCGAATGATTTAATGGACATAAAGATCGAGTATGAGTATCAAAACTTTAAACAGGAATATATCGGTCACAAAGTCCGTGATAAAGGCCATACAAACTTAACTCACTCAGACTAACAAAGAAATTAAATAACAGTAGGGAAGGCAATGCTTTCCCCACACCTTAAATAATAGATAGTATGGTTATCCAATCGACCCTCATCAATTTTCTTTCAAACATGCAACCAACATATGAAAAAGTTCAAATATTCTTGTTATATAAGTCTTATGAAATTGTACTTCTTTGACACAATTACGGAATTTGGCTGTATCTTTAACCTCTGACCCCCCAAGCTTAAATACTCACCACTGATAGAGATACCAGCATATAATAAATAGGGGGTTAGAGAGTAGAGGTGAGCTAGATTTTTTTCTTTTTTATATTAAGTTAATTTATTCAACTCAAAGAACAGTAAGTATAAACAGTGGGTTTTTTTTCTTACTACAATACATCTAAAGAAAATGTTTAAAATAGGAAAATAGAAATTTTTTATGTACTTGGACATATTTTCTGTATTTGGTGTTTATTTAGGGATTTATGTGCCAATATTATCATAATTTCTTTTCTGTATTGCACCTGTGATGTTATTTCATATTGCACTCATATTAAATATAGGCACATATTGCACTTCTTGGCCGTGATTCTTTATCTTGGTCATTAAAGTACTATCTATATCTAATGTCGACCAGTTCCAATCGTGATTTCGTGATCATCCTGGGAAAATTCACAGGTGATCAAAATCTCTAAGACAATACAGTCCAAACCTTTTGTGTTTAATTTTTTTTTCATGCTGTTAAGTGAGAGGGAATAAAACGAGTCACTTGTGGTAATAAAATATCTAATTAACGAAAAGTTATCAAGCTCATTAGTCCATTTTAACAATACACTTCTGGATCAGAGCAAACACGAATCTCTAAAAGCATCAAAGATGGGATCTGGTGCAGTGCAGGAGTAAGCAACCCCTGTCAAACGATCACACTCCTTGTCAAGTAATAAAACAATAATTTAATAACAAAACAACAATCTTTTCAATAGATTGACTTGTTGGATGTACCGTATGGCTCGGTGAAATTATTAATAATCCTAAACGAATAAATACAACAATGACGTAAGAAAAAAATATACACATTAGTTGGTGGAAAATACTCAGTTAACTTCAGATCATTCCCCCCAAACCATAAAATTGGTTCACAATTTTATCATATACTGTATAATGAAATATAGTATTATCCATCAACTATCTGTTAACTGATTTTTCTGTATTTAATTGAATTAACAATCACTTTTAATCAAAACATATTGGACGCAGAGGTCTACCTGGCCTGTTATAGGACGTTTGTACTTGCTCTTGAAAATTCAATCAATGGTTAAAAGTACGAGGGTTGTTAGAAAAGTTCGCGGACACATTGAATTACAGAAAATCTATTGTGTAATGTGAAGTATGACCTATGTCTGAATGAATTCCTACATTTTGTTTATTGGTATGTAAAATATCAGGTCCATATGATAAAATCTTAAAATTTTACAACTATTTTAACTATGGGGTTATGGGATTCACGGAGCAATCACTTGACGTAAGCGACGTGATATCCAGATTTCAACCCTTTAAGCTTTGTCGCAATTCTATAAATCTTTCATTTCTTCAGATTTTTCTTATCTTTTTTCTACTTTAAAATTGAATATCTATATCAAGACGTATTACTTTTCTACTATAATGTCTTTTGTACTGTTTCGGATATTATTGAGATCTTAAAAAATAAAAAAGGTCAATGTGTGAACAGTCAATCTATCAGGTATGGAAACTATGCAAAAAAACCATATAGGCGCAACGCAACGTCCATGCGATAGGGGGTATTGAAGTATCGATGGAGTTAATCATTCAAAATGTTACTACTTCCATTCTTATGAAGCTACAACCATTTGAAAACTTGTTCTTTGTATGTGTAGGATATTCCCGGCAGTATTTTGAACATTTCAATCTCTTTTTAGACATTTCCCTGTCTGCACACATAATTTTTACGTGGTGCAGTGCTCCATGACGCTCAATGACGTTCCGATTTTTGGCTGAGTTTTTACGCGTTGATCATTTATAAATGGCTATAAAACAGGCATATACCTTCCAATTAAGTTCAAAATTTCTCCCAGTGACGTTTCTTGCATACTTTAGCGGCAGGTAAAATATCATAAATCTCTTGGCACTACAATTGTGCAATTTTTAATTTTAATAAAGAGTCTTTATGATGTAAACGTGCCAAAATGTAGCATGCTCCGTGAAGCAAGATTTATCAAAATAAAAATGCTGTATATTTTTCAATAATCACCGGAGGGCACCAAATTCCTGTATATTGATTGGAAAAAAGTTTAAGATTATATCTGTAAAGTTTGACCGTTTTCGTGGAAATAGCGCGCTAACAATAGAACTTGTCCGCGAACTTTTCTAACACCCCTCGTACGGTACATGATTAAGAGTTGAGAATGGAAAAATCTACAGAAAGCTTCAAACAAAAAATAAAATATTAATAAAATAGGAAAGATATCTCTGTTAAATTCTAAATCATAAATTATCACAAATCCCACAAACCGAAGTTTGTAAGACAAATACGATCAGATGTTGGCCAACGATCGTGCAGATCGTTCTTGCATTACGAGGAACAATGGAAGATTTAATGTTTAGTTTAAGAACAGAAGATCCATTACCATTAGAAGCAGTGACGTTTTTCATACTAATTGTTAGTCCATTATCTATACATACGAGGGTTGTCCCGTAAAATCGTGGACAAGTTGTCTAGTGTAAAAAATAAACATCACTGCGTTCTGAAATTTTCACTATTATTTAGTACATATTTTAGTAATATACACAGCAAATTTCAGATAAATATATGCATAAATAAACAAATTACGTGATTTTATGTCATGTATTGTATCACCTTACGGCGCATGGATTATAACGTCAAAGTGTCTAAAACAGCGTCACATTTTATCTTTGCTGAAAATGAAGTTGGATGAGTCCGACTTAAATTTAGGAACCTCATTGATACACATTCTTTAGTCTCCATAAACAGTCGAAGAACCAATTGGCACCCTAATGCGATCTTCTGAAGATTTATCAGTAAGTTACGGACAATATTCTCACCATCATTCAACTAATAGAAAATCTCATATCGGCGGTCTACTGTGATAGCGTCTTTTGCTATAACATTAGGAGTTTGTCCGTATGTTTTGTACTCCCCAGGGATTCGATCAAAAAGACTTTGCTAAGAAAACTCCTATTTCATTTGTATACTTAAGATATGGTGATATTTTTATAATCTTTTTTCTTCTATGGTCATTTCAAGTCTCTAAAGGTGTCATTACAACATCGAATTAAAACGGAACTGCTCTCCGATGCGCCGTAACGTCATAAAACGTCGACATTTTTCGTGTGTTGTGTTTACCATCTTCCCATTTCGAATGCTCGAGAAACTGCCAAAAATTAATCAAATGCCTTAAAATTTTTTAAAAGACTAAAAAATTGATTGTGGAAATGAATTCGGATAATTTGAATTCAAGGACAGACGAGACGTTCCTTAATAATAGATAAAATTTTCTAAGAGTTTGTCATTGAAGTATTGCTACTTAAACATGTTTACTCACAAAAAATTGAGGTACCTTACCAGGCATTTCTGCAAGATACCAGGGGTAGTTTTTCTTATATAATCCTTTGTGGAAGAAAAATAATTTTCCGATTTCAAATGTTTAAGAGTTTGTATGTTTTAAAAACGTTTAGAAACTGGTTTAGAAATCAGAATGCTATTAAGATTTTGAATATTTTTCATACATTACGAAGATATACAAAACAGATTTTGAGGAACGTCTCGTCTGACCTTAAAACTTTTATTTTGAATTCAAACTTGTTTATTCTTTAATAAAACTTTGGTTTTTTGTCCGTGCGCCGTAGGACAATACCCCGTGCACATTCATGCATAATAAAACCTTTATTTTTGCCTATATTTTATCGAAAAAATTATCATGCACTTAAATAGGATAAAGAAACATTTACTGAAATTTTCAGCTTAGTGCGCCCATTACTTTTCGAGAAAAACGCTTTGTCCACGATTTTACGGGACAACCCTCGTATACGTTATTTCCCGATCATGACAAGGAACACACGGCGGGTGTGACCGGTCAGCATGGGATGCTCACCCCTCCATGGCACCTTATCCCACCTCCGATGTTTTGGAGGTCCGTGTTTGCTCTGCTCCTATTTTGTTTTGTTTTATGGACTTTTGATACTATTCGTAATCTCCATATGTTTGATTTCTTGACTAAATGTCTACATTTTACTATAGTTTATCCTTTGTTCTCTTTCTCCACCGTCTCTTCACAATTTGGTTTATTTTGATTTTTTTATGTCTTGCTTTTGTTGTTGGCTTTTTGTGATGCGCTTTAACCTTCTGTTAAATGTTATCTTTTTTCTTCTTTGCTTTTGTTCATTTTATACTTTGTGACCTAGCTGACATACTTAATAATGCTTTCTATTCTGACACTTTCAAAATCAGGAGGACATAATATATCTAGAATAATATACTTGTTCTCAAGTTTACTTCATTTGTTCATATACAAGCACCCAGTTTTAGTTTCTTAGTCGTTTACATCATGTACCTACATCTAGTTAAAACTAGAATAGTTCCGTCTATAATTGATTGTAATCATTGTTCAAAGTAATTAATTAAGGATACATGACCTGATGCTGGTCCTGTAGTCTAGTTCTTGTTTAAAGACTATTTTTCTTCTATCCCCTTGTGTTGAAAGACAGTAACACAAGGGGATCTCTTGTGTTACTGAGATATTAATAACATTCATATAGTGATTGGCAGGCTAATTTTTCATATGAGGCAGGATTCATTTAGAATTTTATATATGAAAAAAACATTTGCAGTCTCATTTAAAATCATAATATCATAAGTTCAATTGGCGGTACAATGACCTTGTCTGCAAATACAATCTATCATAAGTCAAATGCTGACTAACGTTTTTCATAGTAATTTTAGGCCATTATTTACACACTGAATTGTCGAGGGGTTTTCCAATTATTTTCCGCTACAGCGGATGAGACAGGACTGCAGGGGATGCTCACTCCTCAATGGCACCTGATCCCACCTCTGATGTTTTAGAGGTCCCTGTTTGCTCTGTTTCTCATTTGTATTGTTTGAATGGAATAAATTAATCTTGAATACTGTTTTATCCCTAGATATTTCATCTGTCTGATATTGGTCTATGTGTGTTTCTTGACATCATCAAAGTACGAAGAGTGATCAAAAAGTTCGCGAACTAATTGAATAACTTCCATAAAAGAAACAATATTTGGTTTTAATGTTGATTATATTTTAAATCAATCCTCCCCAATTTTAATGCACATCAACCACCGTTCTGCGCATGCGTGAATCACGTGATATTGGCGGTCACGTGACCGCCTCCGTAGCGTTCTATCACAAAAGTTGAAAGATTTTTCTGAGTTTTATATTTCTATCCATGTGAGTTAATTTTTATGACAAGAACACTTCATATGTCAGAAATGATCATATCTCGGCAACAGAATGGGTGGATAAGAATATCCTTTCCAAAAATAAGCATGGCGACCATTTAAACACAAATCTTCTGTCTCGGGAGAGACCTTTATTCAAGGTGGATAGAGAATGGGTGCCTCCTTTTTATCATATCTAATATGTTTAAAATCTAAAGTAAACGATATCTTAGGTACTAATACTTATATTATTGTCAAATATTCAACTATTTTTCAAAGTGTTATTTGGAGGTCTTTGATAGCAAATTGCTTAAAAATAGATATCTTTTCAAACTTGCTTTCACTGGGCAAGATGACAAGTATCATTTTTAACCATCTGCCTCCCTTCACTAAAACGATCAATCAAATCATTAAATAAATTTATAGGAACTCATTTATCTCAATAAACTGTGTACAAATTATTATATGATACTGCAGAGGGATTTCTAAGATATACAATAAATTGTACAGTCGTTTGTTGAACGAGTTCGACTGAGACAACCATTTTTCGTCACAAGTGACCTACATAGTGACGTCATTTTCACATTGTGACGTCACAAACAAGGAGAAAAACTTTATTCAGCATATGCTATTTATAGACCTTGTGTATGGCTATGTGTGTACCGAATTTCATTCTAATCTGAATCGTGATTTTGTAGATATAGAGATAGATCGCGAACTTTTTGATCACCCCTCGTTGTATGTTTTTCGACAAGTATTCTACAATATGTCCCTTCTTAAATAGAAACCTTCTTCGTTGTCGTTAATTCCATGTTTAAGACGTCCTTTAAGACTTTTTGAATGCTATTCATTTGTCACTAGTGTGCCTAAGTTGACTGTACCCAAGGCATACTCTTTATCGAATGAGTTACGAGAGATATACCGAAATACAATGTATTACTACATAAAAAAGTTGATAATGGAAAAGCTGAGTTTATCTCGTTTGTCATACGTTTATAAATTAGTTGGTGTTTATCGTTTATAGTCAGAAAAAACATCCATATAATTTATAAAACAGACATTTATCAAGTTCACTGGGAATTATCGATTCGAAATATGATTTGAAGTAAATATTATTAACTGATGATAGTTCCACTTAAAATCTGAAAAGTCTGTTTCTTAAAATAACAACATTCAAAATCCCTAGCTCACTTCTTTCAGACCATTGCAAGCATAAATAAATGTTATTTTTATATTATAAATATTACATTTTTTAGATAGAAATATTCTGTCACTAATATGCTGAATTAATTTAACGTTTGTTGTTAAAAACAAAATTTGCAGGAAAATAACTCCTGTTTTGATTTTTTTTGACTTGTTTGTCTTTGTCCAGAAATTACCATGAGATCGATTATCATTCTACTCGTGTTAGTCGTCGCATACTCTGATGCTGTACTTCAACTAAAGAAGCAGTCCTACATGAAATTCCCTTACCAGTTCGTCAACGGAGACCCTACCAATCCAAGATACGGGCTTTTTCAAAATGCCGCCCACAAGGCCGCTTACCACACTGTTGATAAAATTTTATATGTTGCTTGTAAGTTGCTTTATTAGTGTTTTTAATTGTCATAAGGAATAGCGAAATTTCATTTCTACATTAATTTTTTCTGTACAAAATTATTCTTTATAATAAATTTTCTCGCCGGAATGCAATAGTTTTTGCTTTATTTTGATTTTTTAATTAATGTTGCCAAAATACACTACAAAAACAAATAGACCAGCAAAAATAAAAGAAAAGTAAACGAAAGGGATTATAAATGATATCAATATATATACCGTCTAATTTTATGCTTTTTTAATACAACAGCTGCTAGATCCTCCGAGAAGTACCTCCACATCATTGATATGAACAATCCCGCCAGTCCCTCCATCTTGATGACCCACGTGTTCGATAACAGCGTGGATGGTATGATCTCAGCCGTGGAGGCTTGTTCAGACACCATTGCTGTGGCCTTGACGGCGGCAGACCCAGTGGCTGAGGGTCACGTAGAATTGTTCACCCCCTACAACAGGGCTGACCGTGTTTTTACCAGGACTGGCAGAATCGCAGGTGAGCGCAAAGTGAAACAAGAGATATCAATATCATTTAACATATATTGACCCTCATGAAAGTGAAACTACTTTTGCAAAAATTAAAAAAAAACAAACGAAATTAAACAAAAACGACAATACCGAACGAAAACGAAAACAAACCTCAAAATATGCTTATACACATTTAAAACTTGGGTTAAACAAAAATCATATATCCTTTGCATCATAAAAGGAAAAAGGGGGATAAAGAAATGGTAAAAATCTACTAATTATGTTTATATATATTCAGTCGGTGTTCATCCAAAGGATATGCAGTACACCAGTGACTGTACAAGACTGGTGGTTGTCAGTGAAGGCCGTGTTTCTCTAAATCCAAATACAAACACTCTCAATGACCCCGAGGGATCCCTGACAATAATTATCAGGAACGACCAAGGATTCCCCATTGAAGTCAATATAGATTTTACCCAGCTAAATGACAGGTTAGTGATATAGGATTTGCATATAAATTCTGCAGTCTTTGACCATTTTTGAAACTAAACATATTTTTTGCCTTATAAATATTTAATCTTTGTTCGATTTTTCTTTCCCTTTTAAATGAATTTTTTCACTACGTAGGGTGGTAGATTACATAAATAATGGTGTTCGATATGTTTTCCGTGGAGACCACTCTGCTGGAATTGTCAACACTTTCTCACAGGATCTCGAGCCCGAATCAGTTACCATCAGCAATGACGACCGATTCGCTTTTGTCTCATGTCAGGTATAAGCGTTAAAACAAAAAAATCCATAAAAGGTGTTTTCTTTTTATTCTTATTTTTAAAGCAAATGGTTTGAAATTTCCTTTCCAGGAAAATAATGCAGTACTGAAATTGGACTTGTTTAACCAAAGGATCATTGAACTTTATGCTTTGGGAGCCAAGAACTGGACAAGCTTTATGTTCGATGGAAGTGACCAAAATGATGGTACTTTTATCCCAAAAAGTTTTTTTTTATTTAATATTGTGTATATTTTTTCTCAACTACTTTTATAATAAATCTTTTCAAGTCTAATTGTACATAGAATCATAAGAATTGGGTACTTTTGAGTCTGCAAGCATATATGTTACAGTTTGTACAAAGTTCGTCAGAGAGAAATTTTTTTAAATTGCATATAAAATTCTTGTGTATTTATAGCTGCCAATATGCGTAATCACAGAATCTACTCATTTTACCAACCTGGAAAACTTGGTTTTGGTGTTATTGACGGTAAAGGTTACGTCATTTCCGCCGACACTGGAAAAACGAAGACTTACACTAGAAATAATGAGGGCTATGATTTCCGTGATTCTACTAGAGCACGCGTGGCTTGGAATGGTAAAGTGCTCTTTAATGTTTTCAATAATTGATCACATGTACATTTTGAAATCAGAGATGCATGTCTAATGAAGTTCTATCTGCTGATATTCTGATATTGTTTCATTGCTCAATTGTACATTGTATTTTACTTATGACATGAAACCAAATACAAAATGCTGCCATCTTTATTTTTAAAAAAATTAAATCAAATTCTTAAAGAATTTGAAACTAAACGGTCTTTGAATAGAATTAAATGCCACTGCAATATTTTTTATATACACAATATAGATGGAGAACTTGACACCACGACACTGGACCCCACACTTCTAGCACAAATCCAAGACAACCAACAGCTGGGTGAGTAATCTCCCTTTGCTGTAGACAAACATTCTTAAAGACGCTTCCTTAAAAAATGATTCATTATAAAAGGCGACAGAACTTTAAAAAAGTAAGATACTCCACATATTTTTGTAGATTTACTTATTTCATATTTTACATTTCATATTTTTTTCACAATTTCTATAAATCATAAAGATTTCCTCTACCACTGTGTTTATTGTTTTAATAGGCAGAACATACATAAGTAGAGTAGATGGATACAACATCTTTAACCAAATCGGTGACGTTTACATGTTTGGTGGGCGTGGCATTTCTTTGTGGGACTCTACTACCATGGCCCACGTATTTGACAGTGGGGATGATTTGGAGAGAAGGGCCTCTCAGTTGTACCCCAGTACATTTAATGGAGACTGTTCCAATGGTAATCAGTCTCCAACACAGCAGGTTGACGAGAGATCAGATGATATGGTATGTTCATTTTGATTTGTTAAATAAATAATTTGGAAAGTATTGTATGCTTGGTATCAAATGCATTTGTTATCTATATAAAATCATAGCTTAAAGAGATTTAGGGTGTCTCCCCTAGAAAATTAATGAGAAATCAAGTCGTCCCTCAGTCAAACAGATTTTCATTATCCTGTATCAAAAGAATACTATAATTGCAAACATGAATGATTCTTCAAAATTTTCTTGCATCGCATTCCTAAAAGTTAATCAACTGAACTTTATTCTTTTAAAAATTAAAAATAAAATAATCATGATTCAGAAAACCTTGAAATTGGTGTAAATTTTACAGGGCCCTGAACCGAGTGCCATGGCTGTGGGTACAGTAGGAACCACGCCTGTTCTCATCGTGGGCTCCAGGGACGGGGTCCTGTATGTGTTCAACATGAGAGGGGTCAGCGCCAACTTTGAGAGCGCTCACCGTGAAGGGGCCACGAACGACATCTGGACCAATCTCTATAATAATGACGTCGCTGGGGATCAGGGAGTTTCAGACATGGGGTATGTGTCTTTTGCTGTACTGAAAAAAATATTTGTGTATTACAATTTTTTCTCTCACTTGCTGTACTGAAAAAAATATTTTTCTACAGAAATTGAGCAACTGTACTGTTCTCTCGACGAAACGATGCTTTTACGCAGTAAATTATTTTTATTTTGCTTGAATTTATTTTTGTGGATCCACAAAAATTAAAGCAAAATCAATCAAATTTTCATCAAAAACAACGAGAACCTTTCTTCCTTGAGAAGAACTAAATAAGTTCTTACCAATGACGTACAATGTCATTTTCCTAACATCAATAGTATCGTAAACTTCGTTGTTATATTCATTTTTTTCTATTAATGACATATTCATTGATTTTTTAAATTTATTATTTTATTTAACAACAAGTATTTGTTATTATTAATTGTTTTATTTTATATATTTATTTATATGATTTTGTTTTATCATTCATTTAATGTTTCAGATTTGTGAATGCTGGAGATAGCTCCTCTGGTGTTCCATACATTTACGTCATTGGTCAATCCACGGGATCCTTATCCATTTACACTATCGAGGATGTTCCCACCCAACAATAGACACATACTCCACTGATATTATTTATATTTTATACAATAAAGTTGATGAACTTGTTTTTAGTGTTCTAATTTTAAAAAAAGTGAAATAAAATAAAAAAGATTTATTATTTTTTTTTAGTTTATCATTATTATTTTTTACTAATACCGATAAATGTGTTAAAATAAAGCAAGGATGGTTTATTTTCTGTAGGTCCCATCTACAGTTCGGTTGACCTCGTTTTCTCAGTAAAATATCCAAATTGAAAGCTGGTGACTGAAGGGAGCAACTGAATGCAGCCGCCCATTTCGATTTAAGATTTTTTTTTATCAGAAAACTTACTGTAAATCGGATGAGTCTTGTCCCAGTTTTTCATATTAAAGTTATTTACATCATATCTATCGCTCATATCATTTAATAGTGCTTCAAGTTTTCACTTCAAGCTAGCTTTTTACTTACCAATAAACCTGTTGCGCTTCAAATACACAAAATGACACAACAAACCAAAAATATTTAAAATAAGAGTAAATAAACAAGTTCTTACTAAGTGTCTAAAATAAAATTTTATTAACATCACAAAGTATTTACAAACAAAAATTAACGTACTAACGACCCTGCTGTTCATTGCCTAGTTAAAAAAAAAAGCCTTCCTAAAAGGTGTACAAACCCAGAGCCCGTTCTACCCACAGAATCGTCAAAGAACTTTCTAAACTAACCGATCTAACAAAAATAGAAAAAAGAAACTAACAAGGTCATTATAAACCATTTCTCCCCCTCCCCCTTTAATTACAGATGATACAAACAATTTTTTTTTCTTTAGAAGAGACTTAATATCAACAGAAAAACATAGAAAAAAAATGACAAACAATCAGAAAAATCACACACTAGGCTGATTTTTACAATTTTGCCTTTCCCAATAAAGTTCACATGGCTTGGTATATTTTTCTAGAGTTTCTATTAATCTTTTACACTTCCAGCAGTTGACATATTTTAAAGAAATATTCCATAAGTTTCATCTTTTATTCTTATTTACAAAAGGGTCCAGATTATTTCAAGTTAATGTCCGGATCCGCACCTTGTATTTCTTACTCATATATATTAAGTGCAAATGTATCATTGTTTGTACATTGTTTGTAAGGATTTTTAAGAGATTCGACTAAATGTTCTATCAAGCCTCTATCTTTACTCTTGCGAAAATATTAACAGCATCGAAGGAGAAACTTTAGGAGTACTATACAACGAAATATTTATGAAGTGGTGTAAATCAGATCTTGATACGTAAAAACCCTAGGAACTTTTAGAAAAATTGAAATCACATAATTTACAGCATTCAAATGAAGCAGAATTCATTCAAAAACTTGTACATGAAAAAAGAAAATACTTGTTTTGGCGTTCAGCATAAAATTAAGATATATCGACGACGTATCATCAATTAATAATAGTTACTTCCTTTCATATGTCGACTCGATATATCCCAGTGAAATATAGAATTCTGAGTCTGATACATCTCTTTCATATTTAAATATCTATTCAGAAAAAGAAGTTTAAGTACTTTGGTAAATGTGGTGATTTCATCTTTTCTACTGCCATCTTTCCTATTTTTTCTCTATTATTCAAGTCCTCTAGTTGGCCAAAACCTGCTCAAATGATGTTATATGTATATAACAGTATATAGACCTGTGTAACTATTTGTAGACTTTGAAAAGCAAATCGACTTGAAGTTTATAAAAATAAGAGAAAAAAACTTCTGAAATGAAAACAATAGTGCTGACTTCAAAATAGCTTATTCAGTTTATGACTTAATGTTTCTGAAATAGAATATACTTTATGATTTTCATTGATTGAAATGATTTATGGTAGGAAATAACGTATAGTAGTAGGATGCCTTGGATAAGGATTTACTTTATATAAAAACTTATTAGAAAGATTGGTTTTTCATAAATCGATAAAAATTATAATAAAACATGATTCATGATTTGTTTTCAACATGTAAGTATTATCGATCTTCAATTTATTTATTCATAATACATACATGATTCATTCATAATCTGTTTCAACATGTAAATCATCGATCTTTTATTTATTTATAGTTTTTGTAACTTCAGTTTTTCATACTCTTGCCGTTCTTCTTTGATATGCAGCCCATCGTAGTGGCATCTAAAAAGATATAACAATATGTTTTTTTTTTAAATAAAATAATGACTTAAACCAAGAGATGCCGATACAATGTCTAATACAAAACCCAGTTTTATACTGGCAAATTTTAATTGAATAACAATTGATCGTTCTACGAAAATAAATCTTAAGGTATTTTGCAGTAAAAAGATAAAACAAAAAATGTCTTATCAAATTGATTTACTACAAATCAAAGAGGATATATACGAGTATTTTCATTAAAAAAATTAATACATCTTCACACTTACGTATCTGACTCTGCTCTTTTTGTTGATGTTTTTCCATCCTTAAAAATTTCGTTTTTTAAAACTTCGTTTTCATAAACTCCTTGTCTTTGAATCTCAGAATTGTACTCGGTTTCTTCGTATGGTTCACTATTGTGTACATGTAATATTATAAAGATAATATTGAAATTGCAATACATGTATTTATATATATTTACATTTGCAAATGTTTTCCTTTATATAACACAACTGAAAGCAATGCGTATCTATAACTGTATAGCGTATGGATAAACGTTCGACGTAATTTCTCTGTGACGTCATAAATGGTCGACGCGCGTTCAGTGGATTACATACATACCGTTGGGTTTGAAAAATAGTGCATTTCACACGTTCAAAGTCACAATCAGGCAAATATAAAGTATGAATAAGTCACAAATGTAAATATAAGTAATAAGGTATCATTTTAAAACATCTATCGGGCTATAAATACGGGTTGGTACGAGATTAAATTCATCATAAAGCCCTTCGTGACCAACCCGTATTTATATTCCGACAGATGTTTAGAAATGATACCTTATGTCTTAAATAATGCATCGTTAAAATGTATTCTGTAAGTGAATGCTGTCGTAGATAATAATACCTTGGCGTATATTTTTGCATCTGAACTCACCTTAAATATATTATGGTAACAAAGAAAGAAGGCATTATAATTCTATAATTTGCAAAAAAGTCTTGTTTTTATTCCCCTTTCATATCCCTCGGTAAAAAATCAGAAAATCCAAAATTTTAATACACATATACAGGATATTTAATAACGTTTTCAAAAATGTGACTTTCCTACTGTAAAAAAATCAGAAGAGTTCAGGAAATCAGTTTTATTTGTGACAAAACTCTTTTTTTTTTTTACCACCAATCACAAAGATAAATCAAATATTAAAACCTATTGCACATGTACAAGGTACTGCTAATCACCAACCAAGAGATGACAAGGCAACTGCAAAAACAGTACGAGTTAAACGAGTTCAGGGATTCAGCAAGGTTTTTGCAGTAAAAGAAAACTTTTTTTTTTTTATCTCCGGTCGTTCCAAGAGAAAAGGCGACTCCTTTCATTACTTTATAAAATCAATTTTTTCAGAAAAAAGTCCAAAAATGGTATACATGTAATCAGAATTCCCTGGAATCTTCTGATGATATCAAAATGAAAGTTTGCATGTTACTATCAAATTCTCTGTAATCACCAAAATATTTTGGCACTCATAGTTCCAGATTTAAATTTTTATATCATAATTTGATACAGGTGTGTGAGTGATTATAAAATATAAAAAATATTTTTTGAATTGTAAACTTGGTTACCATAGAAACGGGATACAAACTTTCTCATAATTTTAATTTTACACACGTAAGTGGTCATGTTATGCATTGCAAAATGTCAAAAATATAGTAAATTTTGATAAGTTTTTACAGACTCGAAACAAAAAAATGCAGCCATCTACAAATTAAGCAATAATAAAACATGAAAGATTGATATTTGGTTATATTTAAACAATTAAAAAAATTGTGGGCAAATGATATGTGTAAAAGAAATTCAAAGGTGAATATCCATTTTTTCTGCATTTTGAAGTATTTTCTGCTTCCAAATTACTTCCCTTGGATTACTCTCTAGCGTTTGGAGGTACAATATGTAGGCACTTGTAGTGGTAAATAAATTGTTTGGTGAGAAAACTTATCAAAGCGGGTCCGGGGTGAGGATTGGCAGTGTGGAAGAAGGAAAAACGGCCAAGATATAATACATAAGAAGACAAGAGGTAATTATGAATATTACAAATGCTAAGTATGTATACTTTTTTTCTACATTTTATTGGCTTGCATGCATGTAACCCGAGATTCCTCTTGTAGGCACTGGAACAAATAAATCCCTCACTGCTCAATGGTTGTGAGTGACAAGTATAGGACAAAATTTGTCTATCTCAAACGGCAAGTGGTGGGTCTCTCCATATTTGTATTAAAAAATTCTGAAGACTAAGAGACATTATACAATCAAGGTAATCTTCTTAACATTAAGTGAAAGTTTCCCTTTTCAGAAAAGAAAAAAAAAAACAGGTGTATAAAAATATTTGAAAATGAAAAATCATGGTATGATGAAATCTTTGTGTATAACAGTAAATACTTATACATTACAGCCTTATTATATAATACACATACTCCTAGTATATATAAAACTAAGAGTAAATAGTTCTGTCAATAGAGAAGTTAAGCATTTTACCGTGTACGTCTACCTCTACATGTAAACCTAGCAGTGATTTTACATCGTGTTCTGTTTAACAATCTGCACGTGTACCGGTATGTGTAAAACATCATTTCAGCACGATACTTTTCAATCCATTTGTATCAAATAAATCTATGACTTGAAATAAAAAAATACATTGGATGTATACAATAAATAATCAAATTCATACCAAACACCAGCTGAAAATAGATATTCTGTAGTTTGAGTTGTAGAAGCTACAAGTTCTCACCAACTTGTACTTGCGAGTCTATACATTGTGTACAACTTGTAGAATTAGGGGTATGCAAAACTGATGACTTGAATCGCATAAAAATATGGGATTTCCATAGGGACACGTACAAGGTCATCTGCTTAACCTCTCTTTTATACAATGCTTGACCTGTACATATTTTTGTAAAGATAATGTGACTTTCCTTTTGATCATGTTGACAGAAAAATAATTAATATATAGATTGATTTTTATTATAAAATTAATTAATTTTTATCTTGAATTTAATACTTTTTAACAGAAATTAAATTATATTCATTTTTTGTTTTCAAAGGATTCACCAAAGAGGATGAAAAGGAAAAGGAACAAGAACATATACACATGTAAATCATGGCTATAACAGAATTCAAATGAAACCTTGAAGTTAATTTTGGAAAGGACAATTTCAGGAATTGGGACAGCTTTTAGATGCATTTCTCTTCAAGGTAACCAGTTTCAAAAATCAAATCTAAACTGTTAGAAAAACATAGTACTTCATGTAGTATATCATGTATATGGTCTGCTCATTTCTCTTTTATTGATCAAAATGATTTTTAAAATCATAATAATATACATGTATGCATGTATCAAAGAAAACATGTTTAACTTGAACAACTGTCATAATGATCATTAGAAAAACACCTCTTGATTTAGGGTTTGCTTTTACAATTATGTATTTAATTAATAATGTATTTAATTCAGTTTGATATTTGTCTTCATTTGAAGATATTGAAAATTGTATTTACTTCTGCAGGTAGAAAAAAGTCATCTTAAATATATGAGTGGAGATGCAACATCATGAAGTTCAAAGTAAAGTGCAAAGCTGAATATCATAAAATCTCCAAACAATGGTGAAGCCTTAAAAGTTGGAGATATGGCATTATTTTTTTTTCCTTAGAAAGTACCATGATGTCTGTTATTTAATAATTTAGTTTCCCAAATGAGGAGCAATGTAGCTGGCTTGTCAGAGTGATTTTCCTGAAGATGAAATTGGAAATGAGAATATTCATGTGTGTCTCCATACTGGAAATCCTGAAGATTCAACCATATTTCTAAGTGACTCAGTGAGGTCATTATTTAAGGAAGCTCTTAACAGCACACTAATGAGATCTACTTGGAGTAGTTTAATACAGTAAGAGTGATCTCCCCTTAGAAGTCAGATAGAGAAAAATGGTTGCTTACCATTTATTTCACAATTTGTAATAGATTAAAACATTTTTACTAGCATTATCTTAGACAAAGAATAAATAATTGATTAATATTCACATTAATTTTCAACATAATTAGTGAACAACAGGGTTTTCTGTTCATGAATAATTCATAACATTTTTCTTGTAGAAATAATGCAGGTACATGTACTTGTTGAAAATGAACTAATATTATATGATATTTTTATATGCCCATCTTAAGACGGGACGTATTATGTTATAGGCTTCGTGTCCGTCCGTCTGTCCGTCTGTCTGTTAGCTTTTTCATTTCCGGCTCATAACTTTAATACTACTAGGCCTAGGATTACCAAACTTTGTCATCTGATGCATCTTGGGTAGAAGGTGTGTCGCGCACAAAAAGTAGGTCGCTCTGACCTTTAATTAAGAAGTTATAGCCAAATATGGAAAAATCCTTTCCGGCCCATAACTAGAAAACCATAAGACCTACAATCATCAAACTTGGCCAGTTTATGCATCTTAGGTAGAAGGTGTGTCGCGACCTATTTCAAGGTCACTGTGACCTTTAATTTAAGTGAATTTTTAAAAAAAAAATGTGTCTTTTTACTATTCATTTACACATCCCAAATAATGTAAGAGTATTGCACTGTTCTTATTAAAAAAGTGTTAAATCAAGAAAATACTTATTTTTTTTAAGCATATACTTGACAGCAATCTAGAACAAATATAATGTATGTTAGAGAAATCCCATGTCTCCCATGAGTGTAATTATCAAACACTGGTCAAGAAGAATTTTGATAACAGAAAATTGCATGTCAAATTAGAGAGAAATTAATGGGTTTTGAGTGTGAGTAGCTAATTGACAGAGCATTGGCGTTATCTATATCCCTTGAGAATTGGGCAAATGGGTAAGCCTGTTTGATTCAAAATAGCTCTTGTTGACTAGCTTAAGTTTTGAAATGAATTTGAAAACTAATTTGATATTGCATAATAGACTAATCTGATATTATGTAATATTATTAATTTAAAAACTAATTTTATGGGGTGGGGTTGAATCAGCATGTCCATATGAATTACATACTAAAACCTGTCGGACATTAAATCTCAACCAAAAAAAAAATCTGAGAGTGTTTTATATGTTTTTAAAAAAAAATTATAGTAGATAGTGCAGACCCATTCATCTCTTGGTAGTGACAAGCATCCAGTTAAAGATTAATTAATGAGTTCAATGTAGGAAGGCTAGCTGTCTCAGTCGCTCTGATTAAGCAGCCCTTTGGGGATTAGACAGAAGAACTGCTGGTCAGTTTATAACATGTCATTTGATGGCCAGCCTTTTTTTTTCAAAATTAATTTGGTATAGCATAATAAACTGTTTTGATATTACATAATATTATGAACTTTAAAAAACTAATTTTATGGGGGTGGGGTGGAATCAGCATGTCCATATGATTTGCATATTAAAACCTGTCTGCCATTAAATCTAACAAAAAAATCATTAAGGTTTTAATTTGATGATGGGCATTTGACAAGGTCTAACACAACCAGCACAGAAATCTATCAGTGATATAATATTTATTATAATTGATGCCTACATCACAGGGGATGGATAAATGACAAATCATCGAAATCTTAGAATCAAGGTTGATGTGATTTTCTTGCACCTAAAACGGTTCAAGAAAATTGTAATTTTTTGACGGGCGTATCATGCTGTGGTGCGGCACTTTATTTTCCTTAATTGAAAGTCTGCAGATCACTTATTGATACACATGTATTGTTTAGAGCTTCTTTAAATTTCATATGATATGGTTTGCTAATTAAAATACATTGTAGTTGATAATTTTGATAAAGGTTGAAAAAAAAAATTCATAAGCTAACAGTACTTGTCTTTAGTGTAATACCTTGTAGCCTTTTGTTCTATCATATGTAGCAGCTAACTATGTAATTTTTTGTGTTTTGGATTTTTTTTCATGTTCATATATTATAAAAACATATAATTTAGAAATTATGAGGCAGCCTTATTAACTGCAGTTATCAGTAATAGAGGACTTATTTTTGTATTGTGCTAGAAATTGGGGGGGGGGTATATTTATGATCATATTCTTGCCTATAGATATGAATAAATAATTTTTTTTATGGTTCAGTTGACAATATCTCATTGATTTTACAAATTTTAAGCTTAAATTCCTTGAATTTTTATTTTAAAAAGAAAAATGTATCTTGTTATATGAAGTGTTCATCAAAGCTGTTTTTTGGCGAAATGCCAATTTTATGATTTTTCATTTTGTTATAGTCAACATTTGTTGTTATTTGCCCATGAATGTTTTTGAATATTTTCATTATTTGTGACAAGTACCTTCAGATGAAATAGGCGATACATTGTGAAAGTTCTGCCAATTTTTTATTTTTCTTCCCAAAATGTTGTAATTTTTCAGTTTTGACCAAATTTCGAAAAGTTGATATTATGCCATTGTTTGACAAAGTATTACAAAATTTTCAAATAATTATTAAACATATTAAAGATATCCATTAAAAGTGTTGATGTTTTAGTTTTATAAGAAAATAGCAACAGAGTTCTAGTCTCAAATATGGGTTCAGCACAGACGGTGTAAAAAGTGTGATTTTAGCAAAATCGCCATACAAAAATTAGCCCTATATGTCAGAAATTTTGTATCCCGGTTACCATGGTAACGGAGGATGTCCAGAAAAAAATTATGCCATACCTATAAGTTTTACCCTAGGAAGATACTATATGCCAAGTTTGAAGAAAATCTGAGACTATGCGTGCCAGACCCTTTCAGAATTACTTCGGTGATTACAGAGAATTGCTCATAAATAGTGACGTGAACTGACTAGAACATTTTCTTTCATTTACTTATAAAGAAAACGCTTTGTGATAACTGTTTATTTTTTTAAGCTTTGTGTCGAGGTGAAAGGAGGGGGAGACAAACGGATGAAAGAAAATACACAAGACTCTATCTAAAACCCTAATTACATTTCGAGAAACGACCAAATTTTTTAGGAAATGAAATATTCCTCGGACGATTTATTTTATGTTGTCTTACCCGATTTTTTAGGCTGACGATGCGACCATCAGCTTAAATGTCTATGGATCATAATATGACTGAGATTTATTTTGAATTACCTGTTTTATTTTTAAAAAGTAACAGGCGTAAAATCCATTTTAAAAAATGATATTTCTTTATCTCTATTTTACTCGAAAAATTAAGGGAGATTGGAACCCATCAACTCTCTGGACTCGCGACTGCATCATTTGGACCCAAGCGTAATAATGAAAATTTCAAAATCTTTATTGCATAATTAAGTTCTATGAACAATGAATGATATAAAAAGAAATTTCTGCTCTTAAAATGTCAGCATCGTTTGAAAAAGATAATGCTTAAAATGGAAGGGCAGATAGCCTGATGAACCATGATACTAAAGTAATCAAATTTTCTTTAAAAGTGCGGATATATTTTAAAAGCTTAAACTGAACAAAACATACTCAGCCTGATCTTTCGACTTGTTCCCACTTTCAGAACCTTAAAATATAAATAAGTAATATTTAAATATATATATATATATATATATATATATATATATATATATATATAAAGCACATTTTACAACATGTATTGGTAACAATCCTCTGTTAAAACTAATGTCCAAATAACTGTATCTCACTTCTATTCTCAATGACCGTGTAGTGTAGGGCAGCGCCGCGAGAATTCCATCGGCATCGAAAGCAAGTTTTTTGACTTGCCTAGATAGCCGAGCGGTCTAGCGCGCTGTTCCTGCACTGCTAGGAGACAGATTCCGAAGGTCGAGAGTTCAACCCCGGGCTGGGGCGGAAGTGGGTATCCATGTAAAAGTGAATTTCTTTGTGCTTTCTATATAATATTTCTTCACTTAGGACAGTTATGTTAATGTTAGTTTAAGACTTGTTGTAAAATGTGCTTTATAAATAATAATTAATTTCTTTACAACATGTATTGGTAACAATCCTCTGTTAAAACTAATGTCCAAATAACTGTATCTCACTTCTATTCTCAATGACCGTGTAGTGTAGGGCAGCGCCGCGAGAATTCCATCGGCATCGAAAGCAAGTTTTTTGACTTGCCTAGATAGCCGAGCGGTCTAGCGCGCTGTTCCTGCACTGCTAGGAGACAGATTCCGAAGGTCGAGAGTTCAACCCCGGGCTGGGGCGGAAGTGGGTATCCATGTAAAAGTGAATTTCTTTGTGCTTTCTATATAATATTTCTTCACTTAGGACAGTTATGTTAATGTTAGTTTAAGAGTTGTTGTAAAATGTGCTTTATAAATAATAATTAATTTCATTACAACATGTATTGGTAACAATCCTCTGTTAAAACTAATGTCCAAATAACTGTATCTCACTTCTATTCTCAATGACCGTGTAGTGTAGGGCAGCGCCGCGAGAATTCCATCGGCATCGAAAGCAAGTTTTTTGACTTGCCTAGATAGCCGAGCGGTCTAGCGCGCTGTTCCTGCACTGCTAGGAGACAGATTCCGAAGGTCGAGAGTTCAACCCCGGGCTGGGGCGGAAGTGGGTATCCATGTAAAAGTGAATTTCTTTGTGCTTTCTATATAATATTTCTTCACTTAGGACAGTTATGTTAATGTTAGTTTAAGAGTTGTTGTAAAATGTGCTTTATAAATAATAATTAATTTCATTACAACATGTATTGGTAACAATCCTCTGTTAAAACTAATGTCCAAATAACTGTATCTCACTTCTATTCTCAATGACCGTGTAGTGTAGGGCAGCGCCGCGAGAATTCCATCGGCATCGAAAGCAAGTTTTTTGACTTGCCTAGATAGCCGAGCGGTCTAGCGCGCTGTTCCTGCACTGCTAGGAGACAGATTCCGAAGGTCGAGAGTTCAACCCCGGGCTGGGGCGGAAGTGGGTATCCATGTAAAAGTGAATTTCTTTGTGCTTTCTATATATATATATATATATATATATATATATATATGGTGGAAATTCATTTTTGAATAAGTAAGCGTAGATTTGATTTACATTAATTATGTTTTTAGGTGTATATACGATACGCAAGACAATTTAAGTGATGTAATTGAACGTTTCTTTCTGCCAAAAAGCGCTACAAAGAATGTACAGCTTAAATGTAACAGTTTACAGTATACGTTGTACACTTTACTACATTTTAGTACTTCCTTTTCTTTTAAATTAATAAACTTTTAAAACACATACAACCACAGAAGACGAGAGTGATCGGATAGATCGGAGTGGAGTTGTTTTAAAATTTCAAAAATTTCAATTTTTCTGACCTAGTGATTTTTTTTTTTTTAGAAACTTTGATTTTTTAAATTACTTTACCAAGTTTTCACTATTCTAAATTATCTTTCCTTGGAAGAAAATATGGCTCTCCAATTGAATAAATCAAAATGTTCTTTACCCGTGAATACTCTGTGTCATATGTGGTTGAAATTGGCCATGTGATTTTGAAAGAAATAATAAAAAGTCAACAACGACAATGTACTTTAAATCAGAAAAGCTAATTTAAGCTTTTGCCTCAGGGAGCTAATAAAAAAAATTCCTGTACATTGCATCATTTTTTGAAAGCAAATGCTTATTTTTTGTTGACTCTTTCTAGGTGTAATACTTACAAGTTTGTAAAAAGCTGCTTGAAGTCTTCTGTACATTGTCTAACACATCGATTTCAGATTTTTTCCTGAAATTTACAAACAAGTCCTCACAGTTTTTTTAGTTAGAAAAAATACTTTAAAACGAACAATGAAGTATTTGGAGAAAGCGAACAGTATTCAAGCTAGCTCAAAAGTCCGTTAAACAATACAAATAGGAGCAGAGCAAACACAGACCTCCATAACATTAGAGAGGGATCAGGTGCATGCCATGGAAGAGAGAGTATCCCCTGCCGACGGGTCTCACCCGCAGTGTGCTCCTTGTCATGATCGGGAAATAACGGAAAATCCGTCGTCAATTCAGTGTTTCATGTTTAGATATTGTACTTGAGAAAGACGTTAATGGTAATCTAACAACCAAGCTTTACGACAAACGAGATGACTTCAACTTTTCAATCGTCAACTTTCCCTACTTATGCAGAAATATACCTTCATCGCCTGCATACGAGGTTAACGTCTTAATTTGATACGCAAGAGCATGAGAACAATTTCTAAAACGAGGTAAGTTATTGACAAACAAGTTGCTGAAACAAGAATATCAGCAGTTTCGTTTAAAGTCATCATTTTTTAATATTATTATTTATACCAACCACTCATGCAGATCTACGGTAAATATTCTTAAAACTGCTCTAATTCCAAGTACATGTACATTGTACTTGTGGGCATATAATGACAGTCACAAGAAAAGAATTAGAATCAGAATCATCCATTAAAACCCACCCAGGAATAGCAGATGAAAACACACAACTAGCGATATCGGAAAAAATCTGAAAAGAACCGGGAAAATGTGCGGAAAAAAATTATATTACAAATATATTTAATTTTAAAATCTTAAATGTTACCTGCTGCCATTTACAAATTCGCAAGAAAATTTTGTGCTTGATGATCATTTCATCACTAAATGATGGCATAAAAATTGAAATGCCTAAAACTTTTTTTTAAATTTTTTTGCTTAAAGTAATTTGTCAGATTGTTGATGTTATAATTGTAACAAATTGTTGTCCAAATCGATAAATGTTGTTTGCTGTCGTAGCCGTGTAGTTTTTATTGTTTATCAATTATTGTAATCAATTATAGCCTTTTGGTATTGGTTAAAACATGTTTTTATGGACCTGGTCAATTTTCTATAGAAGAACTTCTTCGCGTGGTATATTACCGTATGAATTTATGCTATGTACGGGGTCACTTTTACACGGACTTTTGTCCCAGCTAACTTTATACACATGTAATGCAAAGAAATATCCGTTATTTTCTATCTGTAGATAAAACAGAAATAGTGGTTCCGTGGTTTAACCCCGTTTGAAAAAATATGTTTACAGTACTCTCTTCAGGTCCATAAAAGATATACTGACATCATCAAAAGGCTAAAATAGTAGAATAGGTCGCATATTTCCGTAAAACGAAACACTCAAAAACGTAAATATATTTATTAGTAACACGTACCTTTCAATCCTGAACTCCAGTCCTAAAAATGAAATGTATTTAACAACTAATTCATGATTTTAAATGAATTATGGAAAATACTTTTTATTTTGGTAAGTTTTTTAATAGAGATTTTTTTTTTGGCAAAACGATGAAAATATATTAATTTCTTTTGTCTCTATTTCTATTTTAAAATATATGCAAAATTAAAAACTAACCAAATATTGTTGATTTTCCTCTTCTAAACGTTGTTATTATAAAAGCAACAACCACGACCAGAACAATACACAACAAGAAGGATAAGACAACTATAGATGCAGTGTTGTCTTCCGCCTTAAGAGCTTGGCTGGGTATTTCTATATCTCAGACAGGATAATAAAAAATTACATTAGTTTCATATGTGCAATACAAGGTTTTGTACATGCATCTTAGAGAAATTAATAATTGTTGAATTTTTTTTTTCAATATTGACGTCCAATTCTAAAATATATGGCCGTCAACATGGCACAGTGGTTAAAACGTCAGCTCTTAAAAGTCTCGAAGCATGAAGCTGGTCCATAAGTCGCAGGTTTGAATCCATTCCATGTGAGACATTGAAACCGGTCTTTCGAATTGGACCGTTTAAAACCAGGTCGCAGTAGGAGTTAATGGCACGAAAATGATCCCTCACTGCTCAATGGCCCCAAGTGTCGAGTATAAGTGTACATGTAAATTTGCAGCCCTCCACCGGCAAGTGGTGGGGTCTCCTTAAAGGTGAAATATTCTCGAGAGGGACATTAAACAAACAAACAAAAAATCCAATGTATAAGTAATGAATAAAAACCATGCTTAAAAAATATGGTAAAAATATTTCAAAATGAGAGCAGAGCAAACACTGACCCCTGGTAACTTCAAATGTTGGATCGTGTACCATGGAAGAGTTAGCATCCCCTGTTTAAATATTATAAGAAAAGATTAAAAAGCAGAGCTGTGAAAAATAATTATTGCTATTTTTGAGGTCAACACGATGACTAAGCCATCTGAGGAGTGCAATATTCACCAAGCCCAAAGAGAAAGGTGAAGATAGTTAAATCATCGTATTGATAGAAAAAAGCAGCAATAATTGTTTTATTATATGATTCAATGATTAAATGACACATTCTACATTCAGAAAGAAAGTAGTTGTTGTTTACTTTTACTGAAGTCCTTGCCAAATGCAATGAGAGAATCAGGGTAGATTAAACATTGCCAGTCGTGTTAAATTTGAATTTTTAAAATCAACTATAGTTGCTCAGAAAAAAGCAATAATGTCAGGATCTTTTATTGGATAGATTTTGAAAGGGGGCATTACATGTATCAGAGAGAATTCCCTTCTTGGGGTTGGGGATTAAGGTCCATTATTTGGGAACTAGCATTTCAATGAATATTTTAATCTAAATTAAAACCCAAATTCACATTCAGAAAATGTTTGGTGAGGGTCTTCTGCACTACCCACAACCCATCCCAAATTTTAAAGTTTTTTAAAGATGCCCACATATTTTCACGAATTCTTAATTATCTCCTCTTTAAAGAGGGAACGGTACTTACTGTGAACAAACTTCACCCAAGGATGTTTGTGGCAAGTTTGGTTGAAATTGGCTAAAGTGTTTCTTGAGAAGAAGTAGAAAATGTGAAAAGTTACAGACGATGGGCGACGGACGGACGCCGGACATTCTTTGAACAGAACAGCTACGGTGAGCTAATATCAATGTGTTACATTACAATGGTAAGTATGTAACAAGGTGGTTAATAATCACCTTCTGTTGTAATACTCGTATTTATAAGAATTGTTGACGATATACTTCCTCTTCCACATTCACGTGCGTATATGCTGTACCCGGATTCACACATTATTTCCAGAAAGGAATCACTCTGCATGATATGGTAAATTATTTCCGATCTTTGAATATGCCTGCAACTATCACTGCTGTTCCAAACTAATGTGGTATTAGGATAGTGTTGCAATGAGATTTCTTTAAATTTGTCTTCTATTTTCATGCACCATCTGATATTCTTCATTGAAAAAGAAAAGTTTCCTTCAAAATTCGCTATGACAACAAAATAAATTAGAAGTACTGTGAGCACTGAGTTCATTGAATGATACCCTCTGGCTCACATTATAATGGAAGAGTCCAAGTTTTGCTCTTGCATTTGGAAACCCGAAATAAGCGTCAGATCAAAAAGTATAATTGAAGATGTACAATGGCATTATTCAATAAAGAATCTTGGAAAGTAGTAAATTCAGTGGTATAGGAGGAGTTGCGGATAAGAGATGGACAAGATAACATACCTGGCTAGGTATACCATTTATGCTTTCAATTTCCCCAGTACATTTTAAATGAACCACAAACCAAGGTCTGGGAAAATCTTCATCACTTGCTCGTATTGCATTGCTTCTTCTGGTGATGACTGGGGTTTGAATATGTGTTGGTTTAACTATAACATTGAATATTTTGTTATTATCATTCAGGTGTCATTTTGCATTGTTTTGCTCCAAAGAATTGAAAGACTATAATTTCAAGACAAAAGATATTGCATAGCATCCGAGTTTTTTAATTATGAAGTTTAAGAAGTTACATGTACTATGGAACACATAAAGTTTGTTATGTTAAAATAAATAGGGAAAGACTCAGTTTTAAATAAAAATTTACTCTCCGATTGTGCACGTTTTTTCTCGATCTGATACGCAGATAGCAACTACATGTAACTATGGCACGCCAAATTCACAAAAATGAGCAAAACAAAGTTTCACAGTCGATAAACTAAGTTTATCGATTGTAAACTATAGTTTACGGACTGTAAACTATAGTTAACAACGGTAAACTATATTTTACATCTGTAAACCATAGTTAACGCGATAAACTAATTTTCACAACCGTAATCTATAATAAACACTGAAAACAATCATTTGCGATTGCAAAACATAGATTATCTGATAAATACAGTTTCACGATTTGTAAACTATGGTTTACAACTCTTAACTACAGTTAACGATCGTAAATTATAGTTTACAGACGTGAATCTATATGTTTATTAACAAAATCTATTGTTAACGTTTTATTACAGACAGATAAACTTAGATTAGCATTTGTAAACTATATTTAACAACCGTTAAATATAGTTTTACAGATGAAAACTATAGTTAACGAATCGTTAACTATAGTTCACGATGTGTAAACTATAGTTTACAGTCGATAAACCTAGTTTATCAATTGTGAAACTATGTTTAGCACGCCAAATTCACAAAAATGAGCTAATTATAGTTTCACAGGCGATAAAGTAGGTTTATCGGTTGTAAACTATAGTTTAAGGACTGTGAACTATACTTAACAACGTTAATCTATATTTTACGATAATCGTAAACTATACTTAACACCGAAACAATCATTTGCGATTGCAAAACATAGATTATCTGATAAATACAGTTTCACGATTTGTAAACTATAGTTTACAAACCGTTAACTATAGTTAACGATCTGATAAATATAGTTTCACAATTTGTGAAACTATGATTAACAACTAGTAACTATAGTTTACGATTGTAAACTATAGTTTACAAACGTGAATCTATGTTTATCAACAAAATCTGTTGTTAACGCTTTATTACAGACAGATAAACTTAAATTAACATTCGTAAGCTATAGTTAACAACCGTTAAATATAGTTTTACAGATGAAAACTATACTTAACGAATCGTTAACTATAGTTTACGGTTTGTAAACTATAGTTTACAGTCGATAAACCTAGTTTATCAATTGTGAAACTATGATTATCTCATATTTGTGAATTTGGCGTGCCATAACAGACAGATAAACTTAGATTATCATTCCTAAACTATAGTTAACAACCGTTAGATATAGTTTTACAGATGAAAACTATAGTTGACGAATGTTAACTATAGTTCAACGTTTGTTAACTATAGTTTACAGTCGATAAACCTAGTTTATCAATTGTGAAACTAGGTTTAGCTCATTTTTGTGAATTTGGCGTGCCATATGTAACATATGCACTTAACCATTATCCAAGAATAGATTAAATTTTATCCGATTCAGATTAACATCTGAATGATCTCACCCTTCGTTGAAACAAAGTTATTTTCTTCGCTTGTAAAAACATCACTACCATTGGAAACTTTACATCTAAAAACAGAGTAGAGGCCTGGATCAATTGTACATTTGCTCAAAGTAAATGACGCAGTAATCGTTATTCTACATCTAAATTCTCCTCCCTCACAGCTCCTTGGACGAATTGTGTACTTTCCTAACTTTTCATCCTTGTCAAGGATATAAGATCCCGTGGTGTTAGCTTTTGCAAGTGTTCTCCAGTTTCTACTATTGGATTGTCGGATTTCCATAAACATTTCGGGAATCATTTTATTTCTGTTTACATACGTGTAGTAATGGCAATAAAAGGTAACACTGTTTTCACCAATATATGTCGACAGGCCGGAACTATAGCTCCAATTGCCTGCAAATAAATATTTTTTTTAAAAGAAAGGATTACGTTGGGTGTGTATAAGAATGATTATAATCTTGCTGAAAAACAGATTTTGGCCATACCTTGACAAATTGGACACAACAACAGTATTAATATTAAAACGCCCATGTTATAATACCAGGAAGTTTAAGTTGTTGATAAAAATATCTCAAGTCCTGATTCAAAGCCAGATAGCTATTTCTCTGTTGACAAATAGCTTCCAGGCATTTTCAAATTTGCATATCGGGACTTGAGATATTTCTATCAACAATTTACCGGTATTAAGGGATATTGCATCCCGTATCAGCCACGTAGCATCGTTTTTGAAAGTGGGGGAGGGGGCAGCAAGAAAACTTTTTTTTACTTACCTGAAAAAGTTGACAAGCAAAAAAAAAGTTGCCCAAATTCGAAAATCCTATTTCGTGTTGGTGGTGGTGGTTGGGGGAGGGGGGTGGGGAGAAGTCAACTTCTTTCAATGCCAACTTCTTTCAGTAGCAATTTTTTGGACTACATTTTCCTTGTATCACAAATAGTTGAGGGGGGGGGGCATCCAGCCTTTTAATGAACATTTCATATAATATAAGTATATATCCCCCCTGTTGCGTGCCTGCATATTGCACTTATAATTTTATTCATTCATTTTGTTCATTTTTAATATAAAATCCGTGACATTTTTTTACCAAGGTAAAATTTTCAAAGAAAACAAAGTAAATTTAAGTAAAATCAAGAGTATGATTTTATATAATACGATAGAAAATTCTATTGCAGATAGTAATAGAAATATTTTGAAAATTTGGTATACGGAGTATATACATGTAACCATATGAAATTATATGTGTATTGCAGTGGTAGAATGCTTCGTTTCAATGATACGTTTTAGTCTTTCTTATTGATTGCGTTTGTCTAATTGTCACAATAAAACACAATTTTTTTCTGTTTAACAGAACGTCTTTGTAGTTATCTTTTTTAAACATATCTCCATAAAGAAAAAGAAATCAACAGCCAAATATTTCACTACAATAGGTATTCAATGAAATCGATACATTATGTTCAATCAGATTGACAACTGACATGTGCAGGTTATACACTCCTAATGTTTCTGTGATTTAAAATGAAGACACGTGGACGTGCTGTAGGTTGGCACATTCAGAGTTTTAATTTAGAGCTGGTTTTTCGTAAATATATATAAAATTTGTATAGTTCTTTTTTTACTTTGATAAATGTGTCCTATAAAAAATGTTTTCCTAGACGTTTTAATTTTAGATTAATTTTTCAATATTTTAATAAAAAAGGGGTGGGTAGGGATTTAAAAAATAACAATGTATTGTACCTTTGCTTTTTTGGTAATTTACGGCGAAACTGGAGTACAGTAAATGTAGCGACAGTTTTTCAAGAATCGCCCGGTACTTTGATGGATAAAAAAAGAAATTTATTTAATATCTTCCATACTGACAAACCTCTGATTACCTTCTATGGCTGAACATTGTTATGAAAGGTACATGGACACATTTTCAACTGACATTTTTTAAAACCAATTCTAATGTTTACAATTCCTTACTAAGGCAATTCTAATGATTGGCAAAAACATAAACATCGTACGTTGATTTACAAAGGCGATAAAGAACTTAAAATTCTTCATAATTTAAACAAGGTTCGTGCCTTGTTTTTGTTTACGCATAGAAAATATAATATTTGTAACAAAACGAGATTCAGCAAATCACTAGAAACTATCTTATCGTATTAAGAATTAACCTCTTTATTGAAAAAAAAAATCTGCTTTGAACGAACATATCTTATTATATTATATCAAACCTTGTAAACAAAAACAGCACGGACCCTGTTTACAACAAAAATGGCGCACACATTACTTTTCCAAATGCACAAACTGGATATTGCCATGACACGAACAATTGACCAATTATTGAATGGAAAGCAACGTTTGTACCAACTACATGTTTATATTTTACTTCGAACACGTGGTTCAGATCAATCTATGTTCGATATTGTATGGACTGCAAAAACAGTTCTTGTGAAAACATCAAGAAATCCACCAGACCACTCTATACACCGATAAGTATAACAAAGGAAAACAGGCACTAATTGCCCTGCATAATGACTTTAAGAAACCTAGAATCCCACTTTCTTTCAAAAATGATTTTTGTAATTATAAGCATGGAAATAATCGAATAAAAACATATATAGATACTGTAAACCAACTTTATTCGCGTGCTAGAAATTTTCGCCAAGTTCGCGAGAGCCTCATCATCGCGAATATTTCTCGCCGCGAACCAGGCCTTAAAGTCTCTGTGTCTATTAAAAACATATTTTAAACAAGAGGCCCAGGGGCCACATCGCTCACCTGAGCAATTGGCTAAGAAAAAGCACATTTCAGATTAGAACTGAAAGTTTGGGGGGGGGGGGAGGGGCTTGAATTTTAACCCCCCAGGGGGTCATGATTTGAACAAACTAGTATCTACACTACTTGAGGATGATTCCCTATAAATATCACTAAGCATGGCTTTGAAGTACTTGAGAGGAAGATTTTAAAAGGTTTCCCTATATATTCCTACGTAAAACTTTTATCGGCCATTTGGCCCCACCCTACCCCTGGGGGTCATGATTTCAACAAACTTAAATCTACACTACCTGGGGATGATTCCACAGGACTTTATCTTTCCTGGCCCAGTGGTTCTTGAGAAGATTTTTTTCTATATATTCCTATGTAAAAAATTGACCGGCTAATTTGGCCCCACCCTACCCCCGGGGGTCATGATTTGAACAAACTTGAATCTACACTACCTGAGGATGATTCCACATGAGTTTCATCTTTCCTGGTCCAGTGGTTCTTGAGAAGAAGATTTTTCCTATATATTCCTATGTAAAACTTTGATCGGCCATTTTGGCCCCACCCTACCCCCGGGGGTCAGGATTTGAACAAACTTGAATCTACACTACCTGAGGATGATTCCACATGAGTTTCATCTTTCCTGGCCCAGTGCTTCTTGAGAAGAAGATTTTTAAAGATTTTTCCTATATATTCCTATGTAAAACTTTGATCGGCCATTTTGGCCCCACCCTACCCCGGGGGTCATGATTTGAACAAACTTGAATCTACACTACCTGAGGATGATTCCACATGAGTTTCATCTTTCCTGGCCCAGTGCTTCTTGAGAAGAAGATTTTTAAAGATTTTTCCTATATATTCCTATGTAAAACTTTGATCGGCCATTTTGGCCCCACCCTACCCCCGGGGGTCATGATTTGAACAAACTTGAATCTACACTACCTGAGGATGATTCCACATGAGTTTCATCTTTCCTGGCCCAGTGGTTCTTGAGAAGAAGATTTTTTAAAAATGCCATTAATTTTTCTCTAATTCATAATTATCTCCCCTTGAAAAAGGACGTGGCCCTTTATTTGAACAAACTTGATTCCCCTTTACCCAAGGATACTTTGTAGCAAGTTTGGTTGAAATTGGCCCAGCGGTTCTTGAGAAGAAGTCAAAAATGTGAAAAGTTTACAACGACGACAACAACAACGACAAAGACAGACGACGGACAAATTTTTATCAGAATAGCTCACTTGAGCCTTTGGCTCAGGTGAGTTAAAAAGGCTTCATCGTGAAAATTAATCGTCGCGAACTAGTTTTACTCCAGTAAATCGCAAAATAAAGTCGTCGCAAATAAAAGTTGGTTTACAGTTGGTTTACAGTATTGCTTTGCATCTATAAAATGCATAAAATATGTTTTTGTGCCTTTCCGATCGTCTATCGGATGTAGTATCCTTAGCAACCAACAATGTAAGTCTCATTGTCAATCGATCAGATGATTTGTCAGTTAAATCCATGTTGGTACCTCATATGCCTATCCGACGCCCAGTTCCATTGCAAGCATATTTGTCCAAAAAGAAATGTCTACACTTAATGTCATCATAAGGATACTCAATAAAATTTAAATTTCAAAATTCACATTCACATTAGAAAGGGTTGATATAATCCTAATATAATGTAGCCATGTGTGTGTTGGCAACGAAGTTAACAGATTGGATACCCTTGAAGGCCAGTTGGCGGGAGTCCGTCGTGAAATGGGGCGTGTCTGTATGGACGTCATTGTGAGCCAACCCAAGTATATTGAGGATTATTAGACTAATAACAATATCAATATATTGTAAATATTGTTTATATCGATTTTATTTGAAGATCACAAATTGTACATATAAAAATAATTTGCTGTGTCTGACTGAACAGGGCGCGACAGTAGTTGTGACAATAATGTCAATTCAACAGTGAACCCGAAATGGAAGACACTGTCAGCAGACTCTGATCTGTTTCACATTTGGATGTTTTACATACTATAGTCGTCAAGAAATTTATCATATTTGACAAATAGGATTACCGTCCACCTTCATTTTTCGTCAACTTTTACCTATTAATGAAGAAATATTCAATTATCACTTGCACTTGGTGTTTAAAGCCCCGTCCACATGCCGAAAAGAACACTAGGAGCAAATTTGTTTCTAACCAATTGTATGGTCATTGTTTAACCAGACTGACTGCAGATTACTTCGATCAGTACTTAGGCTTCACGGCGGGTGAAACAACTTGAAACCGCTTTTTTAATGTCAACTGAATTTTACCTTTACAATGATAATTTCGGCCATTGTTGTCAAGCACATGAGGATTGTGTTGTCATTTAAAATGCAACATTTAATGATGTTGGCACCATGGGAAAGACTACATGTATTGAGAAGAAACAAACGACACTATCTTTAAGTAATTCTCAACTTTTACTCCATCTATACAGACTTCATACACTGAACTGTTTTCAATAACCCTAAAAAAAAATAAAGTTCACTGTTTGAATGCCATTACATAAAGATAATGCAGCAGTTTTGTAAATCCACAAATCTTATTACTTGAATAAAAAATTATGAATTGTAAAATATAAATAAGAAACATATTACAACTTTTGCTTGATCAAAACAAGGACCAAGCCCATCTTAAAGTTTACATGAGTACTTAGTAAATTAATGAGCTGAATTGGTTAAGCTATGAGTCTCAATTGTTTGTACTTTTTTGTATTGAAATGGTGGATTATGTTTTACAAATAGTAAATCTAAAGGTGTAATGTATATGTTACTGTCATTTCTTGTACATAAATAAATTTGAGACATATTAAAACGTCACCAACTACTGCATGATCAGTCTTAAAAAAACTATGCAAATTCAGTTGCGTAACGAGGCACAAGGTGCCCAAAACTCGGTGAGATATAAACAATGGTTGAGATCCAAATCGTATGCTACTAAGTATCAAACTTAATTTTTATGCACCTATCTAATAATAGAAAAAAGTACCAAAAAATTCAATTCCTGAAATTGAAAATAATTCAGTTTTGAGTACATTTTCTTTTAAAACAGTTGTGTAAAATAAAAAGTAATACAAAATCAGTTGTAAATAACCTCATTTATCAATATTTCATCAACTTTAAGATGAAAGGCAGTGTTAAAGGCTTGGCTTAATTTGCTTCATCAACTTGAACTATATCCTCCACACATTTGTCGTAAATGATAATTTGAATCTTGGTGTCCGTATATCACCGCACCTTTTAGAATTGCCAAACTTGGTTCATCAGGAATAAGCACATGATAGAGAGGAGATTGAAATTCCGTTCGAATTTTATTTTGTAAGTATGGAGACTCGGAAAAGCCACCAACCATAATAATAATTTGTGTACCTTTTACATTTGGCTTTGCCAATAGTTTCTTTACCATGCTAACAATTCCTTCAAATGAGGTTTTAAAAAGCTCAGCAACCAAAGTTTTATCTATTGTTAATTTGTCTCCGTTCCAGATTAAAAGCTTATTGTATTGTGAAATTTTCACAGCCTCGCCGATGGATGTACCGAATTTATTTTCATACTCGTCGCTGAAGGTCATGCGAGGTCGCAAAGAAAATATTTTTGAAAATGAAACTTCCACTCTTCTCTTTTTATATTCAAATTGCTGTAGAAAATCTAAATAGTCTGCAGTGTGTTTCTTTGAAAAGTATATGAGAAAATCTTTTCCGAGTATTTCTTCCAATACAGCCATGAATGACTGGTCGACTCGAGTACCACCAAACGGGCCTCCAAGCTTTCCGAGTTTTTTCAGATTAAAATCAAATTTGATTTCATGAACAGTTATGTCGACTGTGCCACCTGTCAAAAGAATTTCAAAAGAAAGTCATTAATGCACAATAGCACCCACACTTTCCTGTATTACTCCTGAAAAAAAAAACATTACTGATTGTGAATGTCTATACTATACGTATACATGTATACTTGTATTCAATACCAATAGAAGTTCGTTCAAGTCTACATAAAAGCATAATTCTAGTTATTACAATAAGTTATGATAATAAGTCTGCCAAATCAAATTTAGACTTATCATACAATCACACATTAAGCCATGGTGGCATGAAACTGGACTAATGATCTTGGAGAAGCAGTCAGAATGCAAAATGTTAACCTATGATCAACAGCCTTCTGTCTTCGGTCGAGTAGATTCTCTACAACGAGATTCACATGTTAACATCACTTTCCCATTTATTATATAATCACTACTTTTGACCTTGTCTTTTGGACTCATAAACTCATAGAGATTGTTTGATTGATTGCATTTTGTTTAACGTCCCTCTCGAGATTTTTTCACTCTTATACGAGGGTCATTCAATAAATACGTAGACAATGTCCTCCATCATCATATTATTCTTACAAAATTTTAGATCATGTAAAACATTTATTTTATCAGTGTGTAAAGTTTCATTCCATTTGATTAAATGGAACTCGTGTTAGACAATTTTAAAAGTAACATGTTTTGTCACCACGGAGCAAGGTTAACAACACTGTGACGTCAAAAACAACGTCGAGAAATTTTCTTAAAATTACTCTGCCTTTTCATTTCATTCACTGTTTATTGCTGCTTCTGAATTCATGAATCTATATAGCCCTTTACACCTAGTTCGCTAACAATTGTTTGAGTACCTTAAGTTAAATTGTCAATGTTTTCAAAGCTTTATAGCGTAACTCATGTTTGCACAACTTCCGCAAAAGTGAATCGCACATCACGTTTGATGACGTTACTAACTCTTTGACAAGATATTTTTATACTTTAATTTGTTTTTTCGCAGACCGTTCATGGTCCGATTCCAATTCTCTTACACTCAAAAAAAGTCATTCCCATTATAAACAAATGCATAGCACATTTTGCATCATTTCCTGGTTCATCAAGCATTCTCAGTGTTTGTTTTAAAGGTTTCCCGAATGCAAAACAAAATTTTATCGATATTCGCTGCTCCGTGACGTCCTTCGACGTCATCGTTTTTTGCTTTTTTTCATGAAGTCTTTCTTTTAAACGAAGCGATGAATTACATTAAATTTTAGCATCTAAAGTAATTGAACAATTCTAAATTCTAAATTTAAACATTTCAAATTTATTTCGTTAAAGAGCCATTTATTAGAGGTATGACTCCAGACATTATCAAGTGTATAATTAGAAAATAGGTCAATTTTGACCCTGCTCCGTGACCCCATTTTTTCTGTCTTAAATCTTTGATAATTTTGATAATTTTCAAGATATTTTCCAATTTTTTGTCTCAAGTTATTTAGATTTATTGTTAAAATATGTGTACTAAATTATGTATAATATGACGTTAAATAAAAAAGTTATGACAAAAGTTTACGAACTTTTTGAATGACCCTCGTAGAGATGCCTGGAGATTGTTTGATACTTAGTAAAAAAAGTACTTAGTAAGTATATCAGATGAAAAATTGAACAATTAAATAAGTCGAATCTAAACTACATGGATATGATTGATTAGCATTTTGACAATGTGGTCTCATCCTTACTAAATAAACCTTTTTTTTAATAAATCTACATCTGCACTACTTTTGATCTTCGAATAATAATTTAACTGATTTAGACCTTGCTGATTTGAGTAGAAAATATTTCTTATATGTAGTCTGAAAGCTTTGGTTCCCTATTGCAGCAACAAAAAGTCTTGGAACCATTTTTGAACAAGAGGTCCAGGGGCCCCATCGCTCTCCTGAGCACATCGGCTAAGAAAAGCACAAATCAGATCAGAATTGAAAAGTTTACTGAGGGAGGGGGAGGGGGCTTGAATTCTAATACAAGTACTACTTGAGAATGCCTCCATATCAATACTGCATATAACTTTGCTGTTCTTGAGCAAGAGATTTTTTAAACATTTTGTTTGTAAAAAGTTCTTTGTTATAATTTGAATTTGACTCCTCATTGTCAATACCCCAAAGGGTACTCATGATTTCAACAAATTTAAATCTTCAATACATCAGAATGCTTACATGTCTATACGACTAAACATAGTTTTCCTGTTATTGTGATTTTTCCCTTTATTTTCTTATTTAAAGCTTTGATCCATCATTGAGATCCCACCCTACCTTTGGGGTTATGATTTGAACAAATTTAATTCTACACAGCCTGAGGATGCTTCCATTTAAATATCACTAATCATGGCTTTGTTATTCTTTAGAAGAAGATTTTTTAAAAATATATTTTAATGTAAAACTTGGATCCCCATTGTGGCCCCACTCTATCCCTTGGGGTCATGATTTGAACAAACTTGAATCTACACTTCCTGAGGATGTTTCCCTATAAATATCACTAATCATGGCTTTGCAGTACTTGAGAAGAAGATTTTAAAAGATTTTTCCTATATGTTCCAATATAAAATTTTGATAGGCCATTGTGACCCCACCCTTGCCCCGGGGATCATGATTTTAACAAATTTTAATCTACACTACCTGATGTCATACGAGGAGGATGTCATACGAGTTTCATCTTTCCTGGCCCAGTGGTTTTAGAGAAGTAGATTTTTTAAAAATACCATTAATATTTCACTAATTCGTAATTATCTCCCCTTGGAAGAGGGCGTGGCCCTTCATTTAAACAAACTTGAATTCCCTTTACCCAAGGATACTTTGTAACACGTTTGGTTGAAATTGGTCCAGCGGTTCTTGAGAAGAAGATGAAAATGTGAAAAGTTTACAACAACAACGCCGCCAATAGCGACAGACAACTCAGGTAAGCTAAAAAGCATTATGTTTGCATGTTAAAACTCTGACGAATTATGGGACTTCATTTTCTAGAAAGGGTTGTAAAAATTTGTCCATCTGAAATTTCATTCTTATTAAATGTAAATATTAAAGTGTCCAAAAATCTAATTTGAGGAATGTTCAATTATATAGGATGTTTTCTTAAGAACTGAACCTCCATTTTGGAAATATTAAAAAAAATTACATAGATTTTTCTATAATTTGGAGAGGTTTTGGGACTAGGCCAGGCTAGAATAATAAATTAAGGCAATTTCTATTTGTAATCAACAAGGCCAACATTGATCAGGCGACTCTTATTAGTTATTTACAATTAACAATTGAAAATTAGTGAAATACACCAGTAATATTCCGCTTTTCCCTAGTTTGTTAACGATCCTTCTGCAAGTTCACTTAAGGAAACCCTGTTAAGTCTTCTACTCGACTTTTACCTCCTCTAGATAGTAGAGGTCAGAGTTTTAGCAATCTATGCCTTTTTTAATAATTTCTTAATATTTATTTTTAGTAGGAAGCATAGCCCTTCAATTGAGCAATTTGAAATCCCCTTTGTCTAATGAATTCAAGCTTGCCTAAATGTCTTGATTTTTTGAATATTAAGGACCCTCTCTACACAAGTGCAACATTTTTTTGGACATTGAGAAAAATATAGTCTATAAAGGAGTTAATACTGAGCTTCTTTATTTAATTTTCACTTTATGTGTGACATTTACCCCCGGGAAAAGTGTTCAAAGACAACACAGTATCGCTAAATAGAAATCACTGTTAATTATTTCTAATACATGTAAATAACATGTTAAGTTAATTTATCTTGGCCTTTTAAAATGTTAAGAATACTAAGATTAATTACAAATTGAGTAATTTATTGTAAATTTCATTTTTTTAGAATTTAGATCTAAGGGCAGATCACTCTAACTGCAGAACTCTGTAGTGTGCAGTGTAGAGAGGGTTCTTAAACAAAAGGTTTCGAAAAATCAAAATACAAAAGGCACACCGTTCACATATTATCAATTTAACTAGGTATGTTAAAATTTCAAATGTACCTCCTGCATCTAGAACCATGTACTTGGTTCCTGGTTTTAAGTAAGACACATTAGACGATCCCTGCATTCTATCCAATGGTAAGTATTTGCAAAAATATGCAACTGCAGTCGCCTCATCAGTGAGTATCAAATTCTGTCTTGAAATTCCGGCCTAAATTTTGCATATTGCAATTGGAAAAAAAAAACATTTTAAGATACATTTACTAAGAACAAATTTAAGGTTCACTTTACAAATGCATCCATTTTAAACTAGGGAAAACTAGACAGATTTCAATTGACAACCACTCAATATTTTGCACTTATAATGTCATCAAGTTTGTATTTGTCCTGGCAAGTATGATGTTTTCTATGTAAATAATGTACAAAATAAAAATATATTTGAATTCTACAAATCATACATGCTGTGCTTAAACTTAGCTAGTTACTAGGGAAATTACTTTGGTCAGGTTTCCATAGCAACCATGAACCAATACATTTTTACTTTACAAAGATTGATCATAGTTCAAGAGAAATATATGAGTGGAAAATCATTACATTTTGAGGACGTCCGTGTATATCACATTGTAAGACTTATTATATGTACCCATACTTAAATTATTGTTTAACGTATCATATTACTTTTACAAAACAGACATCTTAAAAACTTTCTTTGTAGCATTAAAACAAACCATTTTTGCTGCTTCACACATGAATTCATTCTGTGTCTTTCCCCACATAGTTGGTACAGTTAACACCCAGTGGATATTGTGTATACACATTTGTAGGTCCTTGTGCTGGTTGGTGTGCTGCCTAAAGTCAAGAATCAAAGCTGACTTCAGATGCTTGATAGCTTTTGCAACAATCTTTAAAGCTTCCAGCTTCTTCCCAGTCTTATCTAGCAAAACTGTACTGGGAGATCCAAGTTCCTAGAATTAATATAAGTTGCTAAAATGAAGATTTATGTTTCAAAAGAACATGTATTTGGGAATATTATAATCTAAACAGTGTAGTACCAATTTTGATGCATTTCAGGAAATTATGTCTCTTCAGTGATAGTTAAATGATGAAAATCCTAAATGATTTATATAAAAACAAGTATTTAATGACTAAACGTCAGGGATACTCAAGCTGTAGAAAGTAAACTAAGAAGTGTCATAAATATCCTAAAATGACATTTATAACGTGTAGGCTATGAAAATTTATTATCCTCTGTAGAATAAAATTCATGTACCGGGAAAAAAAATGCATGTGTTTTTATTTGCTAAACGACATCGCAACGCTTGATAAACAAATCAAAATAATTTTTGTTTTTCAAAGTGTAAGTGGGTGTATGTTGGGGAGTTGGTGGAGGATCCCGAGTTCTTAGGACTTGTGCTCCATGTGTACCATTTATCTTTCCAATGATAGAATCTTCCATACAAATCTTAACAATTACGGGTTGTCGGAATAAGGCCGAATTTATTAAGTAACAAAACTATATGATCTTGAACTTTGACTTTTAACCTCAAAATCAATATAGGTGTCTTCTTTAGAATATAAAGAGTTGTTACATAATTTTTTTTAAAAATTGCAAACGCTCAAATAGCTTCTTGAGATCACGCGCGGAAACGAAAGTGTTACAGACAGATAGAAAAACGGACGGACGGATAGATAGACAGACTGAAATCAATATCCCCCACTTTCAGTGAAACAGGGGGACAAAATGATAACTTGGGCGTTTACATAAAGTGATCTAAAAGATTATTTATGAACTGGCAATTACAGTAACAATTTATTTCAAGAAAATTTTGTTTTCACAAACCTTTTCCTTTTCCTTTAACATCATTTTAAACCTTTCGAAAAGATAGTAATCATGATGGGTATCGTTTTCTGCTAAATCCATGTATTGTTCCTCTGCTTCGTATCCAAAAGCCTTCACCTCTAGGTCTGAATCTAAAAGTAAAGTTGTTGGTGTCTTAGGTGATGGCTTACTCGCTCTATTGACATTCCATTGTTTGATCTGAATGAGATTTGGATTATCCTTGAAATCACGGTACAAGGAATATGAGTAACCGGAATAAGAAGTTCCAAAATCGATTGCTGCTACCATGCGTTTCTCTTCGTGGAAATCGCCTTGTGGTTTATATAAGTCTAAAATAAATCAAATACCAGGTATTATGAATGTAATAATGGCGAAATCATTTAAACTTCTAAGAAACAGTATATTATCTTTTTGAAAAAAATGTAACTTAATTATAAGCTAAAAAAAAGGTAGGAACAAAAACTATGGCCTAATAAAATTAAATCCAGTATAAAGCTCACCTTTTGCACTACATATTCGCACAAGTGGAAAAGGTGTTCCAGTCGAAGAAAAACCTGATATCAATGTGAAAACACTCAGTAAATGTAAACACATAATCATACTAGTAAGTTGTATAAAATTATTTTTTATTAATTTGTTCATTAACTCACTGGTATTTCCGTTTTTCCTTGGACTCACAATCATCAATATTTCATTGTCCAATGATATGTCCATAGGGGCTATGTTTAAATCATATGAAAAAGCTTGTTAAGAAATCGAGTTTATAACTTAATTTAATCTGAAAGGCAAAAATAGTTTTATTTCTCATATAGACACTTTTACATAAACACATTCATTTTTTTATCAACGATTTTCAAATGAATTTCAGTGTGAGATGTCTTTTCTTAGCTTCTCAGAATTGAATAAAATCGCAAATTACCTTGTCTTATACTGGATTCAAATGTACCTATATTTCTTAACTGGAAAATACCGGAAATATCTGTAATCATGTAAAGAAAACTCATTTACTTTCATGATTAAGCATTCTTTAAATGTACGTACACGTGTATTTCATTCCTATCCTTTTACAAGCATGATAAATAAAATTAATACTGATCAATATATTCAATACATTGTATAAATAAATGCATTAAAATATTGTACCTCTTCCAAGGGTCGACGATTTAACTATTTGTTGTTCTGGGGTGAAAAACACGATATCTTCTGAAAAAAAAGTAACTAGTGTGTATTTGACGTATCTTTGCTTGCATTTAGATTGTAAAATCAAAATATTGTCATCAAGGAATACTAGTATCCAATATACTAGTATACAATTCTATACTACTGCGTGAATTGATTTGAATGCAAATTACCAAAACAAACTTGAAGCACAAACAAACGTGTCAATTTAATTCATTCCGAAGAATCAAAGTTTCATAAGAATTTCATTAAATTAGACATTTAGGATGATTGATTGACTCTCGAGAATTTTTCACTCATATGGAGACGCCACCACTTGCCAGTGAAGAGCTGCAAATTTTGACCTACACTCGGCACTGAGGGCGATTGAGCAGGTAGGGATCTTTTTTGTGCCAGCACCTACTGCGGCACGCAAACTCGGTTAATACAGTCTCATCTGAAGGACCGGTCTCTACTTCCAAAAGTGGGGATTCGAACCTTAGACATTTATGTAGATGTGAAAAAAAGACTGATGTCTTTATATTTCTTTCGAATCGAACACAAATGAAGCTGATTTAAATTTGAGTAATTTCTGTCTGTTATTTATACCCTCATTATTCCTTGGACCATCTTCATGAGGTGAAGAGAGAGGTGTTTCTGCAATGAAAAAAAACCAATGTTCAAAATTTACAATTTAATGAAATAAGATTTGCATACTAATGTTAGATATCTCGATATAAGTGATACATGCTTGATTTTCACAAACAATCATCATTATTTGTTTTTTCTCTTGGATCTATTGCACAGAAGCATGAGCAATGTAATTTCATCAAAGCAAAGTTATTGTTTACAACTTTAACATTTCAAATTTAATGACATGAGCCCACAGGCACTTGTTTCGGAAATATTTTATAGTATAACAATAACACAAGGTATCTAACTCCGAATTACACTCAGTACCCCCTCCCTAGAAAAGCACTCAGTTACACTTTCAAAGAAATTGCACTATGAAAATGTTTATTACCATTGTAATTTTCCATTTTTAATTAATTTTCAATTTTGAAATTGCTATTTTTACCCAAAGACTACATTTCATTTGAAAGGAAAAGAATTTCAGGAATTTAATTCTTCATTCTTATGGGATTTGAAGAAAACTATACACTTTTCTTTTTGTCTGTATCATATACATGTAAAGCGTTTTTATAATAACTGACTTAGTGTTGAACCAATAGTGTACAACTTTGGAAGAAATATCAATTTCAACAAAATGTTCAAATGACGTGAATTTTTTTTTAAAAAATCTCGAATTATTTAAACTTATGTAACAGAATTTACAATCAATATTCTGAACAATGTCTGTGGTCATTTCCTCTTTAACAGAATGTAAAAACAAAATAATTATAGGTGTTCAAATTAGAAACTCTTCCGTCGTTTCATCTTAATATTTTGCTTTTTTAAAAAATCAGTTTTAAGAGATTAGGTAGGCCTTATTATAAGATGACATCTTAGAACGTCACGAAGCAGCAGTAAAGGATACAATTTTGGTTTGTACTCAGGAAAACTCCAGTAAAAACTCTGAAAATGCTAGAGGAAGTCGGAAACATAAATATGTCAAAAACGAGCCATAAATGTGTGTATATTGAACAGACGGTACATGTATTTGAATGGTAGAGACTGTACCAGACGATGACAATCTGTGAAGTACTGGATTATCTGTAAAATTCTGTTCAAAGTTTTAAAAAATGTAAGTTGGGTCATGCTGAGAGGTAGGTCATTCATAGTTGCCGATCTTGTGAAAGCACAGTCACGCAAGAAAAAATATAACATTTCATTAACAAATTTTGCTAAAGAAACAATTGTGAGCAATATTTTAAATGACAAAGAAACATTTTTAGTAGGTGCACTGGTGTTAAGTCATGCTGTATGAAATGTATAGGGAGGATATTTCTGTGAACATCATGACGCTATGTTATTGACGTTACAATGTTGTTGAGTTTGATCATGAACAAAATAATGTGCTCGATTTGAACTTCTTGAATTTTAAGATGGTATAAGGGTGAATTTTAAAAAAATGATGAATCACATATTTAATAACTCACACTAAAAACAGGAAATGAAAATAAAATTCTTTGTCTTAATGCCAAAAATGATGCTCAAATGGTCGAGAGTGCAACTTTTTGTGACATTTCGAAAATTCAATTTTTTTCAAGATTCAAGATCTGTGAAATAAATGATCATGCTTTATGTTGAAAATGAAAATTCTCCTGATTATATTCAAGGTATTGAGATTTAAATGTGAACTGAATTAACTTTTTTGATCAAGTTCGGACCATGTCATTTACTGTACCATATCAGGAGAGAAACAGAAAAAATTAATGTCGCAAAAAAAAATCATTGTAATTTCTGAAAGACAATGAAGTCAAAAAAGATTTTTTTTTAAATGTTTAATGGTAACTACTAGGTATTATACAATTTTAAAATTTAAAATGTCCAATAAATCACAAGCAACATCTATTAGTGTCAAGTATAATTATATGTATACCCAATAATGTCTGAATATATGAATATATAAATATAAAGAAAAAATGATAATAAGAATTATGTTGCCAATACTTCATGATTTTTTATATTCCGCGGCCATGGTCTTAATTTTGAATTTTACTGAGTGCAACAAACTGTTTTATAATTTAAATAAATTAAAGAAATGTTTGATATTACTCAGTGTTCAAAACACTATGTCTATCAACAAATTACAATTTTCAGTCAATTCATGGGGAAAAAAAACTTGTCAAAACGATGAATAAGCTGTTGTGACTTGCAATTTTTAGAACGATGTTATGCGTACAGAATACATATCAGATGTCAGCAGTTCGACACAATAATGTAAAAAAGGGTCACTTCCAAATCTAATATTCTTTGTAAGAAGACTTGTATATCAAAACTTCTTTTTTGGGATTAAATTTAAAGAATTGGCTTAAGAGGACCGACTGTAGTTTCCATTGCGCAATATTTCGCACATCATAGTAATATGAAGGGTATTTACTGTTTAAAGCAACTTTTTTCACTTGATTAATAAAATTAAACAAAATTAAAAAATTACAAGTTCAAACATGTAAAAACAATTTCATTTCCCCTTTCTTTAAGAGCTACATTTTATCATAACGTCAAAAACACTCGTTTTCGACGTCAACCTTCCTATCAGTTGCACAATTGGTTAAAAATTCAGTTGTACAAAAATAAAAAGTATTAAACACTTGAAACGCTCTTGAAATTTAAAACATAGAAATTTGAGAATTTCTCCATAATTCTTAATTATTGTTAGTAGTATTTGTACAATTTGCTTTGTAGTGCTAAAATTGGCACTTTCCTATATAATCCTATAGTGAGTGGACCTATATTTTGAGATGGTCCCTTTAAATACCTGGACGATAGATTTCGCCCAAACATTGCATGTACACTAAATTTAATGTAAGTTATATAATGTATAAAAATGAAGAGTTTCGCTATTGTAGTTTTCACCCAATTAAACCACAGTTGGCCCCCTTAAAAGGACAAGATTTTATTTCTGAGGATTTTATTGCTTCTCGATTTTTTACATATCAAAACTTTCCAAACCAGAAAAATAACAATATGAAATTACGATCAAAAAGCCGCCAATTTTGTTTTCACATATACAAAGGAAGAAACTCAATCAAGTTCTACATTTAAACATTTATTTCTCTAAGTCGACATCATTTTGAATCATAAAAAAACTATAATTTCTTGTGATAGTGTATTTTTAATTGTCTTTATGGATGCAGTGATAGTTTTTACTTTTCAAATTAAGTTTTATTCCAAAAAAAATCCTGTAACTTTTTTTTCTCAAATTGTCTTTTCTTTTTTTTCAGGATTTTTAAAACTAGAGTGCATGTACAATATGATAAATATAAAGGGAATAATAACATTACTTGTTAACTTTTTCCAACAAAAAAACTCAGTTTAGTGAACGTAGTGATTTTCTTAATTCACCCATAACGAAGAACTTTCCGAACAACCCTCATATTTCTCCTCCACCTCCGTTGCGCGGTATAGGCCTAATAAAACATTGGATTGACTACTAGTGAAATTTACATCCGGAGTACTGAGAATTTGCTTCAATTTAATTCTGACTGTCTATTTTATGCATATGTTGATTAATTAACCCTTTAACTTAAAGTTAACTTTTATGTGCAGTGTGAAACAAATTTATTTCAAAGATACGTTCACAATATTTAGCTTTTCCGAAACATTTCAAATTATTGGTTAAACAGTGTGTAGGTGAAGTTGTGATATGAATTATATAACGTGTAATTATCTTACCTGTGTAATTTGCTCTTTTACATACATTTTATGTATGTCTGTGCAAAACAGGAATAAATCTTGTTTACATTTTGTTATTATAACAAAGTCCTTATAGTTTTCCCCTCTATTACAGTTCTGTCACTCTTTGTAGAAAATTCTTAATATGTTTAATTTGACAATACATCCGATCCGATTAAATATTTATTAAGCAAGAGTTTTTGATGAAATTAAGAGTTTGAATTTGAACATCTGTGACCAGTTTAATACAAAATGTATAATGCTATGATTAACAAACTGAGCAAACAATAGATACATCTTTACAAAAGTAAGGGGGTGGAAACTGTTATTTTCTTTTTTGTAAGTTGAAAAGGGATAAACATGTAACTCCGTCAAAAATGAGGCCAATATTCATCATTCAGGATCACTCACTAAAAATTTATCGACTAATTTATCTTTTTTTTTAAATTTCTGCTGCTTTTGTTTATATTTAAGATTTAGGTAATTTTATTTTATTTTCAAAGATACATAGATACAAAGATGCATAAAATAGTAAAAAAAAACCAAAATGATAAAAAAAATATTACCTGTCCCAGCACTGGACCTAAAGCTACCAACATTTCCAAACTGAATAAGACAGGGGGTATCTAAAATCAGAAATGGAAAGAAGCATATGATAAATGAATACAGATACTTTCATTCTTAAGGTTCTTAAGGAATCACTGTTTAGTTTATTTTGGTGCTTAAATAACTGTCGTTAATGGCATGTAGTATACCCAACAAATTAAACAGTGATTCCTTACACATTTACTAGTATTTACGTTTCATTGAGTGAAAAATATACCTCTGAATCAAAATGCTGTCTAAGAATAACACACATAACTTTTAAAAGAGAATATTAACTTTCACAAATAGTTATCTAAGGGAAAACAGGGTTTTAAATTTAAATACTATTAATTACTAATACTTTGTAATTTGAAACAATAAGACTTCATACATGTACATGAAAATGATTTACCTCCTCTTAAGGCTGTTGATTTGATCATTTGATTATCTGGCGTAGAGGAAGGAGAGGCTTCTGTTAGAACAAAACAATGAAAGTTGATTATCAAAGTTTACCTAACAGTTTATAGAAGGCATGTTCACTTTAAAAGTGATATACGTAAATGCCATCACAAACAAAACCTTTCTCCTCGTAGCCTTCTTTGGATATTTTTATTAATGACGATAACGACACACAAATGAGCTTTTCTAATTATCCTTTTAATACATTGAGTAAACAATGAAAATATAAAAATCCAGAGGACTGAAGAGAAGATTTCAAAAATGTGAAACCAATTAATAATTTTAAAGATATCACTTTCTAGTTTGCCGCTGCCTTGGCATCAACGATTGTTGGAAACGTGGAATAATTTGCATAAGCCTGCTATCCATAAATTTTCAAACTTTTCCAACTTTCGCTGATGTTCCTGTCATACCCAACAAACTAGACAGTGATTCCTTATATTAACATTGATTTTTTAAAATAACATTGTAAATATGGATTTTTAAAAATGAAGTCAAAAAAGATTTAAATCACACTAGACCTCCCATGTCAATTTCTCTAAGTTCAAGTCCACTGACGTCAGACACCAAGACAGCTGCACGTCGAGATTTACATGCATAATAGGCCTCCTTAGCTCTTGACATTAGTTTGGCAAAATTAATTTTTAAAATATTCCAATTAATTATCAAGAAATAATCACCTAACATGAAGAGTGTTTTCCATAAGAAAAGAAATAGAAATAAAAAATATTTAATAATAATACAATTAAGAAAAAGTGAATAAATAAATACTAGTAAATAAATAAATAAATTAATTAATTAATATACATGAAAATTGAAGATAAAAATTCAAACCTGGATCCTAACGACCTAATGTTGTTTTAAAACAATGAAAATAATGCAATATGGTATTTTGATACGAAAATATTAAAAAGGATTTTTTTTTCAGTAAAATTTTTCTTTCTTCAAGTGAATATTAATTTGAATAAATTTCAAAATTCTTACTTGTCACAGAATCCTCTCGATTGGGCTGTTCAGATACCACACTTTCATTGTCGGAATGTTCATCATCTATGAGATAACGTATACCTGAACCAAAAACTAACATTGCATAATAACAAATGCTTACAGATGTTCTCCAAACGGGTCACAATCACTTACGATGTCTCTATAATCTTCATTAAACTAGACAACACAACACATATAATGTAATAAATGAAACATATGGAGATATCGAATAGTATTTAAGATCCTAAGTCCATAAAGCAATACAAAACGGGAATTAGATACTGATAGCAATTTGGTTCTAGATACTTCATATGAGGAATTAGACAAAATAATCAGTGAAAAGGAAAGAAATTGAAGATGCAGTAGGAAAACTTTTAATAAACATAATAAAAGTTGTGGAGCGGAATACGAGTGGTGATCAAAAAGTCCACGAACTAATTCAATAACTTCCATTTAAGAAACAATATTTGGTTTCAATGTTGATTATATTTTAAATTAGTCCTTTCCGATTTCAATGCATATCTGCCACCGTTCTGCTCATGCGCGAATCACGTGATATAGGCAATCACATGACCCTTTTTGATCCTCTCCGTAGCGTATTGTCACAAAAGCTGAAAGATATTTCCAAGTGTTATATTTCTTTCCATGTAAGTTAATTTTTATAACAAAAACGGTTCATTTGTCAGAAATGGTCAAATATCGGCAACAGAATGGGTGGATATGAATAGCCTTTCCAAAAATAAGCATGGTGACCATCAAAACCCAAATCTTCTGTCTCTGGAGAGACGTTTATTCAAGGTGTATAGAGAATGTGTGCCTCTTTTTTATCATATCTATTATGTTTAAAATCTAAAGTTAACGATAGTTTAGGTATTTAATAAGTATGTTATTGCTGAAATATTCAAGTATTTTTCAAAGTTTAAATTGGAGGTCTTTGATAACAAATTGCTTAATTAAAAACACACCTCTTTTCAAACTTGCTTTCACCTGGCAACATTACAAATATCCTTTTTAACCATCTACCTTCCTTCATTAAAACGATAAATCCAACCATTGATTGAATTTATAGGAAGTCTTTTGTTTTAGTAAACTGTGTACAAATTATTTTACGCAACAGCAAAGGAATTTAAGATAAACCATAAATTTTACGGTCGTTCGTACAGTGCAGTACAGTGAAGTGCATTGAAGTAGTAAAATTTCCCGTTTGAATGAAACGTTTTGAGCTAACTTTATAACGTTGATTGTCATACAATGACATACCCATTTCTTCAAAAAGGAAATATCGGTCAAATGGTTCATTCGAATACCTGTAGAACAGGTTTCCATAAAAATAATAGCCAATCAAAGTGACGGTCTACATAAACACAGAGTAAGCACGTGTTCATCCAATACAATGAAGCGCATTGAAGCGATTTAATTTTCCGTTTGGATGAAACGTTCTGAGTCATGTTTTGAACGTCAATTATAACACAATGACACGCCCATTTCTTTAGAAACGAACAAGAATTATTCGTCGTAATGTTTTAGGACACCCCACTCTTTGCGAAAAGCAACATGAGTTACACCGCAATGAAGATTTTTAAATTTATAAGAGATTTAGAGCATTGCAGCTTCTGTAAAACACGTATTGTAACAAATGTGTACATAATTATGAATTTATCATGTTTACTTGAGCTTCCATTACATATGTATTGGTCGAACACGTGCTTACTTTGTGTTTATATAAACCGTCAATTTGATTGGTTATTATATTTAGGGAATACCTGTTCTACAGGTATTCCAATACAACAAAAGTCCAGTTGGCTCCCTTAAATCTGTTTACAAAGAGGAAGTGTTTTTTGTCTCAATGGCAAAACATTAAAACTGTTTTTTTTTCAAATCCAGTTTCTTTAAATCTGAATACCTGCATCCAAACATGGAGAGCCTTGATCCAAACTATCTGTATGGGCCACATAGGGTTGTGTTCCTGTAAAACATAACAAAATATATGTACGTGTACCTTTCAAAAAATACTCTCTTTCTTCATAAACAACTATGTAAGAAAACGATTAAAGTCTACACAAGTTGACCACGTAGAAAAACTTACCTCTCTGTTGTTCTTCAGAGATCTCTGGAGCTGGCATCATTTTATCCTTAGCTTCCAAATCTTCTGCTAATGAATATACAATGAAAACATAAATCTCTCTTATACTTATTTTGATTTATTCATAATTGTGTAAAAGTGATTGGGTGTCAGTTGGTTCTGATGGTATAGTAGATTTACCTGTATTTCGAGACGGTCCATAAAATCCCCGGACAGTGAATTTTACATAAACTTGTCATGCAAATTAACTGCAGTCATTGTAAATTACATATGATATAAAATTAAATTTCTGTATTGTAGTTTTTATACAATAAAACCCAGTCGCTCCCTTAAATCTGTTTAAAAAGAGAAAGTGTTCTCTTTATCTTCAATGACAAAAACAACAAGAGACCCAGGGGCCACATCGCTTATCTAAGCAACTGGCTAGGTAAAAACAAAAAATCCGTTCAGTATTGACAAGTTTAAATCTAAAAACTATATAAATGGGTTCAGGAGAGGGGGGGGGGGTGAACAAATTTGAATCTACACTTCCTAAGGATGCTTTTGAATTAAGATGACACATAATGGCTTTCTTGTTTATAAGATAAATATTATTATCGATAAAGCCTTTATAGTTTATTTTCCTATGTTATGATCCACTCTAACCACTATAATGGCTCCTCTATTCTCCCAATTGTCACAATGTGAACAAGTTTAAATTTACATTACCTTCCATATATAACTATGACCATGGGTTTGCCGTTCCGGAGATTTTTAAAGATTTTTTCCCACCGGTAAGTATTCCTGTGTAAAATTTTGATCCTAGAATGTTCTCCCATCCTACCCCGAGGGTCATGATTTGAACAAACATAAATCATTATTAGAGGATGCTTCCATATAATTATGACCAATAATGGGTTTCCTGTTCTTATGAAAAAGATTTTTCTTATGTATTCCTATGCTAAACTTTGATACCCAAATGTGGCTCCACCCTACTCCGGGGGTCATGCCTTGAACAAACGTAAATCTACACTACATGAGGATGCTTCCACATGAGTTTCAGCTTTCCTGGCCAAGTGGTTCTTGAGAAGAAGATTTTCAAAGATTTTTCCTATGTGTTACTAAGTAAAACTTTGATCGGCCATTGTGGCCCCACCCTACCCCCGGGGTCATGATTCGAACAAATTAGAATCTACAGTACCTGAGGATGCTTCCACATGAGATTCAGCTTTCCTGGGCCACTGGTTCTACAGAAGATTTCTAAAGATATTTCCAAGGCATTCCTATATTAAACTTTGATACCCCATTGTGGCCACAAACTACACCTGTACCCCCGGGGTCATGATTTGAAGAAACTGGAATCTACACTACCTGAGGATGCTTCCACATGAGTTTCATCTTTCCTGGCAAAGTGGTTCTTGAGAAGAAAATTTTCAAAAGTTGCCATTAATTTTTCCCTAATTCACAATTATCTCCCCTTGAAGGAAAGCGTGGCCATTCATTTTACCAAAGTTGGATCCCCATCACCTCAGGATACTTTGTGCCAATTTGGTTGAAACTGGCCCAGTGGTTCTTGAGAAGAAGATGTAAATGTGAAAAGTTTACAACAATGACGACAGCGACGACAACAACGAGAGACAACGGAAAAATTTTTATCATAAAAGCTCACTTGAGCCTACTGCTCAGGTGAGCTAATAAAAACTGTTTTTATTTCAAATCCAATTTCTTTAAATCTGAATACCTGCAACCACACATGGAGAGCCTTCATCCAAACTATCTGTATGGGCCACATAGGGTTGAGTTCCTGTATAACAAAACAAATTATTTGTACTTTTAAAAAAATTGTTTCGCTTTTTATTCTTGTTTTTTAAACAACATTGTAAAAAATGTGAAAGACTACAAATTCAAACTTACCTCTCTGTTGTTCTTCAGAGATCTCTGGAGCTGGCATCATTTTATCCTTAGCTTCCAAATCTTCTGCTAATGAATATAAAGTAAAACATAAATCTCTCTTATACTTACATGTATTTTGATTCATGTTTAATTTTATACGAATTAATGTAACTTACTATTGTTTTGTGGCTGTTTGCATGGACATCTCTGGAGGATTTCTTGGAAAAGATAAACTTGTGTAAGTATTATACTAGTCATGAAGCAATGACCTAATATTTTAAGCACTATATCAATTATATACAATGTACATACTTCTTCTAAATTTATATGTTGCTGCAGCAATAATGGCGAATATTAAAATGATCGCAACAATCCAGCCAACAATTCCAGATGTGGGGTAATGGTTGTAAGTTTCATCAGATGAAACAGTGTTCTTTGTGGAATAGGTTGATATAGACGAAGAGGATGTTGTCGTTCCTGTAGTCCCAGAATATTCTGACCTGCAACATCACATCAAGATATTTTTATTTGATTTGAATTTGGTAAAGACCACTCTTTTTTTACCATTTAATAGAATGGATTTTTGGTTTATTTGTTTGATCTAAAATAACGGATGTTATTGTTTTTTTCACAATTTAGAATAATTTAAAATAAAATATTTATATATATTGCATTACTATTATTGTATTTTAAAGAGGTCAAAAAGGTAAATTTACATATATAGTCCAAAATACTTACTCTGGCACAGGACATGAGGGATCTGAGGTAAAACATCTACTGGCCTTGTTAATGCTTAGGCAATCCAAATCTAGTAGAAACATAATATTCCTTCTTTTGTTAAAGTTTCAATACCACCAAGAGAGAAAAGAACTATAAGAAACAATTATTATTATATTTTTTTATTTAGGTCAACTACAAAGGTATCAAACGAGCGCCCCGTAAAATATCTGTAGCCCTCACAATGACTTACATATACTATGTTTATTTGTCTGCTGGTGAACACTTGCCAATTATTAACCCACAAGCTGTATTTACCTCTAATGTTAACACTTTATGCATAAGTGAGGACTATAATACATGAATTAATGAACTTTGACGAAAATTTAATATTGATCCAATTTAACAGATATTTTTAAAAAATAGTTCTTGTAACTTCCCCTTCTCTCTCTCTCTCTCTCTCTCTCTCTCTCTCTCTCTCTCTCTCTCATGCACTGTTTAATCATATGAGTCATATTTATATGTCTTATCTTGACATCTTATATATTGTCAATTGTAAACAATGTATACTCAATTTCTTTCTTTATTAATCCCACTAAAGGGATGATCTAATAGTTGACTGATACTGCATAAACAGCAATCATATTATGAGTTGAATTTTGAGAATTTTTGCTATTAATTTAATCTACAAAAACGTTCACATTGATACATTAATATCTAAATTGATTACCTAGACTGTTTTTAATCTAAAAATAAGCCTAAGGATAAATAAGAAATGCAGCAATTCTTGAAAATTTATTCAGTAAATTTGCTTATTTGAAATATAGTTAAAAACTTACTATTATACATTTCATCACTGTAGTAGGCTTTCTTCGGACATCCTTTCATGAATATCCCAGAACACTTTACGTTATTTAATGTCCTGCTGTTGGGAAGCTCCAAACAATTTCCTGTTATTTAAAAAAATACTTTCAAGAACGGAGAGTTAACATGCTGTTTAAAATAATGATTATCTTGAACGTTTAGCACATCATATGCTCGTAAAATTCCTTATGATAGAAGGTCCCACTCTTGTGACTAACAAAATATGAGTTTTACAAATGCACAAATATTTTCTCTTCAAAAAACTAATTCTGTTCCGCGCCTGAAAAGTGGTAGGGTATATAGTAATTGTACAATCGACTGTTATGCTTTGTGGTATCCATCTCTTTTTTAAACTTTCATAAAATCTTTGTTACAAAGTGCCATTGTGTACCTTAATCCTTTAAAAATGTAATCATAGTATTTTTTCTGGTTTTTGGTATCTTTTGTTTGTTTTTTGTTTGTTTATATATATATATATATATATATATATATATATATATATATATATATATATATATATATATATATATATATATATATATATATATATTGTTTTTTTATTTGTTTGTTGATTTTGTTTGTTTTTTTTTTAAAGAAAGGTTTCTCTATCTCAAGAAAAAAAAATGTTTTTATTTTACCTCATGAAATAAACCCAGAACGAAAAAATTCAATCATAAAAAGTGACGAAACAACTAATTCCCCCTTAAAGCAAATTGCATCACATTTAGTGATTCATTTATTTATATCAGTCGTTCTCAAATTGTGTTGTCGTCCGTATGACGCAGTGATTAGAGTGTCTGCTCTAAAGTGGTGAAGGAGTTGATCCTTAAGTCGCGGGTTCGAATCCCACTATTAGGCGTGGAGACCGGTCCTGCAGATGTGACCTTATAACCCGATACCCTTTGTCGCAGAAGGTGCTGGAACAAAAAAGACCCCTCACTGCTCAATGGACGTAAGTGCCGAGTATAGGACAAATTTTGCAGCTCTCTGTCGGCAATTGGCGGCGTCTCCATAATAGAGTGAAACATTTCGAGAAGGACGTTAGTCAATATACAAACAAGCAAATCTTGTTAAATCCTACCTTCTTGAACTAATATTCTTCCTCTGTCGTAACAGAATTCAAGGAGTGTTGCTCTATATTCGTCAGGAACACAGTGATATCTTCCTATGATATTTTTGATATCATATGTACAGTTCAATCTTTTTGATGCCTCTAACCACGCCGTTTTATTCTCCGGACAATGTTTAGTTTCAAATACCAGCAAAGGTAGAAACCTATATATCAGAGCCGACATCTAAGAAAGAAAAAAGATTCTATAAAATTGGAATCATTACTTTTTAGCTCACCTGAGCTGAAAGCTCAAATAAGCTTTGCTGATCACCCATTGTCCGTCTGTCCGTCCATCCGTCTGTAAACTTTTCACACTTTCAACTTCTTCTCAAGAAGAACTGGGTCAATTTTAACCAAACTTAGTACAAAGCATCCTTGGGTGACAGAAATGTCCGTCGGCTATATCAATTTATACATGAGTTGTGAAAATTTTGTGATGGGATTTTAATGTATGATTTAACTCAGAAATATCAACGTGAACATGGAGCATCTTTATAAATAAGTATTTTATCTTTGAATTTCCTTTATAAATGTAATTAAAATGAGTTTCAATCGTCTTTTCTTCTTTTCAATTAGTTTTACCTCGTAGATTTACCCGAACCATGTATTTGTAGTCTTAAAAAAACAACAGCAGACCATCATGCTCTGCTATTCATTTATAGAATGGGCAATAGAATGTGGAAAACTGTTCACGTAGTCCGAAATATCTTACCTTTTCCAGTCTTTTTTACGATTTTGATCTTTTACGTGCCAGGAGAACGTCATAATCAGCGCCTTTACTAAAACTGCCGCTTCCCGTTCTCGAGTTCATTTACTTTCAAACCGAATTAAAATATCAAATTCACGACTCATTAAAAGCACAATACATTTAGTATTCACCAACATCGCTTTTATGGTTCGTTTATGAAATATACAATCCGATGAGAACATTTTGTCTGATTGTTGAGATTTGTTTTTATTTTGTGCATTAGAAAATCTTGAAAGTCCTGTAGCGAAATGTGGAATTATGTTTTCTTTTCATTTATATTGGTAAGTACTAGAAGCATTGTGAGACGGCGAAATATTTCAGTTTTCGTAATGACGTCGGTTCAGATGTAAAATATCCAAATCGTAAAAAAAACAACAAAAGGTCAGATACATGTATTTCGGACCACTGATTACAGTAAGCTTCGCTGTGAGTCATAATAACAATTGCCATGTGTGTAAATTTGATTAAAATGACCAATTCGAATACACTGTGCATATTTATCTATCAACCCATCCTAAAAATACAGGCGCTGAAAATAGATTTCTACATTATGTCTTTAGATAATGTCTCAATACCTGCCAAATATCTAAAATATTTCAATTCACAAAAAGTTATGCCCAGAAATGATGCTAAAAAATGTCAGGAGTGTAACACCATTTTGTGACATGTTGAAAATTTGATATTTTTAAAAGATCTTTTAAATAAATAAGAATGGTTTATGTTGGAAAAAAACCTCCTTATAATATTCAAATTATTTATCTTTACTGTAGCAACTTTTGTTTGATCAAGTTGTAGTCATGGCTGATGGCGAAAAAAATGTTTTACCACGTCAGGAGTGCAACGGAAGAAATTTATTGTTGTTAAAAATTTTATTATTAAAATATGAAAGACAATTCAGTCAAATTTTCAAAGTGTTTCGTAATAATTAATAGGCCTTTACATTTTTTTTTTTACTTTAAATGACGTTTTAATGTTTTGCTCCCCCAGCATAAAGAAGACTTCTATCCGTGTAGGTTCTTATTTTTATTTGTGATAAATAAAGTCACAAAGAACATTTTTATCAAACATTTATCCATTACAGGGCCTGTCTATGTATCTGGTCTATGTTTCTTTGGTCAGGAGTGTAAAACATTTTTTTGAAGATTCAAGTTATATGATACATGCATAAACTTAAGACTTTCGTACATGCGAAGAAGTTCTCATTAATTACTAATCATCTTTTTGTACAATTTTTTCATAACATTAAAATATTAACAGTTTTTTTTTACTTAAAATCTTTTCTTTTTCCAATTTTATCAAATCAAATGTGTTTTTATCTTTTTGTGATTTTTTTTATGAGCATTAAAGATAAATATACAAAAAAGGTCATAAAATCAAGTTCATTGTAATTCCACCTCAACTTCACTGAAACAACGGAACAAGTTTTTATGTGATGTAATTTTTATGATTTTTATGAAATTTTGACTTCACAATTCTACTTTGAAGACTCCCATATCCTTGGTCAGGACTGCAACAAATAAGTTTGAATAATAACTGGTCCAATGTTAATAATTATAAACAAAAAAAATTTCCGAGTAGAATGTTACAGGTTGCTTACTGTTTTTATCCTCTAAATCTACTAAACTATAATAATTTATCTTCTTTATGTATATTCTAGCTATCCCCCCCTTTTTTTTTTTTTACATAAATAAGGAATTAGTTTAAGCCAAGTATAAATTCTTTCATACTTCAATTTCTTTTTAAAATATGATCGACAAACATGTTCTCTCTAGTTATGACTAGTTTTGTAGATTTTTTTTATCCTAGGTTTAAAAAATATTTACAAATTATGTGTTTAATTAAAAAAAAATTGATTTAAAAAAGCTAAAAAGTCTATCTAGCTTTTCTTTACACATTTTATTAGAAATTCATATAATGAAATTATTTACCTCAAATGTTAAACTATAAAGCATCATTTGCAAATAAAGTATTTTTTAATTTTCTCTGAAAAATACAAAACAGTCATGTAAAATAATTGAGAGCTAATATTGGTCTTTCAATGCTGAAACCATTGCATTAGAGATCTATTAAATAAGAAACAAAGTTAATGTGGCATTCTTCCTTGAATTCAAATAAAATGAGTGTTTGGAAAGATGATCTTCAAACAATTAATGACATCTCCCCCCTAAAACAAATTGTAGTTCTAGTCCTTAAATCAATATTTTAGGAGTAAAATGAAACGTATATTCATAAACCGTCTATATGAATATACAAACATATGTTATACATCTACAGGTATGCTTATGACATTTTCCTAAGATGTGTCTTAATGTGCCTTAGGATATTTTTTGGACATATATCTTAAGATACATCTTAGGATGTAAAACGAAAGCATCTTAGGAATATCCTAAGTTGAGATGTCCTAAATTCCATCTTATGCATTTTCAACTTTTTCTTTTAATTTGTAAATGAAGCAGTACTAGAAGTACCTATTTCAACTTACCACCACGTGTAGATGAAAGGGGGGTAAGCAAATCTACATGTAACATCTAAAGCCTTATGCAAATACATGTTTATTTATATAATTGTAAATGTACCCTCCCCCCCCCCCAAAAAAAAATACATTCAGTTTTGAAGATGATCAATGTTTTTACATTCCTTACTTATTAAAAACATTTTTGAGTCAATATTTCTTTATTGGGTGTGTCCCCACTCCTCTTTTAGAAACATGCTTGGATTTGAGACTGAGATGTTTAAGTATTATTTTTAAAAGTTAATTTTAATCTTTTATTTTCATCGATTTCTAATACATACTAATATCTTTAGCAGTTTAGTCCATTTTTATTCAAGTTTTGTGTAAAAAGCTGTAATATAACAGAGCTATACTTGCATATATGTATATAGTTTACATTTAGCATAAACAGAAAAGCGGAGCTACATGACAATATACAAGTATATTTCTTCTCATAGTTATTTGTATTATTCTCTTTTATTGACTGCCTAGTTATTGCTAATCTCAAACTAAAAAAGCTACTTTCGTTTTGCTCATGTATTGATGTTAACGCATAAAATTCCAATGATTGCGTTGATTTTTAGTAAGCAATTAACATCAATTAACAATTGGTTCCAAATAAGAATACTTATTGTCATGGTGAATTGTAATGATCAAATTTAATAAAATAAAACGGTTTACCTTTCATGAAACCTTCTTGTTTTTAAATTAATGGCGAATACCGGTAGTTTGACGTGACGTAAGTCCCAGCTAGAAGTTTCGAATTTTTAAGTATAATTTTTTTTTATCATTATTAATGTTCAAATTACAAGAGAGCAAAAAAGGAAAAAAAGTTAATTATCTCGTTAGAATCATAATAAGAATTGACTTTTATATGGCAAGTCAAACGTTGCAATATTCGATCTTTTCCATTTGTATTGTCAAAATTTCCATTTTTATTGTATGATTTTTATTTGTATTCTATAATTTTCCATTTGTATTGTATATTTTTCATTTGTATTGTATTTATTAAATTGTATAATTTTCCATTTGTATTCTATAATTTTCCATTTGTAACGTATATTTTTTCATTTGCATTATATATTTGCCATTTGCATTGTATAATTTTTCATTTGCATTGTATATTTTTCATTTATATTGTAAAAAAATCATTTATATTGTATAATTTTTTATTTGTATTCTATATTTTCCATTTGTATTGTATATTTTTCATTTGCATTTGGTAGCTTAACACAGTTTCGTATAAAATCCAGGGGGTTTTTCCCAGAGAGAAGCATGCTGGGTAGGGATTTTCCTGCTATTTATAGAATTCTAGATGTAAACTGCATCTTTTTTGTTTTTATTCGCATAAAGTAGAGTCTTATCTTAATATTTAAAGAAAAAAAGGTGCATTCATTTTTAGAGAAAAAAAAATTGTGAGACTTTTTAATAGGGGGAGATAACTCCCAAAACATCCAGTTTTCACATGTGCAGAATTGCATGAGTCAATTAGCAGGTAATGTAGCTCTTTCAAGAGGTGGAAAATGTACCCTAAAAGCACACTAAAAGAAAACCTTAGGACTTGTTCTGTGAAATGCATACAACTTATTTTGTCTGATTTTTTCTGTTTTTGTTGAGCAGGGGGGTTAAAAATGCATAGGTGCACTGACAATGGATGCATAAACAACCCAATATCCCCCATTTTTCAGGTGTCAAATACCCCCTAGTAGTAATTGATGAATGTATTATAGTTGGATATTTACAAAATTCACAATTTTATCTTTCCATTGATATGCAGAAGTCTATGTAACAATCCTCCATTTTATTTTTTTATAGGGGTCAGTTTTGCTTGTCCCTCACCAAGTAACGTCCTGATAACGACATACATAAAACTGTGTTTTGCACCCTTAAGGAGTAGCATTTGATGACATTTCCCACATTCATTTGCCTGTAAGTTCATAG